ACAAACTCTTTTGATAAATATCATCTCTTTAAATAATATATGATTAATTGGCTTCCATCATCGATTGCATTTGTGAAGAAATAAAATAGTTATTCCCGTTCAAATGGATTATTGACTTTTCAACTTTTCACATATTTTATATAATCTTAAAAATATCTCATTTTCAACGACAATACTTTTATAAAATGAGTTTTAATTAGCAATATTATAAAAAAATTGCATTACTTAATATTTTATTTTGAGTAGACAAACGCATTTAGAAGATGCAAAAATAGAGAAGTAATTGAGAGGAGCCGTACGTTGGCTGTTTTGGCGTCCAGGTTCACTTAACTCATTGATACATTTTGGGTCTACATTCATCATTTTCCAGAGTCACATCACATCCCATCTTCCAACCTGTCCTATGCTGCTCAGACCACGCAATTGTGTTTTTCATTCCAGTCTTACCCTTCTCTTGACCAGCTCTAACCAATCACGTTCCAGTTACACCAATGTCATTCTGGTCATTTAGGTAACAATTCATTAGCCCCAAGCTTATCTTAATACTCACATTTAATGCTTAATGATGGACGTCAAGACAACTTATTCAGAGCATCCTTCTACCCGGAAAATTCCCTCCCGGAATGTCGCCAGCCACCGGAATACATGCTCCACTTCTGCCGGAAAAGAAGGAGGGGGAGAAGCATGCATCGTTATATGGAGCAGTGTTCAATGTGTCAACTAGTATAATAGGCGCAGGAATTATGTCAATACCTGCCGCACTTAAGGTGCTAGGTATAATACCTGCTTTTGTGTTAATTATGGTTATTGCATTGCTGGTTGATATTTCTGTGGAGTTCTTGTTGAGATATACACATTCTGGGCAGTCAACAACGTATGCTGGTGTCATGAGGGAGGCTTTTGGGAGGGTAGGATCCGTGACCGTACAACTATGTGTCATGATCACTAATCTTGGCTGCTTGATCATATATTTGATTATTATTGGTGAGTGTGTGCATGGAACTTGGTTGTAATTTATGTCTTGTTTTAATTATGTAAGTGATTAATACCGGGATTTGTTTGTCAACTCTGTTAATTAGGCTTTCTGCTCTTGAATTTGAAGGATGTATAGTCCTTTAATCATAGAGCTTATAAAATGAATTATAGAGCTCATAATACAATTACCATTTTTGTCAGGGGATGTACTGTCAGGAGATGTGCATGATGGATCAGTGCACTTGGGTGTGTTGCAAGAATGGTTTGGAATTCACTGGTGGAATTCCCGTGCTTTTGCTCTCCTCTTTGTTGTCATCTTTGTGATGCTTCCACTGGTTTTGTTCCGGCGCGTAGGTAAGTTTTCTTTTTTCAGACTTCCATTTATCTTTATTTATTCTTGTTCCCAGTCAAATAGAGCATTGTTGATATCTTCAAGGCTCAATTATGTTAAAATCTAGGTAGTTCAAGTTTTAGTTTCACTATTATTAGGAATGAACATCTTCAACAAGGGAAAAACAAAAAAAAAAGAAAAAAAAAGAAGAAGTTTATCAAAGGATCTCGATGAGAACAGTGGGACAATGCTCAAGTTTTTTGGGAAAACAATGAGTGATCTTGCACAGCCTGTGATATTAAAGAGAGTGACTGAAATATTGAGAGGCTGGAGTTCCATGGTGGGTGGATAGTTCCAAGAGAATTGCCCACTAGAAAATGGATTGGAATTGGAGTTTATTGAATCTGTAGAGAAAAAGGGGAGGACAGTTCATTTAAGTTAATGAGATGTGCCTTCCGACGCTCAAAGACGGGAGAAAATTTGCTTGCATGAATATGTTTTGGGTGGAGATCCACATGGACAGTTTCTTAGACTTTTATAGGAGGGTATAAGGAGATGTGAATTACATTTAGAATCTAGAGTTTTTATCTTTGATTTTGGAACTTCTTAATAGAAACAGAAAATACAAGATCAAGATCCTTGGACATGTGTAACAGAACCTTTCATTTCAATTTCTACTTGAACTGAATTATCACACTCGAAACTCCAGTTATGATATTCAGTCTTGCTGAAGAACAGGAAAGACTCAGCTGTTTCTTATGGTTTTCAGGGTTGCAGGATTGATGAGAAGTTAGAATTGAATAAAGTTGGATTGGGAAAATGTTGGTGGATAGAATAGAACATTCACAATGAAAATATTGATCATTTGAATTTTAATTGACGCTCGGGAAAATCTTCTGGAGCTTACTATGGCAGACAGGAGTAAACGAACAACAGGAAACAAGAAAGAAAAGCAATAGATATTTAGTTAGGAACCTTTTTCTCAACGGTAGAGTAGGGTGACTGGCTAAGCGATGTTTTCTCCGATTCCTTTTGAGCTTCCTTGTGGTGGAGTCTCTGATTTCCTTGTTTCTACCCATATGCTCATCTATTCCTCTTAGAAAAAACTTCAACTTATTAAATGTTTTTTTGTTTATTTTTTATAACAAACTAGATTTAGGGGTTTTCCATTACTAGCAGATTTCATGGAAAATGTTTGCTCAATTTGTTTGGCTTGTGTTTCCAGAATCATTGAGGTTCAGTTCAGCTATATCAGTCCTTCTTGCAGTAGTGTTTGTTGGCATATGCTCAGTGATGGCAATCTCTGCACTCATAGAAGGGAAAACTAAAAGTCCGAGATTGCTGCCCCACCTAGACAATAAGACTTCCTTCTTCGACCTTTTCACTGCAGTTCCGGTGATTGTTACAGCTTTCACATTTCATTTTAATGGTGAGTTTACATTCTGATATCTTCTTTTACATAGTCAAAAGATTATATCATGCCATAGTTTGCTTATTCTTTCTCTCAAATTCATTGTTTGAATGTTTGCAGTTCATCCAATAAGTTTTGAACTTGGGAAACCTTCTGATATGGTTTCAGCAGTCAAAATTTCCCTCTTACTTTGTGCTTCAATCTACTTCTCCATAGGCATTTTTGGGTATCTTTTGTTTGGCGAATCAATCATGGCTGATATACTGGTCAATTTTGACCAGAGTTCTGATACGGCAATGGGTGCATTACTCAACGATATAGTTAGGCTTAGCTATGCCTTTCACCTCATGTTGGCGTTTCCCCTCGTGAACTTCTCATTGAGGGCAAACATTGATGAACTTCTTTTCCCTAAGAAGCTTCTTTTAGCAAAAGATTCCATCAGATTTGTGTCCCTCACTCTTGTATTACTAGTTTTTGCTTACCTGGCAGCAATTGCAATCCCAAATATATGGTACTTCTTTCAGTTCATGGGATCAACCTCAGCAGTGTGTCTTGCCTTCATTTTCCCAGGTGCTATTGTGCTAAGGTACCACCCTGTCATTCCGAAATAAATTTTTTGCAGTATAAATTCAACAGTTTTGCATAATATAACTCTCTGTTCTCATTAATTGCAGGGATGTTCACAGTATATCAACCACACGAGATAAGATCGTGGCAGCAGTGATGATAATTCTAGCTGTAGCAACAAGCACAATTGCCTTATCAACAAATATCTATAGTTTGGTTAGAAACATGTAACTGGTCGCCCCCCCGGCTTTTCTTGTTGTGGTGCATGTATTCTTCATATGCGTAGTGTCCTCAGAATCCAACAGCTCAAAGTAAGCAGCTTCTCTGAAGTTTAGCTTGTAATTTTGTATATTGAACCGGCATCAGATTCAATTATGCCTATTCATCACTGTAAGAGATAGCCGAACTATAAAATGATGAAAAAAGCAGAATTATTCATCCATTTTTGTAAGGAATGTTCTCCAGTCCACTCTTATTATGTTCTCATGTTTATTGATTATGATCTCAAGATTTATCAAATTCAACTCTTGCCAAGAGTCTTAGTAGAATCATTGATAAATATAATCACATATACATTAAACAAAAATTAGAAATCGTATATAAATCATGATATTGCGTATATATAAGGAATATAGCGAACAAACTTAAATCACAGGCATTAAAAACTGAACTCCTTGGCCACTCATTGTAGATGTATACTAGTCACTTTCTCGTGCTATGGAGCGGGTTCGGTGAAAAAAATTATTTTAAAATTATAATTTTTTATTCACTTAATTTTTGTAATTTTTTTTTATAAATTTTCTATTTCAATAACATAAATCATTCTCCTTTATGGATTTATTTTAAAATAAAAAATATAATAATTTTAACTAAAATATTAATCAAGAATTAAAAAAACTTCTAAAATATAATTTTCATAATATTGTATTCCAAAAAATAAAATTATAATTAATGAATATATTTTTACAAAAATTAAGAAATGAGAAAAAATTCTTATTTAATGTTGAGGAAAAAATTAATTTTTGAAATTATCTACGCAACATTACGGATAGATAGAACACCTAATTAAATAAAAAAACATAAATTTATGAAAATTATAAAAAAAACACCTAAGTAATATATATATATATATATATATTCAGTTTGTGTAAAAAAAATAAATAATGATTGATTTTTCAAAATTTTAACACATAATTAATTAAAAAAAGAACATAAATTAATGAAAAAAATTAATTTTTTAAAATAACATAAATTGATGAAAAAAATAAAAGAAAAAAACTATGTGTAGTGCATCGATTACGGGATTAAAATTTTTATTTTAAAATTTTAGATATCAAAATAAAATAAACCTAAAAATTTAAAATAAAATTAAATAAAAAAACCTAAATTGATGTAAAAAGGGGGGGGGGGGTATGTATGGTGAAAGTAAACTTTAAAAAAAAAAAAAACACTTGCTACAGGGATAGTGAAACCAAACCACTTAAAATAAAAAAAAACTTGCTTGTAAAATGTTGAAGAAAGGCTGACAGAGGGGAAAAAAGGCGTTAACACTTTACTGTTTTAGAGGTTAAAAAAAATAAAAAAAAAGGCCAGCTGAAAAAACACTATTCAATAATAAACAATAAAAGAAACAGTAAATATGAACAGTAAAACATGCTTGAATTTTAGAGTACTTGTAATGATATACAGGAAAGAAATGACTTTAACAAAAGGCAATCAAGCTATGTCGTTCTCGTTAAGGACTACCATCAACGCCAATATGAAGGCATAGTCCACTCCTGGATAAACTTTTACCCTGAAGTCATCTTTACCTTCGCAGAATTTTCCTAATGAGAATTTGTTATTCACCTGTATGCTAGTTCTTGCTTTGAAAAAAGCGAACTAAAATTTTGAGAAAGAAAGAGTTGGATTTCTTACTACATACTGAAAGAATTTCAAATCTTCTCCAAAAGTAGGAAAGAGCGAGTTTGAAAATAATTTATTTCCCTCTTCTTTCGTAGTTTTCATAAAGCAATAGAGGTTATTATGTAAAGGGAAACGAAAACTACCTCTGCAATCATGGCGTCGCCTCTGTAAACTTTGCAGGACTGAGAGGAGTAACAGCCAACAACCTGAAAGTTGCTGATATCTTCGTTGATGTTGTTAGCTAAGAAGATATCAAGCCTTGATTTCATCTGAAGTGCATGAGATCGTTGTACGCTGAAGACGAGAGCAGTCCTGTCTGAGCTTTCTCCTCGATGAACTTTCTGTGAGTGCCGGATCAAAAAAACACCGAACATAGATCATTCAACTTAGATTGCACATGATAAAGCATGCATGTTGCTGTTATGGACGTTATATCTTCTCTGAATTAATCATCATTAGTTACAGATTAGTTCAGCTTGTTCTGAAGAAATTTCTGCATTATAGACAGAGAGTACCTTTTCGCGCATTGTGAGGTTAGGAAAAGCAGCAGGATCTCGCATGATTCTTTTCTTCTGGAAGTTCTTGCAGGAGCCACCAACTTGTAGGAAAAAATCTCCATTAACATATAGTACTTCGAAGTGTACTTCAAAGAGTTCGCGACACTTCTTCTTGATGATCAACTCCACAGGACAAGGGACACAAAAGGCATCCCCTACGATGCTCATGATGGGCACACCGTATGCCATCTCAGGAGTTGCCACTGAATTTCATCCAGAAACTTAAGGAACGGTGCAAAATGTAGATGGTGTACAATATTTCACTTCCCTGCTTCAGATTTTACTAGCCAAAGATACCTTAAATAGGGCTAAAGTTGCAATTGTCTCTTTTTCCTAGAAAGAGAGCTCGTTATATCAAGAGGGAAACACGGTATCTCGGTAAAAAAATGATTAATATTTTTATAGATAGACTGGTGTTTGAATTTCAACTGGTATTAAAAGCTTAAGGCTATGAAATAGAGATTAAATCTATTTGTTTGAATCTATAAAGTGCTATGTCAAGGCCAAATAATTAATTTAAGTCGCAAAGCAATAGATTTCGTAAAGGAAAAGTTGATGTCCTTTTTTGTACATAATCTGCTGTTAGTTTTTTTTTTTTTAAATGGGATTATATCATCGATTCCTTGCAAGTTTGCAACACTTGGCATGGAGTGTGTGAAAACAGTGACCCACCATTTAATAAATACGGGTAGGTAAGACGATCATCTAAACTTGAATCAGATTAATACACCATTACAAAAGAAAGAAAAGATTTCATACAGGAAGAGGCTGTTGCAAGAAACAATTTTTAAGACACAAGGGAAGAGGGCTGAATCAGAATTATGGGAATCCCAACAGATTCGAGCATATGAAGAAGTGCCTTTGGTAATGTGTAAACTTGCAAAGAAACATTAACCATTGGGTTAATGGATAAAGAACAACATTTGTATAATGGATAAAAGAACAACATTAGTATAACATTAGTTCCATTTTACCATTCAAATGGCTGGTTCAAAAAAGTAAGCTAAAATTTGTTTAGAGTATTTTCAATAAACTCTCCATAGAACCAAGGTTCAACAGAGGAGCTGTCCACACCCATCCATCCACTCCAGCACCAATAAAGACATCCATTTCAGGCAAGCACGTAGATGATAGAACACACAAAATTTGGTGGACGTGTGTGCTGAGCATTATTTGCTTGGCAAACGATCAGGGTTACAAACTAAGCTACTCAATGTAAAAGACAGCCTTATGAATACCATTACAGCTGCGTAGGACAACTATTTACTAGCCACTCCATGAGTTCATGAAATATAAACCCCATGTTTCGTAGCACTAAAAACACAGAGTATTAATGGGGAAAAGATTGGCGAGAGAGAATTTTTCTTCCATTCAAAAGAGATACACTGTATTTTCGTTTCTTGTAAAGTCTAATCTCCTCCAAGATGTCAGATGACTTTTTGACCTGACTGTACTTCAAGCCTACAATGGGAAAGGGTTATAACCTTGAACAAATTACTTTAAGACGAATTATCATATCTCAGATCCTGGAATCTCTTCAGCAAGCTAGCCTTGAATTTCTCAATTTCTGCTTCCTCGGTGGAATCTGAGATAGACTTTATCACCGAGATTGCCCCAGAATGGTGCAAAGCTCCAACAGCTTCATCTGCAGTTTCAAAATAGAAACGCTAAGTTCCAGTAAATCTTGGCAGCAATTGTGTTGTCATGTGCACTAATGGATGTTGCTATAGGTTGAACATGTAAATCAAGCCCATCAAATCACACATAGCGAACTTAAATAGCCTTAGCACCAAGAGTTGAGATTAGATAAAGCTAATGGATTTAAATATGTAATATTCTTTATCTTTCTAAACATGTGTCTTGTATTAGAAACATGAACTCCAAATTATGCCCTCAACCTGCTTTTGTTCATCAACCGTGGTCATTCTGTAATGGATTGGTAAATCAAAGTATTATAAAGCTAGAAAAAAGCATAGCTGGCTTAACATTGATGAGAAGTAACACACATCCTTCTATCCAGGAGAACTTGAATCTCTGAGAAAATTAGTTGCATTTATGATTGACACGCTACAACATTGAATCAAAAGAGCACAGAAGACTTATTCATCCACGTCTAAAATCCATTGAAAGGAATATAAAGTACAAACTGATGAATGCAAAGATTTAAATCTAACCTGACTGTGAGAGGGCAGCAAGAGCTTTCAAAGCTACTTTCCTGGTGCTGTCATCTTTTGCAGCTTCCAACATGTTCAATAACTCTTGAGCCCCACCTATCTCCACTATTTTCATCCTTCTTTCATCTAGAAATCAAGAAGAAGAAGAAGTTGAACTTACAAATGAGATTTGACAATAAAAAAAGAACCTCAAACAACATTCCTCATGCCAAGCTAATTTCAATCCAAACCAGACATTCAGTAGTTCATTTACTTAACTATGGGTCATCAGTTCTAAAAATCATAACATTTTCTTATTTTAAACACAGCAAAAACACTCAGTTACAATACTCCATGAGAATAAGAGCCCAAATATCTGATTCAGATGACGTGCAATTGGTAATTTACAGATAAAAACCAATTAATTATCAAATGCTTTGATCTTTAATTACAAGAGACGAACAGAGCTCCATAGTAGCAACCCACATCAACATAACAGCTAGTAATTTATACCCAAAAATTCTTTAGAGCAATAATTGAAAGAAGCAGCAGCTGGGCTTACCATCAATGGCAAAACGGGCTAATCTAGAAGCCCCACTTCTCTTAAAGAAGGGATCTTTAACGTGCAAAAGCGAAACCGACTGTTGCAACATATTATCTCCTGTAAAAAGCCAGCAAATAATGTGATTTTTCTGATCATTGAAAACAAAAGGAAATCCAAAACTGTCTTTGGTGAACTGATACCCATGTAAGGAAAGAACTGATAACCAACAAAGGTTGCGGTCCCGACAAAGATTAATTTCAATAACCACCCAATTTTTCTCTCAGCGTCTTCTTCAACGGATAGCTCATCTGGAAAGTTAATTACCCATCAATACTTCCAATTAATAATTAACAATACAAAAATGAGAAATTGAAAGAAAAGAAGAAAAGGGATGAGAGAGAGAGAAAGTAGACCTCTTTTACCGAATGGCGATGATGAGATGCGAGATTGAACATTTCGAGGATTTAAACGACACAAATACTGCACCAAAGAAAGAGAAAAGGGAACAGAAATAAGTATAAATAGTTCGATTGACTGAACAAGATAGATTTTTGAAGAAGAAGAAGAAGAAGAAGAAGGCAGCATTACATTCTTAAGCTGGGCTGCTAACGTGCGCATGATGCTGATGGTGAGTGAGAGCCAGTCTTTACTGGTCTCTCTCTCTTCCCTTTTGGTTTCGTCCACGGAGGAGCTTCCAACTCTTTCAGTGCTAAACCGACAGCGTCTTATTACTTTTTTCGCCATTAAATTAAAGACTACCAAGTTTGATCTCTATCCTCTAGTCAATATCCTCCGACGTCGTTCTCTGCATTTCCCGTGCATAACAATGCTTTACCACCCAATTACGAGTAAATTATAAATTAGTCCCTCTTTTCATGTATTAATTTCATCAATAATTAGTTTTGTTATCAATTTTTTTTTGTGCTAAATTAGAGATTTTTGTTATCAAATTACCATTTCTTTATTTTTAATTCAGAAAAGAAAAAGAAAATAGGCTAAGAAGAAAAAAATAATAAGACATAAAAAAATTAATCTAATGAAAAACTGATGAAAAAACTAAATTATTGATAAAATTAAAACATAAAAAATTAAATGATTAATTTTTAAAACAATCTAAATTAATTAATTCATTTCTCAAAAGGAGAGGGGCTTATTTATAATTTACTCACCCAATTACTTTATTTCTCGTTTTAATATAAAAAATAAAAAATAAAAATCGCCAAAATATTTCAAGAACATAAAATAAAAATTTTCAAAAACACAAGTTTTTCAATCATTATCTCAAAGCGAGAATCCAACAACCCATGTGAATTTTTAGGGTTTTTTTCTTTTAAGTTTTCCTAAAAATCACAGATTATCTATATTTTTTCATGGTCAAGAGATAAGGAAATGTGAGTACATTAGTACATTCATTCCAATAGCGTACTTGAAAGCGCAATAAGCAATAAACGGAATAGGGACTTCCAATCATCCAAAAGCTCAACTGCGTAGAGAGGTCATAACAACATGGAAAAAAAAAAAACGAAATGGACTGCATTCTTTTGCTCCAATGAATAAAAATAATCTAGTTCTTGAATAAAAGGCAAACTCACTTTCTAAATTTGGTGACTGACCTAGACATATAGCTGTAAAACAACCAGAGAGAATGAGAGAGAGGGAGATAAGTAAAAACGAGACTTGGTACTTGACTCGGACTAAAGTCAAGATTTGCGTAGAAAGTAGTAAACACAACTCATAGGCCAAAATCATCAGCATCAGGATGTGATGCAACAATCCCTTCGTCTCCAAACGGCCGCTTCTTCTCGTGCTCGATGCCATGAGGTATACATCTCTGCCTTGTCAGAAGCTACAAAGACAAGAATCTCCAGAAGGGAAACCCCAGTTTCTATCTCCTGCGTAGACAAACCAAACAAATAAATTTTGTAAGACATCAATCACAAGGAATCACATTTCATGTATCGAGACCAATGCTTAAAAAATCGGTAATTCTTGCTGATAAAAGAATCGGAAAATCTATGATATGCCAACCAAAACAATCTATTATATGGTCTGTTCTCTTTTGAAGAGTAATGGAAGTATGGAGCTAATTGAAGTGTGGAGCCTGCTGGAAAACCAATTTGAGTAAGATATATAGAAGATGCATGTGCATTTGAGAAAACACAAGCTGCTCAAAATACAATATTGCAACTCGTGTTCACAATAGACCCCAACTCAACAATCTCCCTACTCCAGTCAAAATGCATAATGACATATAAATTAAAAAAGAAGAAGTTAACTAACCTTTTGGGTTTGGCTGTTGGAACAACCAATCCTCTTTTTTCCAGGCTTTTAAACCGATCCTTTACCAAGGTGCAACAACCCTTTATAATCAAAAACAAAATCATCCAACCTTAAAACCACTGAAAAACCTCATAAATAAACAAAGAGCAATAGAAAGAGAACAATGAGAGAACCTTTATTTTCCTGAGGGACCCAGTAATCTCTTCAGATAATAGTACTTGAACAGGGGCAGGCTCAAACCTGAAATATTGGTTCCAGTTAGTTTTGCAGCGTTTGAGATTAATATTCTCAGATATAAGTGGAAAGAGGGAAACAAATCAATTTAAAAAGACATCTCAAACACTGGTAAAACCTTGAGATCCCTGAATTGAGTGAGTCCCAGAAAACAAAATAAGGACAGTTCACTAATCAGTTTGCTCTCCTAACCAGCACTAGAAATATATAAATTTTAACAAAAATCATGCATACTTGTGCTTTCCCAAGCGAGGCGGACGCGCCTTTAGTCTTTCTTGCTTAGCTACTAATCGCCGGGTGTTTCTTTTATGCTTCTCCTCATCCTCTTTCGCTATTTCTTGAATGATATCTGGCAAACTGAAATCAGGAGGACCAAACAATATTAAAACATATCCTTCATTGGAATCCACCTCACTTGAATAGCACCCATCTCCCTACCAGTCAATCTCTTTGGAAAGTCCCTGCTTCTTTTTGGCTTCTGCTTCTTTCTTCTCCTGTTCTTTACGCCTAGCTCTCTTATTCAACTCAACTCGTGTCACCCTCTTTTTTTTATTGGACCTGCAGAACAGTCATTCCAACAGCAAGAGCTTGCATGATTGAGTGTTGAAAATATTAAGAAAACCCACTCAATTCTTAGCATACTCAAGAAAACTTAGACATCAAAAGCAATAACAAAGCCTCAATCCCAAACTAGTTGAGGATGGCCATATGGATCCTAGTGCACCATTCAGGTCAATCATACACATAAGAACATTTAGAGCAAAAGAAAATCAAAATAACAAAAATTATATCTAGTATAATAGTGCTATTAAAGAAAGATTTCTGTAATTTACTAGTACTTACACATATGCCTTGACACCCCAATAATATAGATCTATGCCCACATTGTGGGTGTGTGTGTATCAGGTAATATGTACATATAACATTCCAGCCATAATCATATAAGGTTAAATGAAGCTGACCTTTGCTCTTGAGCAGAATCCTCATTCTTTTCATTTGTATCATCATCATCATCATCATTCCCATTATCAGCATCAAGAAAGTACATCTGACAAATTGTGGATGTTTTAAGACAAGGCACACAAGGTGCAAAACTACAACATTTTCATGCACAAAGTTCCCAGTGAACATATAAACAAATAGAACACAAGATACTTACATCTTCTTCATCAATTACTTGCCCAGGAACAGTTAATGGGACAGGCTGAGGTCCCAACTCATTTTGATAAACTTTCTGCATTTCTGTTGCAACCGCTTGAGCCAAAGAATCCTGGATTGAATTAACAGAAAATGCAGCATTTTTCAATTATAAAATGCAACATAGGAAACATATGTAATCATTTTATGCAAATCAAATTACCTGATGAGCTTCAAATGATGGATTGAATGAGCATCCCGAAGGCTCAACTTCCACTGCTGGAATAACTGAAGGTTTGGATATCTGTCATCAATCAGACAACCATAAAAATTGATTATAGGCAAAATACATCCGGTTCTACATTGCTATGGAGCAAAATGGGATCCACTTGTATCAAATTCGGAGATAGATTCCTTGTGCACAATGAAGTAGCATGGAACACTCATTCCTTTCCACATCATTATTTCAGAGAAAATGTGTGGTAGTGGCAACTCAACAGGCATAAAAGTCAATCACAAAGGAAGTTGGATCATAAAAAACACAATTACCTTTCTAGCTTTGTCATCACATTCGCCTGCAAAAGTGTGAGAAGGAATCAACCATGAAACTCGTTATTTCCAAATACCGAACTGACAGGAATCCAGGAATAAAAAAAGCCAAACCAGGTCAGTACAAATTACCTTCGTTTTCCCATATATCAGCCATCCCAGAACCCGAAGCAGCACCATTCTAGAACAATAAATACAAACACATCAATCCCAGACTATCCTGAACAGCATAAAATCATAATCACTCTATCCTCAAACACTTGCTCACCTTGGAAACATCTTGAGTAGAATCTTTTGCCTCAGAATCTTTCTTATTCTTATTCTTCTTCTTGCATTTCTTCAGCGTAGAAGATGGCACCGCTTGAACAAAGGTGTTTTTCTGCAGCACACTGTCGCAACGAAGCACTTTCTCCCTGTGTTTCTCAATTTTCCGCTTCACAGAAAGATCTGCGAACAGCAATAGCTAGGGATTAGATACCACTAATTAAACAGAACAACAATAAAAATAGGGAAACTCCCATTAATTGAAAAGGAGTAAAGAGATTCACGAACAAAAATACAGACAATATTAAAACCAATGACATCTTAATCTGACTTAACAGGACATTAAAACTAGCTTAAAGAAAGCATGACAGCAGGAATAGAGATTTAGGGGGTAAGAAATTGCTCTTCTGAAATTCAGTAATCAAAACTGGAAACTCTTATGCTTTGAATCTGAGGGAACTATCAAGGCGAAAAATAAAAGTTCAAAACAAGTGAACCTTTGGATTTGTCGACGAAGAAGAGGGAGTCGGTTTCAACATCGGCAAGAGAGCCGCCAGTGAGAGCTTCTTTTGTTGATTTCTCGAAGAAATTATCGATGTCATCTGTTTTTATGTTGGCTCTCCATGCTTTCTTTCCTTTTCTTGAAGTTTTTGCTTTCTTCCCCATCTCTCTATTCTCTTAACACCTCTGTGTGTGGCCGCGCTTGTGCTTTGCTTCGCCTTTTGCTCGTCTTGGCTTAGGCAGCTGAAAGAGAGGCGGATTTGCGAGCATTACAGTTTATATCCCTAACCTGCTTGAAACGATGTCGTTTCTAAAACGGTAATTTACTTTTTTTCCTCCTTGAAACGATGGCATTTTAAAGTTGACAGAATGACGTCTCTCTTTCTAAGTGCTAATTTATCTTATTCTTTTTTTTTTCCCCTAATTAACTCTTTTCTTTTAAGTTTTATCTAATTATTTTGTTTGGACGGCTAATCTATCCTCACTTCAGTTTTCAAGCTTCAAATTAATTTATAAATTAATGTAGTCAAACTACAAGGATTACTGGTCATCAATTTTGATCATTAGTTCTTTTTTTTTTTTTAATCTCAATAAGAAGAACAATTTTCATGTATTAAAATTAAATCTATTTCACATCAGATTTATATGTACTTGTAAGAAAATAATTAACACGATTTGCTTAATGAATATTTTCTTACATAAGTTGAATCACTAATTCCGGCTAACTTGAGAACGAATTTAATTTCGATTGTAATTTTAGGTAATATTTTATCATATTAAAATATATTTTTTAAAAAATCAAATTTAAAGGTAATAGATTCTGAATGCTACTACCATCCATCCATGGGAACCCTTCATCCAGGAGGCCCAAAGGCCTAAAATTACAGAGGAAGGGCCCAAAGTAGTAACAGAATCGGAGCCTTCCTATAGGCCCATACAAATAATAAAGACCAGCCCCACGATAAATGGTGACGTTCTGATTAATGAAGACAAGTGAAAGTGTGGTATAGTGTCATATAGTTGGGTCCTCAATCTCAGCTACAAGTCGCCAACCAAAGTTATAGTTGGTCATGATGATCTGGCATCGCTTTGATCTTCATAGCATTTCCACAGAAAAAGTTCTCTCTACAAAAAGTTATACTACTTTAGAAGAGAGACACCCGTGCATGGCTAACTGATTACTTGCTTCTCTTGGAGTTGCTTAAGAGTCAACTTGTCTAACTTGAAGATAATGTCATACTGTATTTGTGCTTGAGGTAAGCTTTGATAAAGGGATCCAATTCGCCATCCATTACTGAAGCAATATCTGATGTCTCGTGTCCTGTTCGGACGTCTTTGACGAGTTTGTATGGATGGAATACATAGTTTCTTATCTGTTGGCCCCATTCTGCTTTCACTGCATCTCCCCTTATTTGCTTGATTTCAGATGCTCGTTGTTCCTCAGCTATGACCAATAGTTTCGCTTTTAACCGGCTAAGGGCCTTGATCTTGTTTGATAGCTGGGATCTCTCTTCTGCAACACAACAAGGAAATACCATCAGTTTTTTGGAACTGTACATTTTACAAAAATAGATTCTATGACAAAGTTAAATAATTAGGCAAAAGAGAAAGCCTGTTAGCACTGCAAAGTTCAAATGGAAAATTTGATACCCAAATGAAAAAAAAGAAAGAAATTGCATCATTGGAGTGGCATAAAGATCAGCTGTCAGCATTCTAATCAGTAAAAACGTGAGAAAATTTCCTTTCTTAATCAAGCAATGAGGTTTATTATCTCTCCCTTTCAAACCTTTCATTTTGCAAGCTAGTGGTCATGCTGCTCCATATGCTCCCTCACCCAAGTCTCTTGTCTTCCCAACTGCTTTAGAAGGCAGCTCTGGCAGCCCCATAAGCTAGTGGGAGGAGTATATTAGATCTCGCAGCTGAATATTTATGTTCACAACTTTACAGCTTCGAACATTGTTTTTCTTAATAAATGAAGTCCACTAAATCCCTTCGAGATTTCAACTATTTAAAAGATAGCCAACAAGATATAATTTAGAGGCACAATCATACCCGTGCAGCGAACGGTTACACCAGTGGGAATATGAGTTATCCTGACAGCAGTTTCAACCTTGTTTACATTCTGCCCTCCTTTCCCACCTGCCCTTGAAGTACTAATCTCCAGGTCCTCCTCAGGTATTTCCACATCCATCGACTCTTCAGGAAGTAAAGGCATGACTTCAACACCAGAAAAACTTGTCTGCACTTAAAACTGCATGTTAGGACATGCAGGTAGATGATTGACAGAAAGGAAGGAACCTCACTCCATTCAGAATCTTCTCATATCATGTTAAAACATACAGGTGGATGATTTCATCAAGACCTTCCAATGAAATGTGGTTACATGCAAACCATGGTGTGGTGGTTCAAATTCATTTATATCTTCAACAAGAAAATCAGTTGTCTGTGGCAGGTTTATCTCACTTTTTCTTTCCCTTGCCTTAATGTGTTTTTCCCTTTGAAACTCGGCTATGTAACTAATTGAAAGTAGAGTTGAGTTGCAAGCAGAAAATGGCCATATCTGAATCTAATTCATGAACTTAGCATGTGGTAAACCTTTATGAAATATTAGCTGAATAATACAAGACAACATTCTTATTTCAAGTGCATCACTCACTCGAAGTAAAAAAAAAAAAAAAAAAAAAGATGAAGCTACCTGACGAAGACCTTTGGAATTAAATGGAGATTGCCGCACAATTCTGTGGGTTCCCTTCTCCCCAGATAGGTAGCCATAGGCATACCGGCCTTCAACTTCAACTGTGGCGGATTTAATCCCAGCTTCCTCTCCTGGGGAACTTTCAACCACCTTTGTCTTATACCTCTGTTTCTCTCCCCATCTCACATACATCCTGAGAAGCATGTCAGCCCAGTCCTGCACTGGAAATGGACAGAATTTTACACAAGAATAAGCAAAAAAATACATAACTATTATTCGATAATCTTAGAACCCCTCCTGGCACATCCCAGGTTCAAACCTGGGACACACCTGTTTGGATAATGAAACTTTCCTAGATAATAGCAATTCCAAAGAAGCAGATGTTGAGTTTGGTCACCATTCAATCCAGCATATTTTAAAAAAATAATAATAATAAATAAATAAATAAATAAAACAACAACAACAAACATTTCAGTCTGACTGGAAGAGAGCAACTCCATTCTTTTACCATTTCCTTGTACATGCAATGACTCTTTACCTGTGCATCAGTACCACCAGCACCAGCTGTGATGGATATAACAGCACCTTCTTTATCATAGGGACCAGAAAGAAGTTGAGTCAACTCAAACTTATCCAATGCCTTATTTAATTCTTTAATGATCCCAGTTGCCTCTTCTAGAAGTCCAGCATCTGTGGATTCCATCTCCTCTGTTAGTTTAACTATAGTCTCGGCATCTTCAACCTGCACCCAACGAGTGAAGTGCATATAACACCACCATATCCAGCAATGTTTACGGCCAAATTAACTTTTCAATCATTGGCATCTCACTTTTTATTAAATTTCAATTGTGTGTATAAAAGCATCACATCTTAAAATCCAGATACAACAATTAGACTCCAACTTTTCACAAACATCGTGCGGTGCTCTATAACATCATGTAATTTACAAACAAGGATATCAATGGCACTCAAGTTTTTTTGTTTTTGTTTTTTTCCATATCAGTGGCACTCAACTGGACCAACTAGCTGAAATACTGTTTTCACAAAATAGTTTGTAACAAACTATTCTTCTTACTACTTCCTATCACCAACAGAACCACATTTTCCGTATGAAAAACAATCTATTTTTAAATACTTAGTATTTCCCTCATTTAGCATTCACAAGTAGTTTTTGCACAGAATTTAACCTCCAGATTATTGGTCTGCACCAATTACATAGAATAAAAAAAAAACATATGAACCCCCACAGGGCTCATTCTGACGGTGACAACAGAACGACATACCTAGAAAAGTATTTATTTACTTTTAAAAAAAAGTATTTATCTTTGCTCATTGAAATTATAAGCACCAGACCTTTTTAGTCAAATTATTGAAACATATATTCAATAGATGAAATGTTAAATTATAATATATCTACAATCCTCACATACTTAGGATTATGTTTTTCACCTCAAAAGGGACTGCTATTGAGTTACACATTTAGGGGACAAAAATTAAACAACTCAATGCTTCGAGAACAACTTTTTAACACATTTGATTTTCCCTAACACAAATCGCCAAAGCCAATTATGTGAAAGATGCATTACTTGTTATTCTCATGGGTATACATACTTCACATTTCACCAACCTTTACTTGATTTATGACCAATCTGTATTCTTAACTGAGTGGCAATAATCGAAAAGCAACTGTGATGCTATCCAAAAGAAAAGATCCAGACCTTGGTTTTGAATTCTGCAAGCAAATTCATCTTATCTTTAACATCAGTCAGGGCCAGCAGGGTTTCTTGAGCTTTAGCACGGTCATCCCAGAAGGAGCTATCAGCTGCTTTAGATTCCAAATCTGCAACTTCTTGCTCTAATAGATGCAAACCAGCTGAAGCTCTAATCTCTTCAACACGCTCTGAGGCAGTTTCGACATCCTTCCTTAAGCTATAGAAATCTGTAAGAAATATCAACATTATAAACAGGCATTTTGAGCGGCCACTTAGTAAATCACATAAGATCAAATCCTATTGTTATTTCATGATATACGTTAAAATGGCAATAGCAACTTTAATTTGACGCTATGTCCCTCCAAGTTCCAAATGCCACTTTAGATTTCACAGCAACAGTGGCTAAGAATCATTAGACATCCCATATTTTGAGTGCCAAGGTCACAAGACTACTGCTAGTATATGCTCAAACACAATAATATTACCAAGCACACCATCATGTTTCTCCTTACTAATTGTAAAACCAATGGATAAAGAACAATGAAGACACGCAGGAAAAATATTAAAGAACAGTCATCAATTTTCAATGCCCTATGATAGAACAACCATACAATAAGAACATAATATTCATTTTCTCCTATATTCTAAACTCATAAACAAAAAAATTGGCTTAAAATGATCATAACAAACCTTGCATTGCCCATTCTCTGGTCTCGGTATCAGTTTCAACACTCAATTGGTTGTCTGGTGCGGCATATATAACTACATCCAAACCATACAAATATGAGTTAAACAAAGCATTTGATATCACCATAATTAATGATTCAATAATCATCGCACTCTCCCGCACCAGACAAAACAAATATGCTAATAAAGAAAACCTATTAAAAATTCAGAGCAAATTAGACAACCCCACAAAACCAAAATTTTAAATAGAGATAAGAAGAACACTAAAGTAAAAGCTGATTTGAAATTAACGTACCAGAAGAAAAGGAGCGACAAGGGGCAGAAAATATTGAAGAGAGCAATGGAAATACAGTACAGTTTGGAGGAGGAGAAAAGGAGGCCTTGTGTTGAAACAAAAATGAAGGCTTTGGTGGTGCTAATAATACAGTAGCAGTGGAGCTACTGCATAAAGGGCGAACAAGAATACCCTCCATGTCACTTCAATTTCAGACCAATTTTTATAACTAACTAACAACAATCTGTTAAAAACTACGGGACTTTCTTTCAATGCTTGTGGCTCAATCCTGTTTTCTCACTTTTGTCTCAGTTCAAGAAGATAAGACAAGTTCCTTTCTTCATAGTATTAATATATAAATCAGCCCTCTGACTATACAGGTTATTTCAATTAAGTCTCTTACTTCTAGATTTAGCAATTTTACCCTAATAGCAAGATTGGGTTTTGTTAGTAAAAATTCAATTGATATTGGCATATATTGAAACTATGTTTTGTGGTTAGAATTTATAATGGCAAATGAAAAAACAAAAACTTGGTAGCATATAAATTTTGTTAATTGCTTGCCACCTGGAAAACATTGATTAAACTTTAATAGTTTCAAAATAATATTGTTTAATTTTAAATGTTATTGAAGGCATAAATACTTGGGCTGTGTCAAGTAAGTTAAGGCCCAAGGAATAAAAGCCCACCAACAAAGGAGGATTCCAACAAAAAGAAGAGCCACAGTTCAGCTAACAGGAAGCATGTAGCAATGTATGCATAAAAGCCCAGCCAAGAAGCAGCTGGGCACAATCACTATCACTATTACTGTTACTGTTTCTTTCTTTTTGTTTTTTACTTTTACTTTTACTATTACTATTACTATTACTACTTTTGATTCACAAGAAGTCTTTATCAGCGTTTTCACTGATGTTGTCCCAACATGGAATTGCACCAACAATGGCACTGCATGCACCACAACCTCTAACTTATGTGAACTCTCTAAGACTGAATGGTCCTGGAATGTTCATTCTTACAAGACTATAGTGTCAGAATGGGACCTTCAATGTGCTAATTCCTTTATTACATGCAGTTCTCCCTGCCTCATCCTTCTACTTGGGTTGTGTCATTGGTGTGCTAACACCGTCCATGCTAGCTGATTCTTTCTTGGGGTCGCAAAAATTTCTTCTCTTATCATGTCTGATCATGTCTCTGGTTGCCTTCTTCGCCACATTCTCCACCAATATTTGGATGTACTGGGCCTTTGAGATTCATTAACGGTAACGGATTTGGACGTCGTGCATCAATTGGAATTGATATAATTGTGTTACTAATGGAGAAAGTTGGAAAAGGATGGGAAGGCCAGGTTCGTTTTATTGCATTCTTCTGTTTTTCACTAGGATTTCTATCCTTACCGCCATTTGCTTACATTACCAAGGACTCTTCGTGGAGAAGAATGTATTTACTTACTTCTCTTCCTAGACTCATTTATTGTTTGTTTCTTTATTTCTTTGCTTACAAGTCTCCCAGATGGCTTTTTCTTCAAGGTCATAATGAAGAAGCAGTGGCTGTACTGAAGAAACTTCAATCGGCAAGCCATTGTGATTTCTTGGAGCACATAATTAGATCAGGTAACATTTCTTTAAAACAAGAAAACGCGAAGGATGACAGCATGCATACAATGAAGAAGCTATTTGAGAAAGGATGGGCTTGTAGAAGAATATTTTTAATCATGCGAGTTGGCTGCAGCCTTGGATTGGCGCACTAGTTATGGTATTCTATTGTGGTTTCAATCCCTACTGGAGGGTTACATTTAATGCCATAATTGAGGTGCCCTCAGCTTTCATCCTCTTACTCTTTGTAGATAGATGGAACAGGAGAAGTTCTATGCTCACATAATTCTTGGTAAGTGGGATAAGCTGCGGTATCTGTGCCATAACTAGGAGTAGATGGAAAGGGGTAAAGATTGGGTTTGAGCTTTTAGCATTCTTTTGCGCTTGTGCACCATGTGATTTTTTAACTGTATTTACTGTAGAGCTGTTTCCTACTTCAGTTAAGAATTTAGCTACATCGATGTCAAGACAAGCCCATGTATATCCTGATAACTGAAGGGAGAAAAGGTAAGTTTTTTCCTTGTGGAGTGTTCGGGATAGTGATGATAACTTCAGGAGTGTTGTCGTGTTTGGTGCCAGAAACGAGGGGTGCAAAATTATGTGATACCAGTGATGAACAAGAAATTAAGCAAGGAGACTGTCATCACGTTGTGTAATGGAATCGATGCAATATAGTACTCGAACAATTCCATTGTTTGGGGATTTTATTTTATGTTTTTCTTTTACTGGTATCATGATCTGCAGAGTAATTTATACTCTGAACTCTCGAGGTTCCCTTCCCTCTAGAATTTCCGATTTCGATAATAATTTTAAATGACGGGTCCTATCTAGAATTCTAAATAGTGAATTCTGATTTTCCATTAAATTAAAAGGTGGTACTAACTGCTTCATGAGTGATACCAAGAGAATCCAAATATAATTTTTAACAGTATCACGGTATCCAGCTTTACAGTTCCATGAAATAATCTAAAACCATGTTAAATTTCCCATATGGTGATGAAATTAACGACAACACGAGAATGGAGAATAGTTGCGACAGCATCCGACCCTAACCGCAACCTCGCAACTTCGTTAGTAGCTTGGAGATGGGCGGGAATTGGGGGAAGCTGTAGATGGTAAATTCATTAACAATTCACGTTTTCAAATTTCACTGGTGACCCGATTCAAATTCCAAAGCCATAACAAATGGGGCGGGCCCTGTGTCAATGACAAAAGTTGTGTGATGATGGTGATACCGTAAGGTTATGGGTCTAGAGCTTTAGTAGAGCCAAAAGGGCATTCCTATACCATATGTTTTTATTTCTTCATTACCCATAACCATGTAGTTGATTTTTGCTATATTATTATTTTATTTTTGTCAAAAATTGCATTAGTGTTATTGATTTTATAATACTAGAGCTAAAATCTAATACATATTTCTCAAACTGTAATAAACTATATTAACAGAGGGAGAATTTATTTTCTTCAATAATTCATCAATAGTTCAGTGATCAAAAAAAAATTTTCTCTTATTTTACGTTTTTTCTCAATAGATCTTAATATCAAATTATCAAAACTCGTGTAAAAACTTATTCTATAGCATGATAAATCCATGAGAAAAGCATGTAATAAACAAATAAAATAAACCTCAAAAGCGAGTATGACACTAGACAAATTAGAAAGAAAGAAAAAATCTAATAGAGATATGAGATTATTCAGAAAACAAAGGTAAAAAGATAAAATAGTGTTGTGTTGATGATTTTTTTTACCGGTGACAATTACTGATAATAAAGAAAAGAAACTTTAATGGTGCAATTTGATCATGTATTGAGTGACCAAAAAGTTTGTAACTTAATAATAATATTATCTTACAAAAAAACGTAACAGATTTACATAAAGACTAATTCAATTGGAAGCTTGTGAGTTAATAATAATAATGTATTGAATGACTGGTCTTTACTAGGTATCATTCTTAATCATTAGAATATTGTTGTCGGCCACTATTTTTTTTTTAATTATTTGAATTGATTGAAAGAAATAAAATAATAAGGTGTTAAATCGTTATTATTTTTATTATGTATTAAATATGTAAATTTAATTTAAATTCTTTCTTATTACCTTAGAAACATGACTAGTTATGTTTCAAATCTCACTGTCAATTTATACTAAAAAATATGGTATGGTTAATTTAAATTAACACACTTAATTGTATTTAATTAAAGATATTTTATGATATAATAAATAAATTATTAAAACAGTCAAATCATTTTTTTTAACTAAATAAACAGATGTAATGTGATTGCAAAATAAATGAACTGCTTGATTGTTCTCTTTTTAACGAAATAAATGTTCATTCTATAAAAAAAAAATCAAATAAATAAATTTATTTTAGTTTCAGGTAATTTTTTTATTTGTTAAATATGATATTATTTGAGGGAAATTTTCTTGAAAAAGCTCCAAGTTTGAAATTAGTTGGCTAAAGTCAGAGTCAACTGCGGACCACCACATGTTGGAAACCGAAAAATCAATGAATCTTTTTGACAATTGTAAGGTATGCTCTAAAAAGAATAAAAGAAATCAACAAATCTCTTTGGGATTCAAGATTTTCTCAAGGAAAGGAGAAAAGGAGCATAAAGCAAAAAAATAAACCAATCAATTTCTTAAATTACTCTAATCAACCACAAAATTGATTCTTGTAATTCTGGAAGGAAAGTTAAGTTAATATACTTTCCAATATATATATATATATTTGAAGAAATTTTTATCTTAATTAAATCTTCAAAAAATTCAAACATTCTCCATTAAGGTATTGTTTGATTACCAAGAATAAAACGATAAAAATAAGAATAAAAATAAATAATGAAAATGATTTTTTTCAAAATAATGATACACTATTTTTATTTATTATGTATCAATTATTACTACGACCATTTTAATTGATAATGATTATATAAAAAAAAAATTATTATTATTATATTATCACTTTTTTCAGTCAATGCTATTGCTTTTATAATATCACCACAATTATCATAATTGACGATGGTGTTAAAAAAATTATTATTAATATTATTATTTTGTTATTATTGTTTTTTTTAATTATTTTTATTCGTATTAAAAATAAGATATTAAAAAATTTAAATTTTATTATGATTATTTATTACTATTTCAAACATATAAAAATATAAATATCATTTCGATTTCTTAATTTTCGTTATAATTCTATCAGACTTTTCATTGTTAATAATCAAATAACATTTAAATATTTTGTACAAACTCTTCATAATATTTTAATAGAAAAGGCGTCAATATCCTTAGAAAACTGCTTCGTGGTTCATATACAGAAAAATGCAATTACATTTTGGACGGAATCAATTGACGGATATGGATGGGAGACTCGACTGAATAGTTTTTGAAACTTTAGGAATGTAAATGAGATTAAAAAAAAAAAAAAAGGTTTTGGCGATCCAATAAGAAATTTATTCATAGTTTGGGGACTTAAAATGAGGTGGGCTCCATAGAAAATGCAAATTTCGTCTGCCCAGATGGCCGGCGTCTACTCCTGCCCCAGTGGACCTCCTTGCAACTGGCGTTAAAAAAATCGTATCTAATATTTTATTCATTTTTCTATATTGATATCATAATATTTAAATGCTTTTTCTGGTCATCATAAATTCCTCGCTTCTCGACTGCACGATGGGATCTTTCTCTTTGTGTTTGTCGGATCGTGCGTGATTTTTATGAGTAAATTATAAATCAGTCCCTCTAATGTTGAAAACAAATTAATTATTTTTCTTTCAAAACCGAATTATTTAATTTCTTAATCCATTTTATGTTTTTTAATTTAATTTATTTTAAAAATAAAAAATACAAGTGAAAATTATGAAAAAATGAATGAGAAAAAAATATTTTATAAAATTAAATAATATCAAATTAAACATAATCAACATTAATGAAGTAACTAAATAATTAAGTTTTAAACAAAAGAAACTAATTCTTTTGTTTGTCAAAACTAAAAAACCTAATTTATAATTTACTCAAATATCTTTTTATTACCCTTTGCTAACTAATATTTGAAATGAGTGTTAAATACAACCTATTTTTTTGAGTTTAAGAAAACTTAGAAACTGTACGTTTAATTTCTATATTACTAAATCCATGGATGTCTGGTCATTTTGTTAATTTATTTTGCATTTTTATTTAGAAATAAAAAATAAAAAGAGAAATGATTAAGATGAGAACTTTTATTAGTAAAGAAGGAAGTTTTGAAAAAAAAATATATACTACATTGAAAACTCAATGATTTTATGCATGTTCATTTAATTATATTTAATTTTAAAGTATTGGTATGATATTTAAGGGAGTTTGTTCTTTTGGATTCAAATCCTGGAATTGTAAAAAAAACTAAAACAAAACGTTAAAGTATTATAGCATTTTTGCTGTTCATTTCCTGTTTACCTTTTTTCTTTTTATTCTTTTTTTTGTGCCTTGCCTTGCCTTTAGCCCAGTTTTTTTTTTTTCTCTCTCTCTTTTTTTTCCCCTTGCCTTGCCTGTAGCCTGATTTTCTTTCTTTCTTTCTTTCTTTCTCTTGCTTTAAGCCTCTCTTTTGGCTTTAAATTAATTTTATATTTTAATCCTTATTTTTTTACTTTTTTTTATTTTAGTCATTAGAATTTTATTATATTTAATTTTTAATTCTATAATAAATCAGTTGTTTTTTTCCTCTTACTACATTTTTTAAGCTCTTCTTTTGGCTTTTAGTGAATTTTATTTTTATTTTAATTCCTGTTTTGTTATTTTTTTTTATCATGGTTATTAAAATTTTATTATATTTTATTTTTGTCCCTATAATAAATTTTAGTCTTCGTTTTATAACTTTTTTATTTTGATCATTAAAGTTTTATTATATTTAACTTTTATTCCTATAGTAAATTATTTTTTTCTCTTCCTGCATTTTTTAAGCCCCTCTTTTGGCTTTTAGTGAATTTTATTTTTATTTTAGTTCCTATTTTATAAATTTTTGTTATTTTAGTCATTTAAATTTTATTTTATTTGATTTTTTTCATATAATAAATATTGAAATTTTATTATATTTTATTTTTTTCCCTATAATAAATATTTTTTTTTTGCTCTTAGTAAAACTATTCACGAGTCTTATTGTTTATAAGTTTTTTTTTTTTTTATCATTCTTTTATGATCTTTACTTTGTTTTGATTGGGTGTAGTTTTATCTCTTTTTTTTATTATTTTTTTTTGCCAAATTCTTAATTTGACAAATTTTTTTGGCTTTTTGTTTTGGGTGATCTCTCAATCTCATTAACAAATTACAGATGAAGAATATATGGTAAAAATTAATCATCTAAAATTCAAAAAACTATCACATTGATATTTTAATTACCAGTTATTATATATTTTTTTTTAATAAAATCCATGTTTTTATTAAAGAATAGGTTTTTTATTTAGCTAACCCCACGGAAAAATGTAAGATATATGTTTTGGTTTTTTTTTTAATTTTTTTATGTGATTCTTTTAAATAATTATTTTTAAATTTTGTATCTTATATAAATGAATAATACATAAGAAGGTTATTTAACTCACTTCAAATTTTTTTCGCGTGATCCTTTTACATAATTATTTTTAAATTTTGTATTTTATATGAATGAATATATAAGAATATTGTATAACTCACTTCGCAACGACGCACGGGATAAATTCTAGTTAATACCTAAAAGAATTTATTAAAAAAATTTTGAATTGAACGTACCACGTCGGCAAGGAGATGTGCTTTTAAGATTGTTCGTGATTTGGTATTAGTTGATGAACAATAATAAAAAAACTTCAGGAACTAATAATTAGTTTTAGAAAACTACAGAGACTAAAGTGGAGGGTAATGGTTCAGAGAAAAAACTAAAAACAGGGACTGAAAAGAGCTTTAGAATTGCGGGCAACTTGGAGCAGTGACCAAGGACGGCCTATTCTTTTATTCAAAATTGAAGACAATGACTGCCCAGACCAACGTTCCGACTACTTTGCGCCTCCTGCAACTGCAACGCAATTTTATCTACATAAAGGTTTGTTTCCTTTTGACCGGCGCATGATTTATGACCGACATTTTATAATCTCAGAAATTATACGTAATCTCAAATTCACCAGCACAGGCCGACGAGCTGACTCCCGAGGACTTAACTATAGTATTTGTGTATTTTCAAGCAAGTGAAGAAAATCGGGAGCGATCAAGACAAGAGTAGCTGAAACACAAATAAGGCAAGAGCGAAAGAAAAAGCAAAATGGCTTTAACACCTGAAAATGGTATTGTTTCTGCGAACTCTGTCAAGGTTGAGAATGGAGGAGGAGGAGGAGGAGGAGTTTCACTTGTTCGTCTCATCTGTGTGGATACATCCGGACAACACAGATGCCGTGTAAGTTTCATTAGTTTAGCTTGGTTATTCAATTTCATTTCATTAATTCCATGGGACCAGTTCTTGAAGATCATTAATGATCTCATGAATCCATTTACATCATGACTTTGCATACTCATTTGAGCAGTGGCTGCAAGTTGATTATTGTTACAATAATTTTCTTTTTCTTTTTGCTTAGATTACAGTTCTAACTACTAATGACAGCATATCAGCATAAAGTGTAGATGGAGTACCTCTTGTTGCTATCAATTACAAACTTCCTTTTCCTTCTCTTTTTTTGCAGGTTATTCCAGAAAAGCGCTTCAGTGATGTTGTAGCGAAGAACGGTGTCGACTTGACTGTGTTAATAATGTCACTAAGATCACTTTATGATGCTCCAGCAGATGAGAGTGGTCTAGGTAGTGGAACCGGTGTGATCAGACTTATGCCTGATTTGTCAACTAGGAAGCGAATTCCATGGTATGTCTTCCATCTGCCCTTTACAATTTTTTTTATAATTTTTAGTTGCGGTATGGAATGTGCTGCATGAAGATAATTAGAAAGCAGATGATCTGTGCTCAAGAGCTGAACACAGAGCAGACCATGCCTTTATTGAAGTTAAAGACACTCTGTAGCTCTATTTTCTTGTTCTCATTAGCATTTCTAATTGGAAATTGTATAATCATGCTTTAGTTCTTCGTAAATGTTCTATCACCTAATCATCTCGATTTCCTGGAACCAGGCTGGCTCTTTCTCTAGAAACTGTAATAATAATAAAAAACTGGGACTTGCGCTTAGGCGTGGTTCTTAAGCCCATCAGCCTATGAACCAAAGAAACAAATAAGTTGTACAATTAACACACGCTTGAGCAAAAATACACAGTTTCAGCCCCCAAATAGCCTTAGAAAAGCATACCTAATGTGTCAGTTTTTTTTACTCTGAATAAACGCCATGGAAATTAAAATACTGTATTTTTGCTTCTTTCCTTATGTTCAAAAGACCACCAGGATCCTACACCATTCAAAACCAACTCCCTAAATTAAAAAATATGATAATTGCCACTCTTAATGCTGGATTCAAAGTTTTAGCTGAATATAATCGAAATTATTAGTATAAAATACAGCACTGTAGATTCCTTCTCGTAGTATATAACTTCTTTGTAAGGAAGAGGAGATGTATAATTACCTTACAAAAATCCTTATTATGTGTTGTTATAAGTCCACTTAGAATTCTATGTTTGTGTAACTTGTGTTGCTTAGTTGATTGTCAGTTGCTGGAATCTTTAGAAGTTATTAGGTACAGTTTATTCACATTGATACTTTAACAATAGGTTGGCAGGAGAGGAAATGGTTTTGGCTGACATGTATCTTGGACCTGGTGAACCATGGGAGTATTGCCCAAGAGAGGCCTTACGACGGGTTTCAAGAGTTCTAAAGAACGAATTTGACTTGGTATTTCAGATGTTACGTCTTAATGCATTTTAAGTTGAAAATACTAAAAAATTTCCTGTGTTCTGATCATTTCCAAAACCTATTTTTGGCAGGTAATGAATGTAGGATTTGAAATTGAGTTTTTGCTCTTGAAAAAGGTAGAAAGGTATGTGTGTGACTATTTGTACTTTTGGGTTTGGATGATATTTGTTACTAAATTTACAACGTAAAATTTTGCAGAGAAGGGAAAGAAGAATGGGTGCCAATTGACTCAAAACCCTATGGCTCTACCTTAGGATATGATGCTGTTGCCCCATTATTTCATGAAATCGTCACTGCTCTTCACTCCTTGAATATTATGGTGGAACAGGTAAAATAAACCCTAATTTTATTTACATTTACCTTAATACACAAGTACAAGACATATAGCATATAAGGTTCTGACGATTTATGGAATATATAAATCAAATTTCCGTCTAGAAATGGAAACGTTGCCTTTCCTTGTCAGCCGCAGAGCAAAGTATCTCAATCTGCCCGAAAACTGCAGAGACAGAGAGAATAATAAAAGATATTGGATGTGAGACAGCATTGGCATGAAAAAAGAAATGTGAACATTACAGAGAGGATGCCAATTATCTTCAATACCATATATATATATATCCCATTAATGGTGTTGCCTTTTGAGTCATGACTTGCAGCTGCTTACATGTTCTCATACTTTGTTATGAGTTTTTCTCAATTAGGCATATTGCTAAACTGGATTAGGAATTGAATTAATTTCTCGTAACAAAGTGCCCAATGTAGAGTGTAATCTTTATTTTTAATAAGAAAATAATCATCTCCCTGCATTACACGTTTTTGCAGATACATGCTGAAGCAGGGAAAGGTCAATTTGAAATAGTCTTGGAGTATGGAGAATGTACAAAAACTGCTGATAACTTGATTTTTGCCCATGAAGTAATTAGAGCTGTTGCCAGGAAACATGGGTTATTGGCAACCTTTGTGCCAAAGTGGGTTCATGGGTTATATACTCTTCATCTCACTGTAGTGATCCCTTATCTTTCACATACTTCACCCTATTACTCGTTTTATTTTAGACCATTTTCTTGTTGCAGTTAAGGTATCAGTTCAGTTGGTTAATATGTCCATTTTCATTTTATTGTCCTACTTTATACATTGTCAAAAACTACATTCTGAGATTTAGTAAAATCTTCATTGTAGGGAATCTAGGGATGCTTAGTCAGCGGGCATTATAACATTTGATTGAAAAATTATCGGACATTTTATTTGAGTTGCTATTCTGGATGGTAAGATACCTAATATTGTTCTACATTTTTTGTAGGTTTGCAGTGGACGACATTGGCTCTGGTTCCCATGTACATGTCAGTTTGTTCCAAAATGGACAGAATGTTTTCATGGCATCTGATGGATCCTCCCGCTACGGAATGTCAACTATCGGGGAGGATTTCATGGCAGGGGTTCTGCATCATCTTCCTTCAATTTTGGCCTTCACGGCTCCAATTCCAAACAGGTTGCGATACTTTCCTATCATTTTCCAGCTCTTGCTAATGGTTTTCCTTTTTGTTTTCACGTTTGCTTTTTGGAAATTAAATGCACTATCATGAGGAACTGCTTGCTGGCATTGGTGCCTTGGAGTCTTGTCTAAACTCTAAAGTGTTACCTAACTCAAATATTCTGCATTGAGGGTTATTTACTGGGAATGCAGTTCCAGACCTTTATTTGAATAATATTTTATGTGAATTTCACTGAATTAAATAGATGAGTGCTAGTGATTTTCTTTGAAACTTTCATCTTAGATGGCGTGTACATCTTACTTGCTATAAATTCTCTTGACTTACATCCCCATCTAACTGTTATTCTTTTTAGTTATGATCGACTACTACCCCACATGTTTGCTGGAGCACACCAATGCTGGGGTAGAGAAAACAAGGAAGCTGCTATAAGGACTGCTTGCCCAGCTGGAATTGAACTCGGCCTAGTGAGCAACTTTGAACTTAAGTGTTTTGATGGGTGTGCAAATCCATACTTGGCTCTGGCTGCTATAATTGCCGCCGGCATTGATGGTCTCAGAAAGCATCTTCCTCTGCCTGAGCCTGTCGGTAAGATTACTTCTTCTTTAATAAATCTCAATCTTACCTCCAGCATTTTGATCTGGGTATGTTATTCTCATGTGGTTAGCAGGTCAGAGTTTCGTCGTTTCCCGGTTCTGAATGAAAATTAAGTTGCATTGTAACATCTTAATATTGTTTTTAAAATTTTGGCACAGATGTAGACCCTTCTATAGTTGAAAATGTTGCAAGATTGCCTCAGTCACTTTCCGAGTCTTTGGAAGTTCTTAAAAAAGACAAAGTCATGGATGAGCTAATTGGAGAAAAGCTTTTGGTTGCTATAAAAGCAGTTCGCAAGGTATGCTCGAAATGAGCTTCTTGAACGATGATCTCGAAATTAACTCATTAAAGAAATTCTTAACACTGCTTTAAGGTTTCTTGAAACGAATATTTTGACATTGAATTCTTTAAGCCCAGAATAAAAGATGATAGACAGTAGCCTGAAGCTGTTGAAAAAGATGACTTAAACTCAATCAGTTACACACTGCACAAAAGAGAAGCCTATTCTGGAATATCCTTAGAACTCTGAATGCTTTCCCTTCAGGATGCAAATTATGGTGCTGAATTTCATTTCCTGTTTACAGGCAGAAATTGACGACCACTCAAAGAGTCCAGAAGCATCCAAAGAATTGATACACCGGTATTAAGCAGAATATTCCGGATATAGATTGGTGAAAATTGCAGGGGATCCTCATAGAAGCTCTGTTTCACTGCTTTACCCAGCTTTTGCTGACATTTAAGGAGTCATGTAAGTTGGAAATAAAGAGATGAGAGTTTGACCATCTAATTTGCAGCTTTGTTTCTGGCAATGCTTATTAGTCTCTTCAACATTTTGACAAAGCCAATTTTTTAGCGTGCAATACTTTCAATTCTAAGATCAATAATAAGTATTCTTTCAACGAAGTCTCTCGAGCTATATGCTGCTAAATTGTCCTCGTTTAATAAACTGTCTAAACTTTAAATTCAATATTCCCTCTTCTTCTTTTCGTCCCTGAAACCTAGCTTTACCATTCCATCTTGACCGGTTAAATGAATTAGGGAGGCTTATTACCACAATTGATTGCTTAACCTAGTTTCTTTGGTAGATTTATTTGGAATTGGCATTGCGAAGCAAAAAAAAATTATGTTTAATTTGACAAGGGCCTGCACATTGCAAAAGTTTCAAATATCATCCATTTCATTAGAACCAAAAAATTTAGTTATTTGTAACACCTTAAATCAAACAATCATGAATTATTGGTGAAATTGACAGGCCCAAAAATACAATTGTTAACAAGAAATGATTGACCAAGTGCTTTGTAAGAACGTTGCAAGCAGATAACGCCATGAAACCGTAGCAAGTTCTTACATTTTATATTATTTTTTATTTTTATTTTTATTTTTATGCAGATAATAGAATATTCTCGAACTAGTTTTTGTATCAATGGAAACTAAGTTTACTTTTTTCCGAAGTAAATTAATATTAGAACACATCAACCTTTTGATTGACCACTGCATTTCCTCTCAGGCTAAACCAACTGCTACATCTAATATGCGATGGAACCACCAACTCCACTTTGTTTGCAGAGTCTGTCAGATCCATCAATAGGCTACCAAGGCTTGAGCTTCTCAAATCCACGTAAGCGATAAGCAAAAGTGTTATGATATTACCCGAACAGAGTGTTACGTAAACCCGATCTCGATTCTCCACCAAAATTTGTGTAATGCGGTCCAGTCACGATCGTTGTCATGCATGATTTGAAGGCAGCACCAAAATTCAGGACCAACCGCAGCTTATGGAAATAATTTTTAGATGAATTAACAAAACACCAGAACCCAAGCCAAGCACTCTTGTTAAAAAAATAAACATCACAACTCAAGCCAATTACTCTTGTTACCGTATTAGTGACTGAAAAATATAATTGGGATCTAGGTTTACAAGGCGGATGCGTCTGATATGAAACATGTTACTTTCGACAAAAAATCGATTGGAAGCAGCATTGTTTGCCCACTGCTGTTGGATCCACCGGAGCTCAACACAAATGCTGATTCAGAGAAGATACAGACTGAACAATCTTGATAACCCGAATCTACGTATTTGTATATCCAAGAATAAAACGAAGATTGAAGAATAGGAAGCATTTCTTTTTTCTTTCCTTTACCATGCATGAAATCTGACCAAAATTTAAGCACATAGGTCCAATGCATTATTAACATTAACCCAATGTTTCTCAAAATACCAAAACATCATGGTATCTTCAAATAGATATAACATCAATGATGAGTGAACATCTCTCGTCAATCTATAAAGTTTTTTTATATAACTTTCTACATGAACACACTTTTCCTAACATTAAATATAAAACAAACCTATATAGCTATAGGCCTATACCGAAGTAGATATCTAACTTGATGCGAACTTCAAAAAAATTTCCAAGAAGACATGATTTAATGAACTTTGCTCGTGGTACTAGTAGCCGCAAAATTATTTTCCTTCAGGGCCTTTAAGACTTCTTTAGAAGCTAGTTTGTTGGCTGTTTTCTTGTCTGCAGCTGTAGCTGTACGTTTGAATATCACACCATTAGCTTCAACCTCTATTGTAATAGAAGCATTCCTACCACTGTGGGAAAGAACGGGTTTCTTGTATTCAAAGTGTTGCTTTTGACATAATTCGTTCAATTCTCTTGCAGGATGGAATCTTACAGTCTCAGGAGTAATTAAGGGCTCCAAAAGTGGCCTTATACTTTGAAAGACTACCTCCTTGTTGTATCCCGAATCTACAAGGATTGCCCCTGCTAAAGACTCTATAACATCTCCAAGTACCTGTTAAGATTTGGGAACCGTATGAGTATAAAATGAAAAATTAAATTTGAATTTTTTATGCGCTTGTTTACTTTTTCATTTTTTGAATACAGTAATAATGCTGAATTCTAATTCTACATAAATAATCAATCACAAGATGCCAAACATAGGAAGATAGTGTTCTTCCATGTGAGACATCTTCCTGGATTTTACTCATTAAGTAGTCAAAATGATGTTATCATAAACTGATCAGTAAATCATGGGCTCAAGAGGGCTAAAATGACTGCACAAATAACATAATTGACAATATAGCTAGCTTCAACAAAAAACAAGAGTACAATAAAGAGAGAGGAAAAAAAGAAAACAATCGTTGTTAAATCAAATAACACATGCAAAACAAAGAACTTTGCAGCAAATATACACTAACCTTTGGGAAAGATGTCTCGGATTCCCATCCAAAAGTTGATTCTGAAGGAAATTCCTGAAATTTTTCAACAGTGACGACTATATGCTTTTGAAGGTCTTGGGACGTATGAAGGATGTGTTTGTGTAAGCCTCCTTTAACAGCAGATTGTGCATAACAATCATTGTTTACAGAAGCAGACCTCAAATCAGTTAACAGTCCTGGTGACATCCCAGGATATTCCTTGTAAATATGAATGGTGATGAGATAATCCAGCACCGCATCTCCAAGAAATTCCAGTCGCTGAACAACAGTTAAACACGTTGTTGTAAAGATCACCACAAACCAGCATTTACAAAAAGGATTGCAGAAACTAAAGCCATCCTAGAAAAGATAAAATACCCGTGTGCATGTGTGTTGTAGTGTTAGATCATCATGTTTTCATAAACAGCATAAATGCTATCATAATTGTGAATAAATTACCTGATAACATCTTGGGATCTCAGGAAGCATGTAAGAACCGTGGGTCAATGCCTCTACCAACAGAGAAGGGTCATTAAACGAATAGTTTAACAGTGACTCTAAGTAGCAAACATTAACAAACTTCTCAGCTTGCAATTGGAAGTGCCTCTCGTATGGAATAATCATGAAATCCACCTTTATACCAATCCAATCCATAAATAGTAAGGCTAGTACTTCACCGCCTGTACTAAGGTATGCACCAATGAGTGCCTCGACAACATCAGCAATTGTCTTAATTTTAAGATTTCTTCTTCCTCTGACGTAAATTTTTCTGCACCCAGAAAGTGGCTCCTCACTTAACAAATCACTTCCAAACTTATCACCAGGAACCATCCAGAGTTTTGGATCAAAAGATTCATGGCGGATAAATCCCTTCAGTTCAATCAAATGAGAGACAATTAATCAAACGAATCGTGAAATTTTTCTCAATACTACATATTTTTCAGTGGTCAAGTAAAATCATTTGATAAACTTTTATTTTTTTTTCTCGAAGGAAAGACTACCTGAAGTTTGAAGTCACATCCTCGCCTACAAAGTGCAGCATTTGAAATAATTTTTTCCTTCTTAATACTAAGAAGGCCTTCATGATGATTTTGATACGTTTTAAATAGCTGCTGGCTTGCAGCATATTTAAGAAAAGAATCTCCAAGAGTTTCTAAAGATTCTAAATGAAACTTCTCTTGGCACTTCTTTGTAGTAATTGCTTCCAATACCTACCATATAATAAAGATTGTTTAGTGTCCCAAATAACATTTTGCACAATTAGAGTGAAAATAAATTACCTTCATGGCTGGAATATTAACATTTTGAATGCAATGATCCGAATGCATCTTCTTCAAGTTGACAGCAATAAGAAGAGACTCTAGTCGATGCATAATTGATGGTATGAATGTATATGAATAAATAGTACTGATAGATATTGGAGATAAAATTATGTCACAGAGTTCAGAAGGCAACTCTACACGTGCATTCTCCGATTCTGTCATGCCCAAAAAAAAAAAAATCATGAATAATTTAAATGTAGTTTAATTATTCACAAAATGTAAATAAAAAAAAAAAAAAAAAAAAGGTCTGGATTGCAAGTCTGAATGCCCTAAAGTGGCGACTCAATTTACTATTGATTTATTTGGTAGATAGAATGAAAAACTGAAGATAGAGAACCAGGTCTTGAAAGGTTCTAGTTTAGCAAATAAATTCATTACTTTACCCTACTCTTGTGTTGTATGGACAGAAAATATTTGAAACGAGAGACTTTTCTATTTATTTTACATTCTATAGAAGAACAGAACAGGCTGGGAATTTTTTCATTGTGGTATCATAGGGTAGTCATGTCCTCAAGGAAGTGGGCAGGTAGTCCAAAACTTACCACGATCCAAACTAAGGTACCAAGCCTACATATAACAAATCAATCTGAATGAGTACCCCTTCCCTGAACCCATACACAAATTAATATCATGCATGCTTTGCCCATAACAAGATAAGACAAGAAAACAAGACCTTTCTCCTTTTGTTTTCTGCATCTGTTAAGAAAATTGTGCACTTGAAAAAGATGTCTCCCTTTAAGCAATGGTTCTCGATCAAAATCCAATTGAATGCTATGCCTGCAATCAGGTGTAAGGTTGAGGTCACACATAGGGACACAAAAATACAATATATATGTGAAATAAAACAAACGCAGAAGGTAAAATAGTTGATACAGATGAATAATAATAGAGCAATACTTCTTAGCATAGTACTCCTTGTAAGCGATTGCACCTCCACCCCTCAGCTTTAAAGGCGACCTTCCATTCAAATCCTCAAAAACACCCGTGATGCAATAGACACTACCATTGTGGGGGGTGCAGACCAAGGAATTCTGAAGCACACATGTGCAAACTGGACCGCCTTTGGTATGGACAACATGAGCATTGCCCTTCCAAGAACAGTTGAAGTGGTCCTCATTTATGTATGAAAACAAAACAGAACTAATAGGCGTCCAGTCGATGGAAGGTTGTGAGCGTGACCTGATAGCTGGAAGTAGAAAATAGTCTATCTCAACACCTGTCCCTAACTCTAATCCTTTTAAGACCTCTTCCAGTTTATTCACACTGCGATCCATAAGAACTTTGAAAAGAATAATCTGAAACCTCCTACATAAGAGGACCTGACAATCAAACAAAAAAAGGAAGAGAGGAAAATACAATACATCACATAATTTTCCACCACATTACACCTGTGACAAGAAAGGAAGAAAACCAGATGACATACCAGCGCTCGATCAAGATCAATATCTCCAATATACCTCAAGTTCACTGTCAATAGGCCTCTGTCAACTTCTAATTCAAAACCCATGCTACTTAGGACATCAGATTCAAGTTCAGTCCTCATGACAAGCACAATATCATGGATAGGAATATCGTAAGCAAATTTCTGATTCAATTCAATTAAGTAGCAGTAGTACTTTGTCTTCATATTCCGTGGGCCTTGACTGACCAGCTCAGGTGGAAAATAATTGGGTTGTTCATCATCACACTGCTCATTCCCTGTGAAATAAACAATTACAGGGATTAAAATATTGAAAGAAAATTGAAGAGAAAAAATGATTTTTTTAACAGTATAAATAATACTTTGAAAGTGTAAAACACCCAAACCAATAATATAAAGGCTGCAAACAGCAATTACCAACTTCTTGAGCAACAGCTTCTTCCATAACAATATCTGGAACAAGATGGTCTGTTAAGGCACCAATCTGATGGAGTTGCTTGCATGCTTCAAGACAAGCCTTCTGCTTCGAAATTTTACTATTTCCCTGTACACAAATAGTTTGTATGGGAGAACTTTTCGGAAGATGTAGTGTGCAACTCTCCACCTCCTTGTCTATAATACATCTGGGAGCTGGTTTAAAATACCTACAGAAAATACATCCCCCACCCCCACCCCAACAGAGAAAGGAAGAGAGAGAGCAAGCGTAAGCCCTGGTACAATACAAGCTCGTGAGAGCTACATAAAAAAAATAATAATAATAATTTAAGAGCTTAGCTTAGTTGTATTTTCATAACTAAGAGAACTGATGACTAACCCATCAGAAGGAAGACGTGAACAATAGAAGTATAGCAAACTAACGCTTGAAGCAAGAGTTACAACTGCCCCTGTGCCTTCAACGCTATAGAACTCATCATCATACAATTCACTCTGCAGAGGGGAACAAGGAGTGGAAGCGTGGCATAGGGACTCTCTTCTCATTACGTCACCGCTAGCAAGATAGTTCTCTAGTCGAGCATATGTAGTAAAATCCCCTCTTATGGTTATCAAAAACAAGAGAAAGAGATCAAATACTAATCATAACATAAATTCTCAGTAAATTGAACGAAAGAAGTTATTCCCTAGCAGTACTCATTGTGGCTACGTAGAATAAGAGTTACTGGAACATTACTTTTTCACCATTAACAAGTAGTCTGAATTCTGCATCCTAGCACGACCTCGGGACTGTATGAAACTGCTGACCGTGGCTGGAGGATCAAATCTAATCACCAAGTTGCAACTTTGTACATCTAATCCTTCCTCAAGGATTGATGTTGCAACAATGATGTTCACCTGGAAGTATACCAATTTACTCATTTCAACATGGACAATATAATGAATATATTCTTGTGGATCCAAGAGGAAAAATTACATACCATGCCTTCACGAAATTCTTCCACAATTTCATTTTGCATTTTGCGTGTCTGGGATTGCAACCCTGAATTATTTCCTGCTATGTATTTAGTCTTCCAGCTACTATGTTTAGGAAGCAACTTAGTCAATAGAGATTCAAAGACAACAGCAGTAATGACCCTTTCCACAAAAACTATACATCTTATGTCCTTTAAATTCCTGCAATTAAATATATAAAAAAAGAAACTCATCAACACGCAAGCTGGTGTAAAAATGACCAAAATATTAACTTGAGACTTTATTTATTCAAAATATGTTTTATACATACAACAGTTTAATAAAAAGCCGACCAGTGCAGTCGAATTATCTCATGAGCATTTAGTTTGATCAATTAAAGAGCTGTAAATCTACAGTACCGAGCAAACTCTTGTATAAAATATTTGAAAAATTCGAAACACAATATGCAACTTTGCATTTGTTTCGATCTTTTCTATACAAATCAGAAAATTTCCAGCAGACTTCAGAGACTAAAACCATTCCCAATCTCCTGTCAAACCTAAAGACTTAAATAAGTTGGATCCAGCTACTAAAATATCTTATAAAGGTAAATTAGGATGCATACTGCACCAACCTGTACTGAAGAAGTGACTTAATAAGGCAGACAACTTTTGGAGTTAGAAGCCCCACACCCACATCATCCTCGGTGTTATCACCAATATAGCATTCTTGACCTAAATGTTCAAAATACAATAAAGGAAAAGAAAACAATGGAAAAGTAAGAAGAGAATCACCAGTTAGATTCTCCAAAATTCTCTTGCCAAGTTAGAAAAGGTACCAGCTGAAAAGCAATTAGAAATTGCCAATGAGGCATCCCGGCAAAACAACTTAACAATTGCCTCACCAGACATGTCTAATTTACCACATGACATAAAATCACTACCAGTATCACAGTGAGAAAAGAACTGTGCAGCCTGTTTCATCAACATACATTAAACAACATCAACTACACAGACACCAATGCAATGACAAGCAGAGTACATGAGGGAATGCAGACTAAGCACATACCAGAGAAGCCAACCAAACACCAAGTTCCTCCAAACAAAACATCAAAGCTGAGTGCACTTTTGATATTTTAATTCGTACAGATTCTGCTGCAGACTCATTGAGATCTGATTGCTTGAGTGATAATTCATGCTGAAAAGCAGTAAATTGACTACCAATAAAATCATAGAAGCCACTGTCATCCCTTCCAAACTAGCAATAAAGAAAGTACACACCTTTGCTTTCAATTTCTCCAATTCTTTTTCTAAATATGCATATATACCATCAGGGATCTTCATGTGCTCATAAAATATGAATTTTGGGGCTGAGAACGGTATAAATTCAGCAAGCACGGAATCACTAACACAGGTATATACCTTCAATACAAGAAGTGTTATCATAAACAAATTGTTGAAGAATAAAGTACAAAAGTGTGATATGGAAAACAATCAAATAAAAACAACATCTAATAATGACCAAGTCTATATGCAGAACATGTATGATGTTCTATATCACCCACGGTAAAAAGCTAAAACTTTATAAGTGTTCTATATTTCCTCTGAATCCAAACATATCCAAAAAATAAAAAGGCAAAGACCATGGATTTTCTAGATCCAATGGTAGGCTATGGGGTTCCCTCCAGCTCAACTAAACCCAGCAACATGTAATGAATTGTACAGCATGTACCCAAGATATAATTTTCAAGAAATTTTGAGTAAGGAAGGGGAAGGGAAAACATTATGGATATTAGTTGACTGCATTTGAAATGTGCCATGTGGGATCATATAAATGTGTAGAAGTGACCTGAAAACAAGAGGAAACAATATACATAAAAATTCCAAAATAGGAATGTGAACAATCAATTCAATATCCAAATAAAAAGAACTGTGTGCTGACAGTAAAATTTTGTACATGAATGATAGGTAGAAAAATTTAAAACAAAAAACGAACAATTATCCTAAGGAGGAGGAGGTCAGAAAGTTAATAATATGCTGCATCATTTGGATGTTTTGCCCCAGTGAACAAGTGCACCAAGAGAAAACGCCAAAAAAATGCACAGAAGCAACTAGGTAAAGTAAATCTTCTCTTATACAAGGAATGTGAAACTACGAAAACTAATAATATACTGTGTCATTTGGATGTTATGCCCCATGAACAACAAGTGCACCAAGAGAAAACACCAAAACAAATTCACAAAAGCAACTAGGAAAAGTAATTTTTTTCTTGTAAACTAAGCAAACTCCTTAAAGGTTATAAACAGCATAACTCCTTTATACTCAATTGTTTCAGTGACCATGCCCAATAAATCACTAATCATTATCTGCTGAAAAACTCCTTTATGAGGACTTGTTTCAATGGCCATACCCAGGATACATGTTTTGAACAGGTACGCAAAGTGGAACTTGAGGAATTCATATCTAGTAACTCTTGGCTCTAGTGTAAATACGTATTATGCTTACAACGCAAATAGGAAGAAACCAAGCTAAATATTCTTAACAAGAAACGAGAAGCAACCTTTGAATGCATGATATTCTCAAGTTCACTAATCTGCTGCCAGTAGTATGATTCTGAGTTTGCACCTTTATCACAAAGCAAGAAAAAAGGGTTAAATCTTGCATACATCTAGTGAGAGAGTGTACAAAGCAAATATCAAGCAAACAATATGATCTATTGCTAAAGCATACCCTTTGATTTTATGGGAGAAGCTGTCATCCCAAAAATCCTAGGAAGATCATTGTGACCAGACCGTAACTCACGATGAAAGAACTCCTGCAAATGTGAATCATTCATATTTAGCAGAATATCCAAACATTGACTTAAAGTAGCATCTTTCATGGCTCTAAGTAAACATAAATGGTGACTTCATACACGAGTTCTGTAAATAATATATGACACTTAAAATAACAAACAAAACTTTGCATCCAACCAAATTGCTCTTGTGACAGGCACCCAGCATATCAATGTACAGTCAATTACAACTTTTCTTTAAATCTATTCACATTTATTTAGGCATTGAATTTTCTTATCAATAATTAAGAAAGATGATATGTTTGGTTCTGGAAACAGCCAGAAGAATTCATACAATGCTTAGAAATTCCTGTATGTATCTGATCTAATTGCAGAAATCCATCAATCTGATATTAACTTTCCATCCGCCAAAAGAAATGCAGAAGTTTAGGTTATTCTTCCCAAATCTGATACTCTTGCCAGCTTTACTACCAAATCCACACAGATCTTCCCACTAAAAACAAGATCATATGCTACGATGAGTTCCCTTAGCTTGACAGTGTCAAAGCTATTCAGCAAGTTAGTCAGATTATGTAAATTTGACTAAAACATTTTACAATAAAAATTTCTTATTTTGTCAAAAGGACAAATAAAGCAGGGTTAATTTCTCATAACAGGGGGAAAAAAGGTGTTCTGAAACTTCTACCTGAAATAACAAATATCACTTCAGCTAATGTTTTCATGAATCAAAACTAATTCCTTATAATACAACAGAATAAAAAGTTAACAAAAAGGGGAAGAACAAAGGAGAGAGAAATAGCTCACAGTCATGATGCATGCACAAGGGTCATTGCCCCTGGCATGATGACATTCATCGACTATCAACACCTTTATCGAGTCTAGCTTCAAAAAGCTATTCCTCAAGCCATTCAACAAAATTTGAGGAGTCATAACAAGCACCTGTACATATTAATCCAAAGGTCATCGTCCTTTGCATAAGACATATGCTGGTAACTTTGGCAAACTATGTACGCTTCCCACAGAAAGGAAGAGAATCATTATGAAGAAAATTAAAAAAATCAGAGGAGAAATGGCTAAGCAGCAAACTGACAAACAGCTCGAAATGAAGCTTTCGATGGTTTATTAATTTTATGTCAGCAAGTCAATGAACATCGTGCAGTTCCTGAAAGAGAAGCTACTGCTTGATATCTTCAAATCTCAGGTTTAAAAGCGAGAACATTGAAAGAAAATAAAAATCAAACGTAAAACAAGAAATGAAAAATAATGCCTTCCAAAATCACCAGTAGGATGCTATAATTAACCAAAGTGCAAGCCACATACACTACCCTCACCACTAGCATGCTAATCAATAACCACTGAAAACGAATGTTATTTTTTTCACTATTTTGGGCCTCTCAGAGTATGTTTTGATTCTTGTAGTCCAAAATGTTCCCCCATTTGGATATTGAGAAAAAAGCTGGCTGATTGAGGACAAGAAATCTTAAAGCATAAGACTTTGAAGCATAGGTAAAAACAGGTGAAAACTCAAAACTTAAACATAAAAGACAAGAGGCTAACAGATGTAAATGATTACAAAGAAAAACAGGGACAAAATAGTTAAACGTATACTCAATGATGCAGCTTTCACTCAGCTTACCTCATGTTTGTCTATTTCCTGCTTCCATGAAGCAACATCCCAGAAGTCAACTCCCATTTCTCCCCAGTACATGCCCACATTTAAGTCAGTATGCATTTTCACAGCTCCAGCTTGCTGGTAATCATGGAGGACAGCAGAAGCAGTAACATAAAAATAAAATAAAAATAAAAATATAAAGTTCAATTTTTTGAATTTTACTTTCAATATTGTATCTAACCACCTAAAAATTATCATTAACATTAAACTTGTGTAGGAAATCCTATTCCTTGTCTTTTTTTTATTAAAAAAAAAAAAAAAAAAAAAACCCCTTTGGTTGAACTCTGGCTTCAATATCAACTCGCTAAGTTTCTACAATTTTGTTTTGTAACTAAAGAAAAATTGAGTAGGCTACACACAAAGCGTTTACTGCTGCATCTAAAGAAGTCCACAAATTCCATTACATTACTAAAGTTTTACTGCCAAAAAAAAAAAACATTTTTTTTCTAATTCAACTCTAGCACTAACACCTGGCATTTGCAGAACTCCACAGTAGATATATAAGGTAAGTTGTATACAACTCATAAAGTAACAAAACAATTCCATCTTCACTAGCTATTCCTAACATCTCCAATATTTAGTCCTGTAATTATAAATTTCAGAAGCAGAAAAATGGAACTTTTAAATTGAACTGCTATGCTGTTGCTAAGTAATACATTAACGTAAATGCTACATGACATAGACACACATATGACAAGGGAAAGGAGTGTAATAAGACATACTTGGCGAACCAGAACAACTTTAGGAACCAGGAAAACAGCAATAAAACGTGAAGGCTTGCGAAGAAGATAGGCGTAACTGCGCAATAGCATGATGGCAATCAAAGTCTTGCCAGAACCAGTCTCCAGAAACACAATTGTGTTCTGCTTTAGCGCCTTCTCCAAAGCCTCTAATTGATAACTGTGAAAAAAAGAAAAAACAAAGAGTAGCCAACACAGAAAAACATCCACAAAAAAGGGGGAAAAAAACAGAATCTCTGAGCAAAAACAAACTATATAAGTAAAAGAATAATCAGTGTTCATTTATTGTTTAGAAAAAAACAAAAAAGTTTTGGGCAAACAAAGTTTTTCGGCATTCCGGCATTCTCTCTAAGCAACCAAACAATGGAGAAGAAGAAATCAAGATCACCTTCTAGCAAATGGGAGAGGATCAGCAGGGAGTTGTTGGGTTGTGTCTATATCCATGCTAACAGGCTCCATCCCTGTTCAATGCGACTCAAAAGGCAACCAAAATTCATTGAAAAGAAAACCCATCTCTCAAAAAAACATAGTCCAAATGAAAATCCAAAGAAAAAAACAAAAAAAGAAATGAAGACAAGCAAAACTCGATCAATGACTGAAAAATATAAAACTCACTCACCGATTGATTGAGGTATGAAGAGCAAGATGATCGCTTCAATAAATAGAGATTGTAGAGACGGAAAGAAGAATAGGAAGTTAGAAAAGCAATGGAATGAAATGAAACTACCCCGATGGGTATTTATATAGAGAAAACTTAAGAAAAAAGGATTCACTAGCGAGTGAATGAGCGATGCTTTTAAACTTTACTTGCTTGCCTATATGAGGAAGTAGCTTCCTAAAGAAGGTGCCAGTCAGTGTACTATATATATATATATATACCATCAAATTAGAAAAAGGAAAAAGCAGTGACAAAAAATAAATAAAAAGGAACTCTCTTGACTGCTTCGTGGAAAATTTTTTGACTCGGAGATGGTGGGTTCAGCTTTTTCTAAAACAAAAAAGAACGAGCCGTATTGGGAAGGGACTGACTGCGACTGGCTAGTTGAAGATGGAGCGTCATTGTGTTTTGTTTCGTTTGGGAAAAGCGAAGCGGCAATTTTTGGCTGTGTAATTGGAGCGCTGATAGGATAGCTCATGGTAATGACGGGCTTTTAAATTTCAATGGAATCTGAGGCACTGAACGGCGAACAGGGAACACTTCATACGCGTGCGTTTTGGTCCTTTCGTATACCCATCTACACGTATATTTAGGTCCTTCAACTTGTATTTTTCCAAAGATTATGCTCTACCCTCGTTATTATTCTTTTAACTTTCCATCATAATAATGGGATTTTACAACTTTTTTTTTTCTCTAATTTACTTCTTTCCACGTTACGCCGCATATGTGCTTAGTTGAATGCAATATGTTGAATTTATCATGTGGGATCAAATCTCATCCATATCCATAGATTGTTCATTCTTCGATTTCTTTACCACATCCATGTCAATAATTTTTGTTCTATCAACTTTTTTTTCCCTTCAACACCATGAGCATATTCCAGAAAGTTTTTCGTATGTATTAGAATTAAAATTATTTATACAATTTTGTTAGAAGTTTACTATTTACATCTAAATTGAAATATTTATAAGAATTTTACTTTTGAAAATTTGTCAAAAAATTTATATTGTTCTAAAAAATACCTATCAATATTTATTTTATAGAAAAAAAATAAGAAAGTAAGGTAAAAGAGAGAGAGAGAGAATAAAAAATAAGTCTGGGTAGATATTTCTCTTTTATAAAATAAGGATCGATAGAAAGTATCTTAAAAAGTTTCATAAAATTTGAACTCTAACATTTAAAAAGTCTTTCCGACCAATCAAAATGACAGAAAATTCAAACTTATGTCCTTGATCAAATAAACCTTAAACATAAGCGTGGCGAACTCGGCTCAAACCCATGAATCCTGCTGTAGAAGAAAATGATTCTTTTTCTTTTTTTGGGTAGCTGTAGAAAGAGAAGCCTCAATAGTTAAAAGGTTCAGACTTTATCCTTTCACTACCATACCCATCCTTCCAAGATGATTATCAAATTTAAAAGATCTATAACAACAATTAGGAAAAAAAGACAAAAATATTAAACTAAGAACAGAAATTCCAAAACTCACAGGAAATTCTATATAAAAAATTTTAAAAAAAATATTCAACTAACGGAATTCCCTCGACGCAATAACTTGAAACCAAAAGTTCCAGACCTCATGTCCCAAAACAAGCCAACCTCGTCTCCTGGGTTCAGAAACCTGCCACGGGCCACATCACCAAGGCCGAGAATGTAGGTATCGTTAGTTCCAGTCTTCAGATATACATTTTCACTTTGAATCTTTTTGGGCATGTCATCTGTATAATCAATTAAGATGACAAAACATTTGTTACCTAGGACTACATGGTTGGCCATGTCCAAGGTCCAATACCTGAAAACATGTTCAAACATTTCGTCATGAGAAATTATTAGTTTTGTAGTCCCAACTTCGTTGCTGATGATGGACTTCCTGATTTGCCATGGATTGTTGGGGTCGATGCGTGGTGTTGGATGCCAATCTCTTATTTCGATTAGGGCACGGGTTACTTGATATGGCACGTTGCGAGTAGCCATTGCGTCTTCTTCGGCTTTGGAGGGCAAAAAATTGTAATAGAAGGTCTTCCTCGTGGTGGCCATGACTGATGGAAAAGGTTCCAATGAAAAAAAAAAGAAGGGTTTTTAAGTATTATGTGTAATGAATTGCTTTAGCTTATAAGGAAATTAGAGATCTTATATTTTATTTACCTTTTTTATATAGGAATAGAGCTGGATTTTATCTTATTTGTGATTCTGAAACGAATTGATCGATTTCATCTTTGAAAGATGGCCATTTTCATAATGAAACACAAATTTGAATCATAAAGATACTTGATTCCTTTATTATTTAAATATTGTTATCTTTTAGACTTGGAATTTATTATCAATTCATCGTATATCGTTATTGATTATTTTTTCACTTACCATCTTTGGAATATAAATCCAATTACCATTTTTCACCGTTTCAATATGGTTATAAATTAAAAGGTATAAAAATATATCAAGGGAGCGTTTGATTTGCTTTAATGTAAGTATAAAAAAATATTCTGGCAGTAAAATGGTGGTGACGATGATATTCATGAGCTATAAATAATTTTAAAAACAAATACACTAAGGTTACGTTTTGTGTGGTTTTTATAATTTTTTTTTAAAAAACTTTCGAATAAAAAAAAGTCATGAGTATATTTGGTTAATTAGATAACTTTTAACTTAAATAAAAAAAAATTGCTGCAAAATTGAATCAAAAGTTAGATTTAATCAAAATTAAATTTTTAACTTTTAATTTTTGTATTCTAACTTATTCTATATTTTTTTTTATTCAAAAAAGTTGTTTTGCGTCAATTTTACTAAACATATATCTAACTTAACGTTATTTTAACTCATTTTTGTCTTAAATTTACTCGTGAAAAATAACTTTTAAACAAATTATGACTTAAAGTTAAAATGATACATTATTAAACATGAAGACAGAGGAAAATGCAAATAGTTTTTACATTTTTTATTCCAAAAAACCCCAAGTTTTTTGGAAGATATTTTATATCATGTTGCGAAGCCTTTTTTAACATGTTCGTTCGTATTAAGTTGTGCGGGTTGTTAAAAATAAATATAACACAAAAAAAAAAAAAAAAAAAAAGGAGGAAGGAGAGGTTGAAGACCTAGAATAATAAACTATCGCAAATATATCATATTCTGCCTAATTTCTTAATTCGATGTAATTTTATGTAACTTTATTATTTTTATATTTAGATTAAAAAATTTGAAAAATAAATGTTATTGGTGTTTATTGCTTTGTTTTTTAAGCGTTTATGGAGTTTTGACAGTTAAAAAAAGTAAACACTGTACATCTTAGGACTTAGGAGTGATTTGAGAGTTTTTTTTTTTTTTTTTTTACATTATTTATGGTTTCTGGTGGTGTTTAAATTGGTAAAAAATAAAAATCAAAGAAAGAAAAAAAAAGATTAACCTGTTTTTTTTAGAAATCAATAAAAAAAGTAAGAATTTTATTAATTTTGATATCTCTCTCGTAATTAATAATTACAGTTATAGTTATTAAGGGTTAAATGAATTTTTTTATCCTAACTATCCTAAAAAAATTATTCGATAGACAAATATTTTTTAATCAGTTTGCTTATTAGTTTAAACTAAACTTTTTTTTCCAAAGGATCTTAAGGATACAAGTCTGTTACATTTATATAAATTTAATAATTTTCTTAAATGCTGGCTCTTAATTTCGAATTCAAAAAGTTAAAAAAAACAATAATAAGGCACCTCCTTTGCCACTTGGCTAAGCAACTTTTTAACTTCTAACTCTGAATTTATTTCTGATTTTTATTATTTTTTAAAAATACTAGTTGTGATATCATCAATTTTTGTATACGTAACACCTTTCATATTACTCGTTATCAAAAAAATATATACTGGATGGCATTCGAGCTCAACCTAAACAAGGAAGTCGTTGACGAGTAAAGAATATTGAAGGTCCGAAAAATTTGTTATGAAAGGAAGTTTGGTATCTGACTCGTTCTCTTTTAAAGAGTCCAATCAAAATTCGACGAGTTGTAAAATGAATGTTAAAAAGATTATGTCCTCGTCCCCAAGTCCGAACATTCTTTAGTTTACCTCTAAGCAAGAGAAATCAAAATTATATTTTTTTACTTGTTCATGTTTCTGATTATGAAAATTGCCAACTTTTAAGGATATATCCCATTCGTGCTCGTAAAGCTAAAAAATAAATGTTATTTTAACAGTAATATGGGGATTGAGAATTAAAATTCTTCAAAAATAACTAATAATATCTATCCTATTAGTCTCTCGTTAAAAAAAGAGACATAAAAAATAAAAAAATTACATCTAAATTTATTAAAAATAATAAATATTTTTTTTTTGTGTTTAAATGTGAAATTTAGAAGGAAAAAAATTAAACATGGTGGTTAGATTATCTATTCATTTAACCATTAAACATCCATTTTAGTTTTAAAAAAATCTAAGCAAAGAAATAAGTTTTATAAATTCGAATAATCACATATCAACAAGAATATTAATAATAAAAAAAATTAGATAATAACAACTAAATAGGTCTTTCACATAAAAATATGATTAAACCAAGTAAAATATCGATTTATAATAATGTAAAACCATATGATTTATTTTTCAAACAAGTCTCAATATTATGAAAAAAAATTAAAAATAAAAATAAGTATTTTTAAAGCTTAAAATGAATTTCTAATGATTTCTAATTAATTAATTTTTTATAATTTTTCAATTCTTAAAACGAAAACTTATAAAAAAAAAAGACATATTTCTTTTGGTTCTGTAATGGGTTCAATTGTCATAAAAATCATAATCAAAATCAGTGGTTACTTTTAAACATAATCCAACTATAATAACCATTAAAAAGCATTCATATCAACTGAGATTAGAAAAGTCTAGAGGTAGGACCAGGCCTCTGACTAGAAGCTGAAAAAGCAAAATATAAAATGGCCCATCAGAGGTACATAATGGCAAAAAAAAAAAAAAAAAACTCTAAATTTACTCTCTTTTTTTATCAACTATTCATTTTCATTATTGTGTTTTTAATTTGATCAATTAATCTTTATGTTCTTTGAATTTATTAAATTAACCCTTATAATTTTCGAATTTGTTGAATTGATTCAATAACTGAATTTTGTCAAGTTTCTATATTAAGCATTCATGCTAATTATGTGACAATTAAATAATTTTTATTATGAAATGACTTTTTATATTCATATATGGCCTATGTTATCAGATAACCTATCTTCAGTTTATTTTCCTAAGATGATTTATCAATTTATTTTTTAATACAATTTATTTTGTGATATAAGTTTTACACGAATATAAAAAATCATCTCATAATTAAAAAATAATTCAACAATGTCATATTTGCGTAAAATAGAGATTTGTTATAAGTCATCTATTGAGTTAAATCGACAAATTTAAAAATCACAAAAATTAATTGAATTAATTCAAAAAACAAAAAGGCTAACAAATTAAAAACACGAGAATATAAATGAATAGTTGACTCAAACACAAAAATAGATTTAGAGTTTTTGTCAAAAAAAAAAAAAACTATCATATGGGTATTTCTCATGGCTTGTTAATATTAAAGTAGATAATCCCTGAAAAACAACAATGTGTGCGATGATAATCGCAAGCGATGGTTAACCATTCAAACCAAGTTGAATGGTTAATATTTTTTTATTGGAAAATGATTTTGTTTTGGTTATAATCCTCATAGCTAATGAACCAACAAGTGAATTGAACAAAAAGAATAATGTTTTTATATTAACTGTTAAAAGGTGTAATTTTGTCTTTTGACTATAAATAATTAGTAATTCTTTCCATCTTCTAAAATGTTTATTTTTAAATTTGTATCGAGACTTGTTCCATGTTAAATAATGCATTTGGTTGTTGTAATTATGAATGAATATCTTTATATTTTAGGAACCCTTTTATGTGGTAAAACATATTTGGTTGTTGTTGTATTTTTCATTATTGATGTTTTTTTTATTGAAATGTGATTATCTAAATCTATGAATTAATTTATTCACTCAAGTACTTTTGAAAATACAGATGATTAATGGACAACTAATAACTAGTAGCGTCGGTTTTTTCAAATCCGTAACAGTTGGTTAATAGTTAGATTATAGTTATAGGCTTTTATCTTAGTTACATTTTTTTCCTAAGACTATAACCATGATTAATCATTGTTGTCTCTAAACATATGTTTTGATTATTTTTTTTGTTTCAGCCATCAAATTAGTTTTTTGCGTCAAAATAAAATATTTTTCCAATAAGCCTTAAGCTATGTTACTCGCAAAATGTATTTGTAAAATGTTTGTTTCTCACAACATTGTTAGATATGTACAAAAATAAAAATAAAAAAGATGGTTATGAATCCTACAAAGTTTTTTCTTGCAAAGTTCAACTCAACACTGTACGAGGGAAAAATGCACTAATCCTTCAAACATTTTCGTCACAATCAACCACCTCAAAATAATTATTTAAAGTAGATATAACTAGTCGATTGCTCGCGCTACTGCTGTAGCTTTAGCAAAACAAAATCATTGTAAAAATTTATAATTTTTTATTTAATTAATTTTTTTTGAATGTGTTTCACAATTTTTTTGCTTTAAAAAAAATAATTCATTATTCCTTATGGATTGATTTTAAAATAAAAACTTGTAATCAATTTAAGTGAAATATTAATCAAGAATTTTAAAAATATATTTTTCATAATACTATATTCTAAAAAATAAAGTTATAATTAATAGATATATTTTTATAAAAAAATTATCCTTATTTAATTTTTTGCTTAAAATGAGAAGATTAATTTTTGATATTATCCACACAACGCCGCGAGTAGATAGAACAAAATCATTTCAAATTTTGATAATTTGTCATTAATTTTTTATTTAATTATTATTATTTTTTGTGTGTTTTTCATAAAAGTTATGTTTTAAAAAATGATTTATTTTTATTTATTCTTGGATTTTTAAATAAAAATTTTGTAATAATTTAAACTTTAAATATTAATTAAGAATTCAAAAATAAATACTTTAAAATATTTTTTTATAAGAATATATCCAAAAAAATAAAGTTACAATAAATGTATAGGCTTGCATAAAAATTAACTAATAAAAAATAAAATTTTATTCTTATTTAATCCTCATGAGAAGATTATTTTTTAAAAATATATGCATTTGATCTATTTATATTTATTTACAAAATAATTAATAATATTAGCATACAAACTATATTTGAATAATTGAGTGGTTCCTTTAAAAATTATTTTATTTCAAATAAATTAATTATGTATTGTTAAAAAAATATTCATAGCAAGTACTATATATATTATGTGTGAAAATTAAATAAAAATAAAAATTAAATATTGAAAAAAATGTTACAACATGCAAGACATGAATAGGAAAAAAATATTAAATATACATATCAATACCTAAAAACACACGAAAAACCACACAAAAATTACTTAAATTACTATCAAATGAATTCTAATTTTAAACTTATGACAAGCTTTATAAACAAGTGATTATTGTTCAAGAAACTCTTGCTTTTTAATTTCTTTTAATTACATGGATATTTACGCCATGCTATGTTTGGCTCCATCGCATAGCATAAAGGGTTGTGAAATTTTTTCATGATCAAAAAATCTTTTATTAAATCAAATATGATTTGTTACATATGGAAACTTTTTTCTTTTCTTTTTTTACAACATTCAATACATAACCACATGATTAAATATATGCTTAGGTCATTTATTTGATAGCAAGCATACTTGAACCTTTAATCATCTTACTCTAGATCTAAGATGGTCTCGTTGTCAATGGCGATATAGAAGTTCATTTGTTTTAGCATTGAAAATTGCCTTACAAAATAAATGAAGTAACACTCGTTATAGAATAACATTAACAATCTTGAGTAATTATATTTAAAAAAAAAAGGGAGCGAGTGACAAATATAAAGGAGCTAGTAGCTAAAGCAATTTTTCTTTATGATTTGAGTAAAAACATATGGTTAGATGCAAAACGCCCAAAGAAAAGAATTCATAATGATGTTATAATAAGTTGTCATTGCCTTGGTTTGTCCCTTCATACTTGTAAAAGCTCATGGACTTTGCTATAAATTCTTACAAGAAAAAGTGCTTGGTGAGAGTATAATTAATTTAGCCGATCATAAAGATATGATATATGGAAATGTGAGTTAGTATGCAATTTGATGATCTTGTGGGCAATACTGGAAGGAAATGTGAGGTGCTTGCACTTATCATACATGTGCCCATGGGTGAATGTGTAGACACAACCACTAAGAAGTTCTCGATTAACTTACATTTTATCCTAACAAACATGGCAATCTTGTTCTAACCATTTGCTCACAAATAACTCATTTTTATTCCCGAATGTTTTTCCTTCCAATGCATTAGTCTTAATCCTAATTCACGAAGATAAGACACAAAATGACAATGAAAATAGTGGCATGCAACATATTGAAAAGACTAGCTTAATTGCTTACCTATGCTTCATACATTATCATTACTATATGTTTATCATAAAACTCCAATTTGCATTTGAATTTGATAATCCAAATATTTCTTCAATTCTTCCACTAACGTTTGCGAAACAATCAAGAAATTTGCTTGAATTCAAAGTTTTTCACTCAAATACAAATGCACCTAGATAAGAGTGTCTTACAACAAAAACAAACTGGGGACACACATTCGTTGCAGGACAATTTGAAGCTTTTTTCTAAAAAGAAACGATTTGCATATAGAAGAAAAAGCATTGAGTAAAAGCAAGAGAGTCGTATTTGCTTAATTGTAAGAGAAATAGTTATATCTTGATCTTCTAAATACAATTTTTCTTTTATGAGTATTCATAAATTTTTCTTTTATCAAAACAAAACAAAATAAAAACACATAGGACACCTTAAAAATCCAACAAAAAACATAAAACAACGACAACACAATAACAATGTTTTTGAAAAAAAATAAGCTTCCAAGCATCAAAAGCAACCCCGGAAAACAAAGAAAGCAATAATCCAGAGTTAGTTTTTAATAGAAGACATAAAAACCAACGATAAAAAAAAGAAGTAAATTCACCAAGGACGGACAAATATGAGAATGACAATAAAACCCAAGCCAATCATAGCAGATGTGTGTCACATATAGCAAGAACAATACAAACCACAAAAAGAAAAGAAAAGGAGTTAGAAAAGGTAATTAATGATGTTAAAATAGAAGCTAAAAACACATGAGAAATAAACAAAATAAAAACATTAAGAACACCTAAAACTTCGTAAATAATAAATGGTAGCGATAACGAGACAATAAACACAAACCGATAACGTAATTCATAAAAAAAGTGAATGGTTTTTGCAGTGAAACAAATTGCCACTCACCATATCGATGAATTTCATATTTTTATTTTTATCTCTCTTTAAATCTCTCATTTTCTTTAGTTGTGAATCCAAAAATATAAAAAATTTATAACTATAAGAATTCAAAAACATAAAAAAAAACTTATTTTTAACTCAAAAGAATTATAATATTCAAAATTCAAGCAAAAAATAAAAACTTCACATCAAACAAAACTTGTCTTTTCTTCTTAAATCCCATCGGTAATCTCTCTCTAAAAATGAACTTAGGCTCACATAAATGAAGTGAAAGGCATCGAATTAGTTTTTTTTTTAAGTAATGTTAACGTGTATACACCAATCAACAACCCAATGCATTGGTCAAACTAAATTATGAACATCGGATATAGAATTTTTAGCAATGCTAAAAATAGTTATTTCAAGAAACTATCCATATATTATGCAAATCTTATTACCGATAAATCAATGTGTGGTGGACATGAAATTAAATAATTCCCATAAAGCAATGGAACTAAAGGGTTCAAATTTTACTATTTAGAGTGATAAAAAAATTTCGAACAACACCTCCGAAAGCTACCTGGTTGACAATAATAGCCATTGCAGCAATCACCATGTTGTGATCATTTCACTTGAAAACTATCAATGTATTACTTTTGGAAATGCATTGATAGAATCTCTTAGCTACACATGTATGTAAGCTCAGTTGCCAAAATCTTTAATTAGATAATAAGGTAAGGTGTTTACTCGTTTAAAACATCAAACTTGTCATTTATAGTAAAATTATTAAAATATATGAATTAAAGCACAAAGACAAAAATGGTATGCAAAAATAAAAAAATGCCAAAAGCAGTAACCAAGATAGTTAAAAAAAGAACTAACGAACAACTAAAAAGAAACCATAATCAAACATAAAAATCAGACCTTGTCTAGGTAAGACCATATAAGTTGGATAAACCTATTCGGCCAATCAATCTACAAAAACAAAAACAACAACAACGTCACAAAGAAAAATGTAGCTTATTCTTATGAATTAAATCCACAAAGGCCAATCACTTATATGATCATAATCTTGATTTTTCACATAACGGAATTTCTTAAGGCATTCGTTGCGAAGCTTCCGAGTGTTGCTCTACCAATGGCCGAACCCAAGGATCCAAAAAATAAAAAATAAAAAGAATCCAATAATAAAACAAAACAATGCAAGAATATATACCTTGAAAAATATTAAAATCAAAATCTAAGCAAAACAACCTTAAATTAAGTATCTTAATTTCAACAGACCTCAATAAATGCAAAAAGATTGAGAGATAGTAAAAATATTTTTCAATTATCCATGAGGAGGTACATACTTGCACCAATCGAGCCTTCTTAGTCCTTGTGTTTCATTATTTCTTTCTAAAATCCAATTGTCGAGATCGCTTTGCATACTTTTCAACATAATGACAAAGCCTTGCAATTTCGCATTAAGGTTCCTTTGACTTCATGGCTACGACGAAATCCTTTAACTTTGTTCCTAAATTTGCATTTTGTAGCTTTATAAGATCGTCGTTAGTATACATCCATGGAAGATAATGACCCTAGACCATGCATTATATTATAACATAAAAATAAATATATATTTGAGAGGGGATGGTAGAGGACCTTGCCCATCTACCTTGATCTTCAAGGCCAACTTTACAACAACATCAAATAACTCGACTACTTTCACGAAATCATCCTCAATAAAACCCCTTTATGTGAGAGCCGAGGTTCTCGAAGCACCAAAAAGTAATGGATTATGAGAAAATTGAAGTACATAATCAACAATAAGTAACAACAAGAGGAATGCCTTGCCATACAAATGCCACTAGGAACCATGAGAGATAGATCTTCAAGAACAATGTTTTAATTAGCTATAATATGAATCGATTCCAGAACCTTCTCAACTTTTAATCTATCAATACCGTGTCAAACAAAATTTCCAAAATAAAGTATCCATTCCCTTTTTCATGCAAAAAATTGCTTAAAGCAAAACAAATGAGGAACCTTAAGGAGACCCATGGAAACCACAACACAAAATTGATTCCATAACCTTCTCAACTCTCGATCCATCAATACCTCGTCAAACAAAATTTTCAAAATAAAGTATCCATTCCCTTTTTCATGTAAAAAATTGCTTCGGGCAAAACAACCGAGAAACTTTGAGGAGACCCATAGAAACCCCAACACAAAATCCGCAAAACAATCTGTTCGAGCAATGATGATATCATCCCGTAATATCGATACCATGGTAGTAAAAAATGATCTACAAAGCATGCCATAGAAAGTCATTGGCCTAGAGGGGAGAGGGAGAAACAATATCACCTTAGAGGTTTGCGAGGAGTTTAAGTTTCGATTTAGGAGGGTTGAAAGTGATTTTGAATTCGAAAAAGGAAGCGATACCGACTTATGGAGGAGAGAGAGAAAAATCAATGCCTATTTTGATGAATTGAAGATTGTTGGAGATAGGATCTCATGACATGGTAATAATTTATTGGTTGTTCATATTACATTATCTCTCTTTAACCAATTAAAAAAGAAAAAAGCAAAAGAAAAGAAAAGAGATAAGATCACAAAATCCAATGGTGGTAAAAGGAGAAGATGGAGGATCAACGACTCGGAAGGCAAAAACAATAGCAATGGGTGTTGGTCCATAGTAGATCCGAGTGTAAATAACCGGTAAATGAATATTAATAAGTCTAGTTGCTTTATTTTTGTAATGATAATTAAGAAAAATGCAAATTACTTTAAACACCTCATAGTTTGAACGCGATAACACTCTACACCTTATAATTTTATAAATTACATTTTACACTCTAAATATGTGTCGATGAATTTTTAGGTAGGAAAAAATTGAAAAGACTAAGATACCCTCGCATATATATATGAATCTCTAATTCTAGCTCAAGCAAAACTCATATTTGTTACCTTATTAAATTAGTTTTTTTACTAGCGTTACATTATGGATCAAACAAGATATGTAAAATTATTTTTAAAAGTCATTTCAAATTACCGATCCGCTTTATACTATAAGTCCACAAAAATATATCAAATCAAAAATAAAATAAAAATCCATTTAATTTTATGATTTTTTTATCAAAATTTTGAATTTGACTAATTATTTTTTTTCCATAAACTTTTGGCTAAATAATTTTTTTATTTGGATTCTTAACTAAAATTTTTTAATAATCTAAAAAGAAAATTTAAAAATCCATGGATTCTTCACCAAAAACTTATTTTGTAAATTTAATCTAAAAATAAAGGTGTTTTTTAGATAATATATCTCATATTTTAAAATATTATTTACAATATATATATATATATATATATATATATATATATATATTTTTACGTATATAATCATCCTAATATCATTTAAAAATTCTAACAACCCATAATATAAATTAAATCAATTTTTTAAAAGAAAATAATCATATTCTAAATGTTATTCAAAAATTTATATATAGAGAAAAATAAATAATATTTTTTGATAAATAAAATTTAAACAAAATAAAAAATTAATTAGATTGCAATTTTTATAAAAATTAATAAATTAAAAAAATAAATTCTAAATAATAAAAACACGATAACCTGGAGAGCAAAATAGAGTCAGGCGATATCATTGGGAAGGCAAAATAGTTTGGGCTACCAACAATGCTACAAGGAGCCAAAAACCAAACCAAGGAACACCGATTAGTCATGAACAAACTAAATCATGAAGAAAAGAAGCAAGACAATCGTGATAAAATCCTAAAGGAATTGATTCCAAACAATATACCGAAAGAGAATAAACAATTTCAATAAAAGCTAAAACAACCCAACAATTCTCCGGGTCTTCGCCGTCGGTGTCATCCTCTCAGAGAAAAAGTAATAATGAATGAAGAGGGAGAAAGAAAAAGGACTTTTGGGCGACCGCATTAAATGCACTCGTCGGAGAGAACCGAAAAAAGACCGAAAGAGGTGTGACTAGGTAAAAAGAGATACAATAAAAAAATAATGGCAATGACGTAATATTGCCAAACCGCTAATCGATAAATTCAAAAATCAAAAGGAAAGCACGAGTAAAAAAGCCAATAGCCCCTTCCGAACTAAGCAAAAGCCGCCAACAACAACCGAAGCTCAAAGACCAAAAAAGCCTAAAACCAACAATTGTCAAACAATAAAGGCACCCAAGGGCAAAGATGAGTAATCAAATGATGGCAATGACAGGACGGCATAGGGAGAATAAGAGTAAAACCAACAATAGAAAAAAGCGTCAATCCATGATGCACTTCGAGTATTCACCTACAGGAGAACGTAGGGGTGAGCAAACGGTTTGGTTAACCGAAAACCGAATAAAATCGAACCGAATTATGAAATTTGGTTCGGTTTTAAATATAAAATTATACAATAGAAAACCGAACCGAAAAAACCAAAATTATTTCGGTTCGGTTCGGTTTTTAGAAAAAAAATTTCGGTTTCGATCGAAAATCGAAATAAAAAGTAAAAAATTTCCTAATTTCTAAACCCCTAACTTTTCAATCTTCATTCTTGTTGAAACTGGAATACGCAGATGGGAAGTAAATTTTGAGGACCGTTGGGGTAAGAAAAGAAAGTGACAGAGTGTAATTAATTGGGATACAAGTGTGTTTGAATGAGCAAATTTATTACACTTGGACTCGTTTTCATTAAAGCGTAGTTAAAATCTTCAAGGGCTTTGTGATTGTTTATAAAAAGGATTAATTGATAACAAGATGTTACTTCATTGGCTAGTGGACTAAGTGCTAGTACAAAACATCTCTTTGTAATGATTTTTTTTTATAGCAAAATATTTTGGTTAAAACCGAAATATTTCGAAACCAAACCGAAATAATTCGGTTACAAACCGAATTTACCGAATTTATTTCTATTCGGTTTTGGTTTTTATTTTTTTTTAATTTGGTTAATCAAAAACCAAACCGAATCATACAAAACCGAACCGTTTAACCGAATGCTCACCCCTAGGAGAACGCATAAGAACTCAACGATAAACTAACATCTTTTTGTTTTTAATCAGTCCTCTCTTTATCGTCTAAACCAATTTTTTTGAAACATTGTTGTTCTTTTTAAATCGGACTTGTCGTCTCCTTAAACGATCCCTCTCCTTATCATCTAAACCAATCATTTTGAAACATTTTTTTTAAGGAGAGAAAAAAAAACAACAACAATGCTATTGTTATAAACACATTTAGTTTCCCTTTTTAGTTAGAGTGACATTCTAAATACTTGAATTAAAAAGGAAAAATAGAGTTTGACATCCTTTATAAGCAAGATAGGTTAATTTTATTTATTCTTAAATATTTTTTTTTCATATTTGAATTCTGTGTTTTTAAAATATTTTTTTTATTAAAGACCTTCTATTTTTTTTTGTTGATTAAGATTTTTTATTTTTTAAATTTTTTACTTCAAATTATTTGTTATAATACTACTAATTAATCATTTACATATGATATTATAAAATAAAAAATTTCAAAAATTAAAAATAATGTGTTAATAATTGATTGGTAGCGTTATAACGAATGATTTGAATTAAAAAATTTTTAAAAATAAAAGATCTTAATATAAAATAGAGGGTTTAAATAGAAAAAATTAAAAAAATAACTGGTTCAAATACGTGGAAAAATCATTTTTATTTTTTTAAAAAACTCTTAATCTATTAATAAATTTTATTAAGAGAATTGGAAAAATGTTTCTCTTATATAAAGGACTTGTTCAATTCCAGATGTCTCAAAAGAAAAGAAAAAGGATAGGAAATTTTATTCAAGGGAGGCGCGAACGACACTCCAATATGGTCTAATCGCGCTACAGCCTTTCAATAATTTTCCATTCAATTACTAGACTGTCCCGATTTGTTTTTGGCCTTTTAACATTATTTGTCAAATTGACTGAAGTCCCACGATGTTGCCACCTAATTTACATCCTCCTTCAACTGCAAGATCTTCTTTTATTTTCTTCTTCCACGACAAGCTTAACAGACACCGGCTGACTCATCCGGCGATGGTGATTAACTACAACATCCACCGCAACGAATTCACACTAATTTCCTTACTCAGGTTGATGACGATGCGATTTTGAGTCGAAGCGCGCGAATCATTTTTGAATTCATCTTTGCGATTTTTGTTGGCCTTTGGATGGCAGAAATCTGGATTTGATGGAGAATAATTAGAGTTAGAGTTGTTATTAAAATCTGAAGTTATTTTCTAAATTTTTGATAGAGATCTAAAAAATGGTTAAGATCTTATATGATTGTTACCGGCAGCCTCTATATTTGATCTTATGCAATAAAAATACAGAAATTATTTCCAAACGGATTAATTGTTCCTTAATTGAATGAATTTAACAGTTGCATGAAAAAAAGTGTTTGCATTTCTTTTGAGTTTTTTTTTTCTGATTCCATTGTATTATCGAGTAAATTTCGATTATTTCTAAATTTTGTTTTTAATTTCTGAGGCTAAAACGCAGATTAGAGTGTGTTACAATTTGTTTGTTATGATTATTTATTTTTTATTATTATTAAATGAAAGGATAGTTCGGTCGTTTAACAGCAATGTCAAAAAAGACCAAAAAAAAAAAAAAGTCAAGCACCATCTAGTAATTTACTAAAAGTTGCTGTGGGCGTGATTAAATCGCGCTACCCTTTATTTAATCCTACGTGTAGATGGATTTTGATTATCACGATGGACGGCCTAAATTAGTTATCATAAAAGGAGGTTTTCAAAATCCTGTCTTGGCAAGGACCCAAAAAAAAGAAATCTTTCTCCGAACTCTATATAAAATTCTCTCCATCGTGCTTGTTTTTAAATTTTGAAGTTAGTCACGGACACCATGGCACTAGTTGCTGGAAGTAAGGGGCAGGAGAAGTACAAGACGAGACAGACCACAATAGAGAAGAAAGCAGCAGAGCTTGCAATTTTGTGCGGTGTTCCTGTGTGTGTTATTATTAAAGACATTCACGGCAGAATTTCAACTGTGCCACAAGATAGAGGAGAGGTGGTTGATATTATATTGACTTACAAACGCAAAAAACAAGCAGACTTGGTGGTTTCTGATAAGAAGACCAACGTAGTGATAAAGCATGAAACTTGGGACCCAAGTTTTAATTATTTGCCTGAGGAAAAATCGGTGGAGTTCATGAAGGAATTAGAGGACGAGTCGAAGATGGTGGATGAAGCAATTCGGAGACAAGAGGAGGTTATTAGTAAGAAGAGGAAGGGAAAAAGAATTCTAGTTGGTGATGGGTTGACAAAAGTGGGCAATAAAAAGGCAAAAGGTATTGTTCTTGATTCTACAGTGACCAACTCTGTTTCTTCAGATTCTTTTGGTGTCCATACTGGTAACAATACTGATTTTTCCGATGGAGTTTCAATTCGGAAGAAATTGACCGAAGACGAGTTTGCGGGTGAGATTGATAATGATACCGACGTCGAAGCTTTGCATGCATCCACAATGCGGCCTGTAAAGTTGTTTGGAATTTTTCTCAATTGAGATGCAGGTGCCATGACTTGAGAAACAAATCAAAGAAATTCGTTGTTTTTTTTTTTTTTTTTTTTGGTTTGCCTCTCTGTTTTAGCAATTCTCTTGGTGTAGTTTTGAAGAATTTCATACTTCATAGTAATTAATGAGACAAGAATTAGAGTCTCTCTTTTGAGTTATGGGTACTATGATGCATGGATGATACTTAGAATTTGATTATCTTTTAAGAGAAATGGTTCAACTATGTTTTTTACCAGTTCCAATGGCCGAATCATTTCCTGCTCATAAACGATTAAAACAATCATCAATTCGCCCTTTCTGTCTGGTATTTATTTTTTCCTTTAGAAATAGAAAATGCATATTTGTATTTAACTCTCTGGGCCTCGACCCAGCACATGCATCTATCGGGGGCCTCTTGACAAAGAGAAAAAGAACCGAAGTAGGCCCATAAACTGGTATGCTAATACGACAAAATGGAAAAAACAAAACACGTGGGGGTACATATGGAAATGCATAAAGATAAAACTAGGGTTTATAAACATTTCCCCCTCGTATATATATTGCCGCCATCTACCGCTGCTCTCTAAGGCTTCTCTGCTCAAGGAGGTGGAGAAGAGAAGAAGATAAAACGCGAAAATGGTAACTTTCTCATAATCTCAACACCTCTGGGATTGCTTCGCTCCTCGTTTTGGCTTTCTGTTTTTCCTTTGCATATGACGAGAATTGTCTGGAAAATATTCTGCGTCCATCATTACGGATGTGTCTAGGCTTCTATTGTTTTGAAAAGTCTGTATGATAGCATCTGCTCCATTTGAGCTCTACATATTTTTCTTTTTACAAGCAGATTATTAGTGTGATACCAATGTTTTTGCTTTGATGCTGTTTGGTTTTGTGGTAATTACTTTGTATTAGTTAAATTCTGGAAATTTAAAGTATTTCAGAACTTAATGCATCTGTTAGGGACTTTTTTAGATGGTTAATTAATGAAAGAAGTTTTAAATTTTGCTCACTTAAATGGCTGTAAATCGTTTTTTTTTCCAATTCTAGATATTGATGTTTAATGGAATCGTCTGTATGTCAATTCTAGCAACTGTGTTTGTTAGCTTGCAGCGCCTTGTTTTTTTGGTTCGTCTAGAGTTAGATTTGGTGTTAGCCTAATGTTTTAAAAGCTGCCTTTTCAGTGTTTGCCACAGTGTTTTAACCTATATTTTTGTTTTTGAACAATGAAACTTGGAATTATAAACAATTTAATAGACAACAACCAAATGCATTTTCTTGATTTACTCAAGCTGACTGTTAGATATTTTGGAAATTTGGTAGCTTTTCAATTTGGTGTTGAAGAAGTTTTGGAAAAATTGCTTTGTTTGGGACTATATAAGATCTTATTATGCTTTTGTTCTTTTGCTGGAGAAATGCTTTGCTTGTTTCTTTTGTAACTGGTGATTTGGTACATTTGGTTTGTTTATTTTCCTATCTCATGAAAGTTGTGTGTCGCTTGAATTATTATGAGTGCTCTAATAGTTTTTAGTCTTTCTTTGTTATTAACAGCCAAAGCAAATACATGAAATCAAGGATTTTCTTCTTACAGCAAGAAGGAAGGATGCTCGTTCTGTTAAAATCAAGAGAAGCAGAGATGTGGTGAAGTTCAAGGTTCGCTGCTCCAAGTATCTTTACACATTATGTGTGTTTGACCCTGAGAAGGCTGACAAGTTGAAGCAGTCTCTTCCTCCAGGTACAAGGGCCTTCTGTTGTCAATTGCTGTTAATATGTTGTGTTATTAGACTATTGCATCACTGCCTTTTGTTCTGTGGCTATTCATGTCTGTAACCTATCATCTTGTTCATGCATTTTGCTCCTTTATATGATCTAAAATTAATACATGTATTATTTTCTAGATATCAATTTGGTTCTTTTTTTTCTTGTGGAATAATTATCTCTTGCTTGATGCTCAAGATCATTGAGATAAAACTAAGAACTTAACAAATTTTCTTTGCCTCCTTCCCCCAATATATTTAATTTAATTAAATCCCTGAAAAGAATTGATTCTGTAGTCTCTGTAATTTATTTTAGGTGATGCTCATTATTTGGTTTCTACATTTTTTTTGTAGGTTTGAGTGTTCAGGACCTGTGAAGAAACAATCTGAGTGATTCTGGGTCTTTACAGCAGTCTTTGAGATCTATTTAGCCTTGTCTATCTTTCTTTGAGCAAATGATGTCTTGATTTAGTGATTTTGACCATTGAGATCATAGGGATCCTATCGTGTTTGTTGAGGCTTTCTTATATAATTTGAAGTGGTGGATTTATAGAATCGCTTCTTGGAACTATTTATAATTATATAGTTGTGTCAACTTTTTTCAGGGATTTGTCTTTTCTTAACTCGGTTATAGATTTACAGAGACAGAATCAATCCATTTTAGGGACTGCTTAGTCACTCAGCACCAGTGGTACAATATATTTTATTGTAGAGGCAAAATCTTCAATTTCTGCCCCTCGAATTACATATGCCTCTATGCACATGGCAGTTAAATTTCAGTTGGATTTGTTGTACGTATTTAGGTCTAATCAAGTTCCCCGGGAGTGTTTACCCAGTGAAAATTCATAAATTTTAAATAAAATACTCGTATTTTAAACTTCATTTCTTCTTGAGACTGTAAATGAGGTTTCATCGAGAAATAAATTCACGAAAACAGAATCCTGACTAAGGAACTGAACTCGGGTCAAGAGAAGACTCCAAAGACTCAAAACTGCTGGTTTTAAGATGTGATAGGAGTGATCCTATATTTCGATAACATGAATATTTATCTTCTCATTTCTTATGTTATTATAACTCTTTAGAGGTGCCCCATCTATCTTACAACATTTTAAGAGGTCAGATTTCTTGAAGAAGAAAATAGTTTTTTGAATGAAAGAACGTCGTGATAATATTGAAAACATGCCGAACACAGTTCTTTTTCAAACAAAATCAATTGCATTGAAAAACTCCAAAAAACTGAATATTCACAAAATCATATGAAGTCACTATGAAAATTTACAGTTAATGAACAAAAAAGTAACCATATGAAGGTCACCAAATTCTTTAAAATCTACGGGCTCGTTTGGTATATTTTTGTTTTTATTATATTTATTTTAAAAAAATTTAAAACTTGTTTGGTTGCTAGTTTATTATTATCATTTCAAAGAATGCACTTAATTTCAATCGGATACTCAGTTGTTTAGATTGACTCTTAAGCTTTTCAAAATCTAAAATCGAGTGCTTTCGACCCAATTTCGAGGAGTCACAGAGCTAACCTCGACCTGATACTTTAGAGTCTTTTATTCGATTTTGGCTCGATCCTTAGTTTCCGAAACTCCACCAGGCAAAAAATCCTTTGAAGAATTGAGCACTTCTAGAGGTGTAGATTTGTGGAATAGATGTAGTCACGTTGAAGTAACATTTCCTTCCAGAGGATCGGAGGTAAAGAAGTGTGGTGTTCGTGTATTATACGATCAGGATGTGGAGGAGTTGAATCCAGACAAAAATGACAGGACTTCAGAGAATGTTGCTATTTGTTAATTGATTTGTGTCAATTGTCATCCATGAATGTTGTCAGTTGTCAGATTTCAATGTTTCCGTTATTCCTGGTGAATCTTTTATCTGTTAATTCATGTACCCATTTAGTTAATTACCATTCAGCATGCTGATGTTATTGTACTTCTTAACTCTATTGGCTGCCCTCTGGGTGCCTACTGGCATCTTCATTGGCTGTCTTGTAACCTATCCTTTTCTATAAAATATCATTTTTTTTTTATTTCCATAAGAAACTTATGTTTTTCTATAAATATGAATTTTTTGTTTTCATATTGTGATTGGTAAATTTTCCTACTCAATAATACTTAGTTGAAATGTCTAGATTAATATAGAAAAACTCGATCTAATTAGCCCAGTAGAAAAACAAGGGGGAAAGGAGATAGTTTTCTCCTAAATATCACTTCATTCTCAATTAGATTCCCAAACAAAATGGAATCCCAATTTTATCCGCATTGGTCAAACATTACCCAATTAATTACTCCAAGGTTAAAATTCATGAAAAAAAAAGATGTATTTTTCAGAAACACAGGCCTCACTTTTTATGATTTTAATTGGGTATTATCCAATCTACGGGATATCTAATTGAGAATTTTTTTGGGGCCTACTTGAGAATTGGTGATGGTTTGAGGACAAATTTTGTCCTTATCCCTAAAAGCATCTGTAAGGCGGATAGCCAAATGCAAAAGAAATAAAAAATGCTCACATTTGCTAGGATTTTTCTTGTATGCTTGGGTGCTTCCAAAATGAATATTAAATTACAACCATCTTTTCACAGAAGCTCAGCTATCAGTTTTATATCACAATTAGAAATTCAAATTTCGATCTGTAAGAACCAGATTAATTGCTGACTATCTTCATAGGTTGCATCAGGCATAGGTTTAAAACATCATCCTCTTTTCGGTAAAAGTTGTCATTTTCTATTTGCTTATTTTCATGCTGATGACTTTGGATAATGCATAGAACAAATCCAATTCGGCATTATTACAAGCAATTTGTAACCTTTTATGATTACCCCATTGATTTTTTTACAAGTCTTTAAGGTCACATAGTAACTTACAACGAAGCTTGTTAACTTTTTTTTTTTTTTTCCATGGCAAATAACCAAAAAAAGAAACGAAGTTTGCATGGCAACTAGGGACCCTGAAGAGGCCTCCTCAGCTTCTTTGTCTCATCTAATAAATGGAAATATGATGTCTTCCTTGGTTTCAAAGGCAAAGATACCCGCAAGAATTTCACTGATCATCTTTATGCTGCTTTGCATAGAAGAGGAATCATAGCCTTCAAGGATGAGCAAACAATCGAGAGAGGAATTGCTATTGCAACACAAATCATTTTAGCAATAAAAGACACGAGATTTTTAGTGGTGATTTTCTAGAAAAATTACGCCTCTTCAGTTGGTGTTTAGATGAACTTGTCCACATTTCTGGATGCTTGTTGCTTGGCGGGTGAGCACAAACTGTTTTGCCGGTTTTCTATGGTATAGATCCTTCTGAATTCCGAAATCGAACAAGGTAATTTGGAAAAGCGTTTGCTCAGCATGAAGCTTTTTGGCAGAATTTGGAGAAGGAGCGAAAATGGAGAACTGCCATGACGAAAGTTGCCGATCTCTCTGGTTGGGATTAACGGATTAAGTACCTTCACTTTCCTTCATTTTCCACTACTAAAATATTCTGAATTATAAAAGTTCCTCTTTCATCCATGAAAACATGGTAACTATTACCAGGAAAGATGAATCTGAACATGTTTTTTTTTCTTTTTCTTTTTCCCTGCTTTTCCTCAACCACTTCTGGACCATTCAGGCCTTCTTAAGCCATAGAAAATTAACCTGCCATACGCTTGAGTTTCATACAAATGAAACTATTAGAAAAGCCGAATGTTTAAGCCAAGATTCTTAGGCTAAAAAGAAAAAAGAGGAATCGAACTTGAAGTGAAGTGGAGAATAACTGGGGCTCACAAATTTTCATGGTTCAGCTTCAAGCTAATATTTACTGACAAGATCGAGCAGAGATTTCATCATCTATCAAACTAGAGAATTATATCGATCCAGCAAAAAAACAACACACTTGTTTTCAATTTGTTTTCTTTTTAATAAATTTTTCTAGAATTTGAAGGACCACAAACACATAACTATTGCTTTCTTTGCAGGTGTGAGTCCGAATTTGTCCAAGACATTGTTGACGAATTGTCAAGAAAATTGAGTCAGAGTTTTTCAAGGGTAGCCAAAGACCTTATGGGAATCAATTCAAATGTGGATGAAATAAGTAGGTAGAGGGCTGGATGATGTTCATATCGTGGGGATATGTGGAATGGGTGGTATAGGCAAAAACAAAAATTGCTAGAGTTGTCTATGAGAAAATGTCCTGTCAATTTGAAGGTAGCAGCTTTATATGTTCTAGTTCCTTTGCAAGAACCACTTCTATCTGAAATCCTACTGGAAAGAAATATGAGAGTTTGGAATGCTTATGGAGTAGCAAATGAGATGAGAAATAGGATGTGTATTTCTTGATGATGTCGATCAACTGGACCGGTTAGAATCATTAGCTGGAGCACGCGAGTGGTTTGGTTGTGGAAGTAGGATAATCATAACTACTAGAGATGAACGCCTGCTGATCAGCCATGTTGGCGCCGACATATAAAGGATTGAAGGATTAAATCGTGATGAAGCCCTACGACTGTTCTCTTCGAAAGCCTTTAGAAATGATTATCCTGAAAAAGATTATGTGGAGCTGTCCAATCAAGTTGTAGATTATGCTAACGGCCTTTCCTTAGCTCTGGATGTTCTGGGTTCGTTTCTGTTCGACCGATCTGTAATTGAATGGAAAAGTGCATTGGATTGGCTGAAAGAAATTCCCAACAAAAAAATTGTGGATAAGCTTCGAATAAGTTTTGATTGGCTGGAGGAAATAGAGGAAAATATTCTTGGATATCGCTTGTTTTCTCGAAGGGAAGAAGAAAAATTATGTGATAGAAGTGCTAGAATGTTGTGGCTTCTTTCCGGAAATTGGAATAAGAGCTTTTATAGATAGATCTCTGATAACTATTTCCGAAAATAGAGTGTGGATGCATGATTTACTGCAAGAAATGGGTCAAGCAATTGTTACGCGAAACTCCCTTCAGGAGCCCGGGAAGCGCAGTACATCTAGCTTCAAGGAAATAGTGGCATGGGTTTTTCATGGCTGATCAGGAGATGTCTTTATTTGTTGCTTAAAAAGTTGCCTCAGGTCTTTTTCTCTAAATAAATCAATGGTGACCATTTAGTTTTCTGATACAGAGATTCTTTGATTTTGATATGTGTTTGCCTGCAAGTGAAAGTATATCGTGGTTCGACTACCAGGCTATCGGATCTTCAGTAAGCATCCCTTTGCACCCACATTGGTGTAGTGCTAGTTGGAAAGGATTCGCTTTTTCTGCACTTTTTGTAGTGGACGAGAACGTCATCCCTGCGGATGTGAATTGCGAAGAGGATGGTGATTCAGAAATTCTGAAACTTCAATGTTTTCTGCAGCCCAACATGTATACAAAAATTCTGAAGGCTTCTATCGTCGACATTAACATTGCCTAGAGACACGCCCTGATTTGGACCGACATTGGCTCATCTATTTACCAGGGTGCTGGTATCCAGGAGGAGTGGATTGGTGAAACAAATGTTGTCACATTGAGGTAACATTTGCTTCCAAAGGACTAGAGGTGAAAAGGTGTGGGATTCGGCCAATATACGAGGAAGACGTGGCAGTATTGGATCCAAACAAGAACTTAGGGGCTCGAGTGAGTTAGCTATTTTCGAGAAAGCTTTTACATTATCTGGGATTAAGTTTATTATTTCTCAAATTAAGTCAATGTAAAAGTATATATATCCTCGAGTTAGTTAGTTATTTTCAAGAAAATTTTTACATTAATTGAGATTAAGTTTATTATTTATCGAATTAAGTCAATGTAAAAATACATCTAGTATTTAGACGACCGTTGAATCGCATCTTAAGCCATACCAGTCTAAACCTAGTACTAATAAAAAAATAATTATATTTAGTTATTTCTGTATAATAAAAATTGAAATTTGTTGCTGGACAAACCAAAACAACCCTCTTAATATTATATATATAAAAAAACCCACTCATTACTAAAAACTAAAACATATGAGTTATTTATTCACTTCTTGAACCCTCATTCCTACTATTCACTCATGTTTGCCATAGTTTTTCTTTTTTGGTATCTCGAGTGTTTAAATAATTTTTGTTTCGATTTCAACTTCATTTATGTTGCATTTTGATCTTTAACAGCTTGGAAGAGAGAGAAACAAAGAGAGAGAGAGAGATGATGACACTATTTCTGCCATGTTAGATGCCAAACTCACCATTATTTTGTTCATTTTGAAAAATAGAATCCATTTATGATGGTCACAAGCTATGAATTGTAGGAAAAGGTAGATTTTAAGCTTGAAATATTGAGTTTTTTTTTTACTTTGATTTGATTTTTTTTTTCAGTTTTATGTGTATTAAAATGAGTTTTGAAGTTCTAAACGAGTTTGTTGATATTATTTATGTAATTTTGAGATGTTTTTTTAGATAAAAATGGAACTGAATTTGGGTTTAGAGAGGCCATAAAATCTAAGCTCGACTTTTTGACTGGTTCTCCAAAAATTGTAGGCCCGATTTTTTTTTGGCTTGCGTGGGCTGCAACCAAGGCAAGGCTCGCACACTGACCTGCTCTCTAGCTTTTTTTTTTTTTTTTTCAATAATTTATTTTTTTAAATGTATTTTTAGGAAGAAATGATGAAAGTTCTATAAATTTTCATGCAGTATAGTAAGAATAAAATATATGTAATATATTTCAAATGATTTTTCTGAGATTTTTTTTCTCACATTTGTTTTTTCATACTCCACACTCTCATTCAACTTAGTATAGTTATGATGCATAATAATTATTAAATCATCAATTTAATTAAAAATTAATTATATATTTACATATATAACACCAATCATTTGTTATTCTTTTCTTAATATTATAAAACTAATTTATTTGAAACAAAATGATTGAAATAATTTTTTAAAAGAATCATCAAACGATTCAAAATAAATGTTTTTATGCTAATATTATTGATTATTTTGTAAATAAATATATATGAATTAAATGCATATTCATTCATAAAAAATCGTCTCATCACCATTAGATAAGAATAAAAATTTATTTTTTCATTTGTTAATTTTTATATAAGTCTATACATTAATTGTAGTCATTTTGTTTTATACAATCTTAAGAAAAATATATTTTTTAAATTCTAGATTAATATTTTAGTTTATATTATTATAAGTTTTTATTTAAGAATAATGCTTAAAAAAGAATGAATTATGTTTTATTAAGTATAAAATTTATGAAAAACATGAGAAAAACTTAATTAGGTACAAAGTTTTACTTAAAAATAATTTTATTTTGTCAAACCTACAGTATAAAACAAACAACTGCCTAGTATATTCTACGTGACAATATCAAAATGACATAAGCTCTAGCTTTAATTTCTCTCCATATATAAAAATATGTATTTTATCGTAGTTTGTTTTAAGGGTTTGGTGTTAACTTTTTTATAAAAAGAATCAGACGGAAGTTTTAAAAAACAAAGCCTGTTAAATTAGTACAGTACATGGAAAACTACATTTAATAAAAACATGAAATCAATGAATTATTTTTATAATAAATCTTATATACCTTTTACGTTTCTATAACAGAACGAAATGACATACTTAATAATTTTTTAATTATTAGGTATTAAAGGGGTTAAGAGTGAAATACCAACAAAGTTACTTTTTCTTTATCAATCCTTCCCAGCTTGTACAAAACAAACCGTCATCGTTTTTTATTTGATTTACCATCAATCATTTTATAAAATTATAAACTTGAGGAAAGAAAACAAAAGGTCCATGATTGATCCAAATCATAAAATCACCTAATAAATGATAAATTAAAAGAAGTGAAGTGGCAGAAGGAAAATGAACTCTAGACAGTCCCAACTACAAAAGCGATTCCGCAGCATATCCTTCTTGCTTCTTTGGATTCCTTCGGACATGTCATCACTTTGTCATCCAAATCTCACCTACTCGTCCGAAAAAAGGACCATTGGGTCGTTGTAGTTTAATTTCATCCAAAAACGTGGCAATGATTCATTTTACGCCATTTATTTATTTATCGACGTCAAATAAAATACTAGTAGTAGTACATTGTAAAATACTAGTAGTATTTCACAAATTTTATAATACAAAGAGAAGTAATTAGTGATATGCATGTAATTATTTTTTAGATCCACTTTGAAAAGAGATAGACATACAAAAAGAGAAGAAAAAATAAAAAAATTTAAGTGGATGTGAAAATCTTCTTATCACTTTTGGTGAGTATAGATATAATTTTTTTCTTTTTTATTTGTCTATTTCTCTCCTCAAAATAGATTCAGAGTAAGTATTGTACATGACATTGGTTACTACTTATATATTATAAAATTTTCCGTACATTATGGATCAAACTGTCACGTTCTTTTCTTCATTCTGCATTCAATTTAATTTAATTTCCCTCCTTCTGCCATTAATTACGCCCATACCCCTATCCTTTCTTTCATTTATGAAATGCCCTCGATTTTCGTGCTTAATTATGAATCATATCACAATCGGAACTTGAAACCATGTTTGCTATGATTATGCTTAATAATTTATTATAAACACCTTACCAAGAAACTTTTTCTTTCTTTGGCAGGTTGATGTAACATTTTAAAAATCGTTATAAATTCTCATCCTACAGCCGGAATTGTTCGAGTATTTTGTTTAATTAATCAATAAAAAAAACAAAAGAAAAAAGGTGGAGTTTTTAAGCTACTCTCCACAATATTTGATTGAATATGTTTTTTTAAATAATAATTCAAATATTTACCTTTTTTATTATGGTGAATATTTGTAATTATAACACTGGTTCCAAAATCAAAGTTATGACCTAATTTTCAGAATAAATCAATTTTGGAACACCATAAAAATTGATTTATTCTGAAAATTTTAAAAAATAAAACAATACATTATTTGGGCGATACTAATTAAGATCAATATGCAATAACTGAAAAGTACAAGGATCATAATGCCAAATAAGTTCACAGTTGTCTCTAACTTTGGTCAATCTGCACACGCTTCAAAAATAAATAAATAAATAAAAAATAAAAAACTTAAGACTTATAAAAATTAAAGGAAAATGGGCCAACGGCCACAGCGAACAATCTTTACTGTCACTCTCTAGACCTTTCTCAAACCCGAACCCGCATCCGAAACCATTTCTGGTTCAACCCAATCATGCTACAAGACTTCACTTTCTGCCCATGTTTCGGAAACCGAAGCTCCGACGATACCGAACCCGACCGTGATCCGGTTCTATTGGTGTCCGGAATCGCAGGTTCCATTCTCCATTCAAAGAACAAGAAATCCGGGTTTGAGACTCGGGTATGGGTCAGGCTTCTATTGGCTGATTTGGAGTTCAAGAAGAAAATCTGGTCTGTTTACAATCCAAAAACAGGTCTTCCTCCTTCTCTTTACTAGTGTTATTTATGCATGCATGGATGTAGTAGTGCTTGTGTTTATGCATGGAGAGTTCTGGTACTTCTTTATGGTCTTTTTGTTTGGTTGCTGGGCAGAGGACAGGAGAGATAACAAGCAGAAAACGAATTCTTTTTTCTCATCCTTTCCTCTTACTAAAATCCAAAAACATAAAAAAATAATTTTGTACCAAAAAGTAAAAAGTGAAGTACATGACTGACTGTTCTTTTCAAAAGTTGAATTGGTTTCTTAGTGTTCATGGTACTAAACATGAAAGTTATGTTTTGTTTTCCGGCAAAATCCCTAGATGTTCTTACTCAAAATTTGGATCGTTTATGAAATTCTTATTTTCTTTGCTGTCGAACTGTTACTTAGTTGATTGTTTAAAAAAATGTGGCATTTAATTTGGGTGCTGTGGCACTGTTAGATTATTCAATCGCTTGGTTTTTTACTCTTTAGCTACTTGGCTATAGCATACTGCATTATTGGCTCATCTTGTGTCCAGTAATTTGCTTTGTTGTTTTTTTTCCCCATATTTTCTGAAGTTAATGTATTTATACCATTCAGGTTATACAGAAGTATTGGACAGTGACACTGAGATTGTAGTCCCTGATGATGATTCTGGGCTATATGCAATTGACATTTTAGATCCATCATGGGTAAGATTGATAATTTTCTTCCTAGATTCTTGTTGTCCGGAACTTGTGTTTGCAATTTTGACTTACTCTATTAAGTAAAAGATACAGCACCTTGTTTGGGAAGATGTATAGAGAGGGAGGGAAGGGTAAGAGGAAAGGAAGGAGATGGGAAATAACCCTTTCCTTTTGTTTAAAGGAAAAATACAAGTGTGGTGTGGTTATCTTCCTTATTCTTTTTGGTATATATCCACCGAACCCAATAGCATGAGCATCATCGGTCCCTTTTGCACCCGTATAGTGGAAGTTTAATGTTTATGATTCAAATCTTTTCACTCGAATGAAAATTCCATGTCTATAGAATAAGTCTATGGAATTATCATCATACATATACGTGATGTCCCTCAAAAAAGAATCCTTCTTTTAGTTCTGCATCCTCCAATAATCATTTGGTGGAGAAATGGATAGGGTTAGTGATTACCCCTTCTCCTAGTAAATAAGATAATTTTCTTCTCAGTTAGTATCTCTGTGGATTATTTTTTCTATAAAACGTTTCAAATAAAATATCACTGATTGGGTTTTGATACTATATTTTGATGTGATTGATGAGAGTTTTTTTTTTTCCCTCTACTGGTGCCATCTTAACGTTAACTGCTTTTGAACTGGCAGTATTGTTAAGTCTGCCTATATGAATTGATAATGCGATACATTCGGGGATTAGCCTGCTCATATGCACAATATTTTTATTCTGTTGTTATGCATGCTAATCCTTGAGATCCTGGACTTGCCAGTACAGATAGTATCTATTTGATTTTGGATTATCTATCTATATGATTCTTCTTGGTTAGTATCTTCATAGATTAACTTATGACTTGTTGTAATTAACATCCACTTATTCAAATGCTACATTTGGTATCTAGGAATACAAATACTGAATCAGGGCATTATGAGTATTATTATCTCATTGATTTTTTGTAATTTTTGCTTCTAATTTGTCACTATTCTTGTTGATATCCATCTCTGAAACATAATATATTTTCTGTTATATATATCTGATACTCATAGTCCTTTTCCAGTTCGTGAAACTTATTCATTTGTCCGGGGCATATCATTTTCATGATATGATTGATATGCTTGTTAAATGCGGATATAAGAAAGGAACCACATTGTTCGGATATGGTTATGATTTTCGGCAAAGCAACAGGTGAGTGTTGGTTCAGATGGTCATATTTTTGGTGAGTAAAGCTGTTTTCTTGATGCATGATTGCCACGTAATTTCATCTATACTCTAATGTAATGATGTCTGAAACTTTTCTTGGTTCTTACTTATTATGTAGTAAAATCTGAGTGCTAACAATATTTTATTGTTGACAGAATTGACAAATCAATGGAAGGTCTTAAAGCAAAGCTGGAAGCTGCCTATAAAGCTTCTGGGGGTAGAAAAGTTAATATAATTTCACATTCGATGGGTGGACTCCTGATTTCATGTTTCATTTCACTTCACAAAGATGTGTGTATACTTTCTTTTGGCTACAAGCTGAATGTTATCAAATTTTTAGAAGATTTCTGACAAAAAACGATCTTTTTATTTTTCAGAAGAGGCATGACTGATAATTCTTAATTTTCCATTGGCAGTTGTTTTCTAAGTTTGTGAATAAGTGGATCTGCATTGCCTGTCCTTTCCAAGGTACTCTATGTCTTGTCTCTATGCTTAGCAAACATGCCTTACGCTACGAGAGAACCTGTCTTTCTTATGAGCTATTGTAATTCTAGAAGTTTGGAAGAACCTGCTCTTTCTATAGCCAAGCATTCCACAATGGTTGCTTTTGGCTGTTGATAAATATTAGACAATATCACGCTATTCAAATGAGTTAGGCATGGAGCTGCAACTGGGCAATACGAAACAACTTGTGCTCGAATGGAAAATTCTAACATAATTCCCTACCCCATTCACGCTCCAAAAAGGAGGGGAAAAGAATCCCAGTGCTGTTATTATTATTATTATTATTAGAGAAACTGTAAAAAGAACAACATCAATCGATGGCCTGAAGAAGGTTAGTTGTGGAGGACTCTGTTTTGAAGTTTCAAAAAATTCATAGCCTCGCAGATGCTCCCTTTCATGTGCAACCAGGCATATTCTATTTATACAAATAGATTTTCTTATATTTTAAACTAGCGTGGAAGTCCTTGCAATTTCATCAAATTCTAGGATATCTTGTTGAACTTTATCTCATGTGTTTCTTGGCATTGAACAAATAATGGATTTTTCACCTATCTGTTCCTCCTTTTCCTTTCATTTAATGCTGTTAAAGAAAGTATGGATAATAAACTTTTGTGCTTAACAGGTGCACCAGGATGCATCAATGACTCTCTGTTAACTGGATTGCAGTTTGTTGATGGTTTCGAGAGTTACTTTTTTGTTTCAAGGTGGACAATGCACCAACTGGTAATTTCATTTTCTTTGACATTTGGCCTGGTGGATAACCATTGTTTGTAGCAACTATCAATTCAGAAAATGTCTTAAAAGCTCAAAAATCCCTTTCCTACGAATCTAGTGCTTAGGAAAGTTGGGATCGGAGTATGCTGTACAGCTCAGTATATTACATTGCAGTTATTTGTTTTGGCAAATTCAGCATTTTCGTTTCTCCAGCAAAAGTAAACAGATGGCATTGTCACTAATATATAATTTTTATTTTTATTTTTGTGAAAACTCCATGGTGATCTATCTATCTATATATATAATGTATATGTTTTTCTTTTTTCACATAGTTGGTTGAGTGCCCATCGATCTATGAAATGTTGCCAAATCCAGATTTCAAGTGGAAAACAGAACCACAAATTCAAGTTTGGCGAATGCAATCAAATGATGGGGAATCTTCTGCCAAATTAGAGTCTTTTGGTCCTGTTAAATGTATCACTCTCTTTGAAGAAGCATTGAGGAATAATGAGGTACCACCGTCTGATCTGAAGTCTCAGTGTCAAGATTCTTGTAGCTGGGAAAATACCTCTGTGTATTTGATGTTTCCCTTGAACTTGTCTTCTGGTATTTTTCTCTGTTTCAGTTTTCAACATGCTTATATTAGGTTATGCTATCAAAAGGTTTATAAACCATGTAATTAGCATCGATTTGACATTTTCATTTAGTTGACGTAGCTGTACATTTGGTTGATGCTTTTATTTGAGACAGAGAATGACCAGTTACTATGTAGCATATGCTATCAAAAGGTCTAGGTATTTGATCTTTAATGTGCATTTCATATTAAATCACTGTCCAAACTCATTATACTTTATCTTGTGTTGCAGTTAAGTTATAATGGAAACACCATAGCTCTACCATTCAACTTCTCTATCCTCAAATGGGCTGCTGGTACCCGTCAGATTCTTAATGATGTTCAATTGCCAGAATGGGTCTCATTCTATAGCATTTTTGGGACATCATTTGACACACCTTTTGATGTCTGGTATGAAAGAAAATTAATTTGTGGAGTTTTCTGGTTCCGGAGGTCAATTAATTGGAAGAGAGTGGCACCATGCTGTGCATTATATACGGACATTAAAATGGTTTCCTACATTAAAGCATGTAATTGTACGATGGCCTAAGTGGTCGAATTCCTTCAAGACCTTAGCTCTCTTTTTCCTTTAGTGAAATGCAGATTGGTTGCTCTTTTTATAAGCATGCATCATCAAAGTTTGCAAATATTAAAAAGCTAAATATAACACCTTAATTTCATCGATGGTACACTGTCTGTGGCTTTGATTTCTGAACTAAAATTCGGTTGAAAGTGAATCTGAGATCTCAGTATTCTAAAGACAGATCTTTTGTCATAATGATTCATCCGTTCCAATGAAAGGTAGCAAATCAGCATATGCTGTGATCACGTTGACATGTTCAAAATCTAGTTTGTGCAAAGTGTGAGATGACATTTATTCAATGACTCCTATGGAAATATTTTGTACTTTTAAGCTGATGTGATATATCCATCTTTAATGCAGCTATGGTACAGAGACATCCCCAATAGAGGACCTGTCTGATGTGTGCCATTCCATAGTAAGTGATTTAGATGTTTGTCATCCTAAAGTAGGATTGAATTTTAGGTCTATTCCATTTACCTCGATCTGTTGGGAAGTTCTATTAGGACTGGGCATTGATATCATTCGAACTTCAGATGATAATTTTGTACCATATACTTGAGGATTTATTAGCAATTTTCCTGCTATAAACCATAATATTTGTGCTTTGTTTCATTAATGACTAGCATTTAAAATTTGTTTGTTTCAGCCCCAGTATTCTTATGTGGATGGAGATGGAACTGTTCCTGCTGAATCAGCAAAGGTGCTTCTTCTAACCTTTTGCTTGATTCGTATTCTTACTTGAAAAATTATACAAGGATGATGATGTGATGATCTTGGGGGTGAAATTCTGCAGTCAATTGCCAAAACATTATAGCAACTGAAATTCTTGGTTGGAGTGTGACCAAAGATGAAAGTTCAATAAAACAGTGGGTAGTCCTGAATAAAAGTGGGTATCATGCATTGTTTTGTGGATTTTAGTGTTTGTAAATGCAATGAAGGGAGAGATATCATCACAAACCATAATTATTAATAGCTCAATACCACAATCCATTTTAACATGGGTTCAAATGATGCCTAAATATTTAATGTTAGTTCATCCTCTCCTTTTCCCTGAATCTTTAATTATTTAGCTAGAAAAAAAGGCGGGGAACAACAAGTGTAAGCTGGAGTAGATAGATAGTGAATGTTTTAGCTGTATTTAAAAAAAAATCAATTTGCTACAAAGCATACCCATCTTGTTTGCTCATATCTACTTGTGCTTTCCCTGCGACAGTTCAATATTCAAGCTGCAGCTTTTTCTTTTGAGTTTAACATGTTAACCAAATTCTGGATGATCTTTCTTTTACACAGGCAGATGGTTTTGCGGCAGTGGAGAGAGTAGGAGTTACTGCCAGTCACCGTGAGCTGCTGGGTGACAAAACAGTATTTCAACTTATCCAGAAATGGTTGGGAGTCGAGCAAAAGGTCAGTAAGCTTTCAAAGACATCTCGAGTGGGGGATGCTTCCTCCTAACCTAAATGTTGTTTTTATTCATGAAATCCCACCAGGAAATCCGGGCTAGCATGAAAGCTAGTAAAAGGGACCCCAAAAAAAAAAAAAAAGCTTGGAATTGTTATCTGTACTGTGGTGTAAAAATGATGTACCTCAATATTTTTCTTAAATATCTGATCTGTAATAACGATGCTGGGAAAAAAGAAATTCATCCATGGATCATGATAATTGTTCTAGGGGTTTTTATCTGTTCCGTTCAATTCTCATCACAAAGCCAGTGGTTGAGTGTTATCAGTGCTTTAGCCGGTTTGGTTTATTGCGTACTCTCAGTGCATTACTCTCTCACTCGTCTAAAAGTGAGAAATAAAGAATTAGGAAATAAACAGCTAGAAAATAAACAACTTAAGGAGTGTTTGTCATCAGGTTCTGAAGTAAATATTTACAGTGGAGATATACTCTATTATTCAGGAGTCATTCACTTCCTGCTTTCTAATCTTCAAATTTTGGACGCTAATTAATTAAAACCAGCATAATAATCAATCGGACAAAATACATGCTGTAGCGTAGAAATGCTTCTCTCACAAGCCATATATGGTACGCCTTTCAAGATTTTGCTTCAATGGGACAATTGGATAATGGCTTTCATCTACCCTAAACCAAGAAACTGACAGCCAAATGCATTTTCTTCTTAACGTGAAATAACCCAGCCGTCAAGATTTTTCCAGTAAGCGATACTAATCACTGAGTTTGAAACTTCTTCCAGTAAAGGATTTGAACCTCTCTTCTTCCTTCGTTAAGGTTTCCTTTTTGCCATCCTCTTTTAATAGTTTTCTTGACGCATCTCGAGGCTCAACCACATTTGAATCAAACACAAGCTTCCCGTGTTTACTGGAGTTCTTGCTTGATCCAACGTCTGTAGCAAACTCGGTTGCTGCTTTTTTAGCACAGGAGGGCAACCCTTTATTTGGAACTGATTTCACAGATCCCTCATCCAACCGCCTTCCCACACCTGTGAATGGGGGTGAACTCTTGCATCACTGGCTGTTCTTGCTCTTCTTTCAATTTTGTTGGATGTTGAGGAATGGACTGTTCTTTATCATCTGCAATGCGCATTCTTTTAACCATTCTTTCTAATTCACGTTCTTGATAATCCAGAGGAGGTGCAAAATCTACTTCGCAGTCCGTTTCCACAATGCTTATACCAGATGATGGTTTTGCTTCAACAACATCAATGTAATATTTTGTGTTGTTGTGCATTATCATAATAGTATCACCAACATTTAGACAAGTAAAGTTCCTGAGGGTATTCTCTAAAACAGATTTAGGGCTTGAGAGTTCGAGAAACCTTGCGGTGTGTGGCTGTAACTTTATGTACGTTCCCTTCACAAGATAAACACTCTTTACCAGTACGACGCTTCCTTCCGCCGCTAGTTTCAAGTTCTCCATCATCCATTGTGGCAAACAGATGAAACCCTCCTCTGCCGTGAACTCTAAAACCCCGCAGTGCGAAACATGACCGGTTAAAGTGTTATGCAACTCGAATAACATAGGATAAGAAATCTCAAGCATAGCCAGAAGATGAAGAGCTGAAGGTGGCATTAGAATCTTGTCACCGATGTCTTTTTGTGATACATTGCAATATTAAAGCTGGTCAAAGAGAGCATAGTTTTGGTAGGGCTGAAAACCCATGCTTGTAGCATCAGAAACTTGTGACTGCCAATATTGCTCCATTGAAAAAGAATAGTTATAACTATGTGATACTATGGTAATAACGAACTTGGGACACTGATTCCGTGATAAGGAGAGATTCAAGGATAATGGCATGTGATTTGTGAGATTATAAATAAGGGGACAAATGACGAATCGCCCTATTTGTTTCAGGATTTGCAAATCTGTATCCTTTTATATTTCGGACTTCGCGTAACTTAAGCATAGTTGTGATAAATACGTTGAACTTGCTAATGGGCTTAATTCAATATCCTGGGCCAAATCATGACCAGAACTCCATCCACGGTTGATTGTAGTCAGGAAGGCCTAGTTTGCTTGATCATTCCCGACATTGGCCCAACAACCATCTAACAGAACAAAATCTAGCCCATTACATAACGCATGAAAGTTCCAGCAAAATGGTAGGGAATTTTGTCATGTTCTAATTTTTTTTGCACAGTAAGATTGTATTCTGATTAGTTTTTGTATATCTCAAAACTTATTTCATTTTAGACATAGCTAAGGATACTTTTCAACTCATTGTATTGAGTATTTTAAGAATAAATTATTAAGAGTACTGATCAAAAGATAAAACTCTGAAACTATTTTACCTATAAGTCAACGTTTACTAACAAATTATCATGTTATGGTTTATGGTTTAATTCTTCTTCTACATGCGATATGTTTTTTAACGAGTCAGGGAAAAAAAGGCAAAAGTGAAGAGATTTTTATTTATTATAATTTAGTTATTTTCTCCGATTATGGAAGGGTTATGCTTCATCCAAATCTGGTTATAAATTCATCACGTCCGGATCATCATAGTTCTTGAATTTAATGATCATTAATTCCAAGTGATGAAAGGACTTAGCACTGGTTATGGAATGTTCTGTAAAGTTGAATGATACTGTTGTATATGCTTACTTAGCAGTTTGGAGCCAGCAGTTAATAAAATAGTAGATAAATGATACGTGGTGCTGGATGGTGAAAATTATATATATTCGAACATATATCTTGTTTGTAGCAAGTACGCCATGGGAGTACTCAAAGTCACTAGGGAAACAAAAAGATGGCTACATTCGCCCAATCTATTTATACGCAGGCAGCCATACAAAATTTATATTTTTGGCCCTAGCTGGCTAGCAGCTGCTGCCTCAAATCTGATATATTAAAGGGAGGAAATTGCATACTTGCTTAATGTGTAGCAATGATGCAAAGAAAGCAGAGTATATGTACATACACACGTGGAAGAAGATCAGCTCAAGCCACGCGCAACATGGTTTACCCTTAGGTGCACATGTTCATGCATTAACACATACAACAAAGAAAAGGGGGGCACTTGTACACATGCTAAGGGAAGATCAACTTAGGCCACGGGGTAGCAATAATAAACACTTAAATCCACGACGACACAACTTCAAGAAATAGTTTTATAGCAAGGTCCAAGGTCAAAAAGTTTTGAATCCCAAACAGAGTTTCTAACCCTACATGGGGTTTTGAGGCTAATTACCAAAGATCGATGAATAAAAATCCCAAGAAAGAGACGAGAATGAGCATTCCTAGGGCTTGTTAGCTTATGAGAGGATTCTATTTGCGACAGTCACAGACACGCATGAGGCATGCACTATTTTAATCCTAGCTAGAATTATACAAATGTGGCCAAATTAACATCTCTCTTTCTATAATTTGACTTGACTTTGGGTTCTCATAACATGTATCTAAGTGTATCACAAAAGTTAGTTACTATTTTTACAGTACCATTGATCAGTACTGATGTCTTGATCATTTCTTAGATGTCGAAACAATACTAATCTTTAATCATACATTTTCAATTAAGACTTATTATTTAATCATCCATTTTTTTAGAAAGTAATAATTAATCAGAACTTAATGTATGCTTAACGTACTAATACTAACATTTTTCTTTTCGCTCTAACAATCCCATAATGAGCTTGATTATAAATTATGAGCACATTTTGTTTTTTTAAAAAAAAGATTTGTTTGAATGATATGATCAATAGGAGTCGATCAATTCTGAAAAATTAAATATTCTTCTTTAAAAAGACATCATGGGTTAACATCCAGTGATCCATATAAAATCATAAAACTTGATGAAGTTTGTGTAGCCAAAAATGGCAAATTCAATCTGTAGTATAGAATAGTCAAGACCACTAGGATACATAGCACCCATGCAAAATGAGGAAAAAGAAAACCCTAAGAATTAATGGAGAGGACAAGGCATGGAAGCAAAAGAAAGCATGGTTGGACCCTTGTTATCTTTAATAAAGTTTACTTTTCTTGGAAATCTCTTGCTCCTACTGCTTTCTTTCAAGTGAGAGAAGAGAGGGTTTTTTTCTTTTTTCGTTTTTTTCCCTAAAATGCATGGATAGGGGTGCAAGCAGAGAGAGAGAGAGAGATGTATAGAGAGATGATGGCTAGTTATTGGCATTGGCAATATTCACGTAGAGGTATTCTTTCCAAGGAGGCACGGGTGCTCCGCTGATTACTCCAATGCAATCCCAGTCCCCGCTGGCTCTTGGCTTTGAATATGTATAAACCATACCCTCCCTTTCCTAGGCTTTTGTGCTACATATGACCTTATAATTGTATAAAGTAAATTCTTTGTACTCTTATGTGTGTAGCTACAAAAGCATATTAATGAATATCTTCCCAACATGAAACAAAGTATATTGATTAAATATGTATGTAGACATTTCTAATATCATTTATACATACATAGTTCAAGATTTCTATACTTTATTCGCAATCATGGATACAACAAAACTTTAATATATGCAGATGCCGACAATCTGAAGTCTCTTCCGTTAAATGCAAATTTAAGACTTGCAGCTCACGCTGTGTCAAATGTCAAAAAAGGCTTTTAAAAATTATTTGCGGTGAGGTTGAATATTCTCATTTCAAGCCGGCCAAATTAAGTATAATGTAGCACTTAATTATGTGTTTGATTTTCTAAAATCTGCCACAATGATTTTGTTGCTATTTGATATTCGTTGAGATGTATACATATGGATAAAATCTCATATTGGTTAGTTATAGAAATTATTAATATATTATACTTTCTCTTTCTCGTATAAATATACGAGTTATCACAAAAATTCTCTATATATCTCATCATTATGTGTGAGAAAAGAATATGATGTCGATATACTAAGTAATTCCTCAATCAGAAGTACAAAGAATAAGGGACTACATATATATACGCACTTAAGGATCGACTTATAGCTCAATAGTATGGGTTTTGGATTGAAGATATATTAATTCATACATGCATGTAAGCCATTCACGTATCAGGTTCATGGAGGGTTCTGCAAACTCCTTAGTGCAAATCTCCCGAAACAATTTTTTTTTTTTTTTTTGCGTCTTATAAATCAAAATATATTTTCCCTCGGTTTTCAAAAATTTGGATTAGATCCATATCTTCAGTCCGGTTAAAACTAGCTAGAGAATCCTATATCCGAATTATTAAGTCAAGAATCAATGCAAAATCTATTTCATCCAATAACTCATCTATGCAAAATCTCCTGAACGACTTGCACCTCTGAGGAACGCGAAAATGGATATGAACTCGCGAATGGTGCTATAAAAAGAAAGGGGTAAGTTTGTAGGTCGAAGAATATATGCTTATTTAACATGAGGTCGTTCGTACGTGTGAATGAAATATGGAACACACGAAATTAAATTATGTAACGGTGTATAAATTTGACTCTAAGCAATGGAAATTTATATGGTCTTCAAAACCTGCGTTCATCTGTCGCAAACCGTTTACCTTAATATACTAATTACAAATCAGAAGTCGGTGAAGATTTTATTCATTTACTTCGTTTTAGTCTTTCTATCTCAGTCGGTGCAGTTGAAAAGTGGTAATCATATATATACTATCCATGTGTGATTAAACCACTACAGCTAAAAAAAATAGATGTAAAAATTTTCTTTACATTGTTGTGCAATGTCAGGGAACACTGGAGTTGAATGTCACATTCAAATTTACTTCATTTGAAGGAAAATGCATAGGATAATATAATCATCGTAGATATCTCAATACTAATATTCAACACCCGCTTTTTATAGAATAATATATTCTTTTTGAAGCTATATGATTGATGGTTATTTCTATAACTTTATCTATTAATCATATTTGATTTAATTTTTTAATATGAAATATATTTTCTAACATTCTTCTTTACTTGTAATTCATCTTTTAAAATTTGTATAGTGGTTTGAGTTTCAAGATCTTTGCTGGATTGTTGTGACTTTTTGAGGTTCCGATATCATATAATATTAGATAATCGAAATTGGATTTCATCCATAAGACTAAAGTTTTATGATGAGTGATCTTTCTCAACTTTATATATTATCTTTGGTTTAACTATTCAAAATGAAATATTTTCTCTAACACTTATTCGGTATATTTGTCAAGTAATCATCTCACCCAAAAACTTAAGCTATTAGGTGAAGCCCCATGATATGATTTATATTATTTTCTAACAACATTCTTGGCACTTAAAGTAGTTTTCATGGCTTGATTCCAACAATAATTATCACCTGTCAAAAGGACCGAGACAAAAGGCGTTCCAAGATTATCCGAGTGATGAAGATAAAAAGGACTTAAAGAATCGGTTATTGATTGATCCGCATTGTGAGTGAAGATCTTTGCTTGGATCGTTGTGACTTTTTGAGGTTTTTATATCATATAACATTAGATAGTTGAGATTGGATTTCATCCATAAGACTAAAGCCTTATGATGAGTGATCTTTCTCAACTTTATATATTATCTTTGGTTTAACTATTCAAAATGAAATATTTTCTCTAACACTTATTTGGTATATTTGTTAAGTAATCATCTCACCCAAAAACTTAAGTCATTAGGTGAAGCCTCATGATATGATTTATATTATTTTCTAACAATATTCTTGGCACTTAAATTAGTTTTCATGGCTTGATTCCAACAAGGATAATTATCACCTGTCAAAAGGATCGAGACAAGAGGCGTTCCAGGATTATCCGAGTGATGAAGATAAAAATGACTTAAAGAATCGAGTTATTGATTGATCTCGTATCGTGAGTGAAGGAGTGGACATGAAGAGGATTTTCTAAGGTATTGGCCCAAAAATAATTATCTAAAATATTATTAGTAGACATATTGATTAAAATTCGAAAAAAAAAAAATTTGAAACTCGCAGGTCAAAGGGAGGAAGGCAATGGAAAGATGATGGATTGGATCTTCTTTGATATCATATCAAAGGACCATCTCACTCAAAAGTTTAAACTCGTTAAGTGAAACCCCATTATATGGTTTATATTACTTTCTAACAATCTTTACTTAAAAATTAGTAGTCAACTAGGGATCCATTAATTCGTTCTTATGTATGGTTAAACCTTGCTCCACCAAATATTGAAGCTTTTACTTGGCTTAAGGTTATGGAAAGATTAAATACTAGGAGCTCATTTGCTATAAAAGGTATAATAGGAGAGGATGTCAATATTTGCCCTTTTTTCCCTTCTAAACAGGAGACAACTCAACATCTTTTCCTTCATTGTGACATTGTGTGGTTTTTGTAGAGTTGGATTATGTCATAGTGGAGAAGTTTTTAGGTTATGTCACGATCAGTCAATATTTATAGGGATCCATTAATTCATTCTTATGTATGGTTAAACCTTGCTCCACCAAAGATTGAAGCTTTTACTTGGCTTATGGTTATTGAAAGATTAAATACTAGGAGCTCATTTGCTATAAAAGATATAATTGGAGAGGAAGTCAATATTTGCCCTTTTTGCCATTCTAAACGGGAGAGAACTCGAGCATCTTCTTCTTTATTATGATGTTGTGTGGTTTTTGTCGAGTTGGATTATGTCATAGTGGAGAAGTTTTTAGGTTATGCCACGATTAGTCAATATTTTGTTTTAGGGGTGGGAATTTTTTTGTTAAGGTCGGATGCAAAAAAAAGTCTAATTCCTAGTTCTTTAAGCGATACTTTGGTCAATTTGATTGGCAATGAATAAGGTCTTCAATGATGCAATAATAGAATGAGAACAAATATATTCTCTATTTTCTCACATGATAGCTTATTGGGTGAGATTTGTGGATGATATTTTTCCTATACCAAAAATGATTTTGAGAAATGTTCTAATTGTATTAAGATGTAGACCAATCAACCTAAGTGGCATCCATCAATTATATGATCCAAACCTAATCTAGGCTCCGTAAAATTGAAATTTAGATGGTTCATCTTTAGAGAAGCTTGGAATCTTAGGTATTAGAGAAGTTTTAAGAAATCACGAAGGAATTTTATTGTGTATTTTTTCCATGGTAACGAGGATCAAGAAATCAAACGAGGTTGAGGTTCGGCTATTAAGAAGGCTTTGGAGATTAGTGTCATTACTACTTATGCTCACCAAGTAAATTAAATTATTGAATCCGATTCAATTAATGCGGATGGATAAGGTAGTCTCTCATAGGCCTTGACGTACGACTTTAGAGTCTCCTTAACTCTATTGATGCTCGATTAAGTCTTTAGGTTCTATTTCATTTACTCATATTCTTCGAGAAGGGAAAATAGTGACGGATTCTCTAACTAAGAGTAATCTTCATAAAAACAATGATTTTATAGTTTGGTTATCTCACCACTTATCGTTTTAGTTTATTAGTTCTTCTTGTATGTATGAAACTTTATAATTTTGTTAGCTACCACCATTTTAATATAATCTTGATTTTTCATATGTATATATATACAAATCAAATTGTGTGGCTCCTTGGTTATCTCACCCGTGACAATCATTATGATTTTTTCTTATATCTTTCTTTGTTTTGGCTCACATAGAAGATAAGGACCTAAACATGAAATACTTGTGATTTACAAGCAGTATTTAAAATATTATATCCAAATCTTCGGAAGATTAGTTTTGATGATATGATAAGTGAGTGTACTTTCTCTATTATTGATTATTCAAGATTGGAATCCAGCAAGAAGTCACAACATTTTTTTAAAAAAATTGAGTGCAATAACAATTAGGATCTAATTGAAAATAAATTTACTAAGTATTGGCTGTTTGAAAAATATCATGATTAATTTTCAATGAATAAAATGTCGTCGTCCGATCATGATTTTTATATATGCAAACCATTGCTTTTTAAGGGCATGGGACAAAATTTGAAACTCTATCAATTACACAATCAAGCTACAATTGATTTTAGTGTATTTGGCTCCTTGGTAACATGATCATGAATCATGTTTGTGAAAACTAACAGCCAATTTCAGAAAGTTTTCATAGGTTTAAAGCAATTGTTTTAAATTGAACATAAATATGCTATTTTCATGATAAATCATCTTACTACTCTTAAAATTTTAAATTTTTTTGACAAAAAAAAACAAGGTTTCAATTTTTAGAATATTGAAATATTAAATACCATCAGTATTATTTCTCAATGTATAATTTTGTTGGTTTTCAAAACACAGTTAAAGTTTCTTAACTAGTAACTTATGAATTATCAAAAAAATACAAAATAAAATACCCTTTGAGCACTCATTATCTATATTCTTTATTAAAATGCCGATATATCTTATTTTAATTTAGAAAGAACCTTTCACACAATTGAAATTGAAATTTAAGATATATCCTATAATTGATCTAATCGGACCCAAACATACTATTTTTTCGTGGATCTCCAAATCAATATAACTGCATAGTTTTTCAGAGGATTTTGGTAAAATATATGTGCATCTGCTTAACTTTTACCCTCCCGGGAGGCACTTTTGTTTTCTAGCAGATACTATGGTTGGCCACTAGCAACTTAAATGCCATAATTTGCGATAACTAAAATTGGACATGGAACTTGACCTATCGCCAAACGTGGCAGATAGCTGAGCGGCTGTTCGTAATCATTAAAATCCTCCATTAATTTCCTCCTCGCTTGTTATCCGGTTTTGTGTCTGATTGTCACCACCCCTACCATACCATTAAAACCCTAGTACTTGACCATAACTTTTACCTACCTATATGTGTTCAAAACTTCAATAAAAACCCTAGCTAGTCGCATCATTTTTAGCCTGATCAGCTGGATATGGTTCTTGGAAGTTTAACATTAGTAATCAAGATGACTTAGGATCATGTGTTTAGTTAGAGAAAATTTCGAACGTTTATGGGTGAGAGTAGGTGCCTATAGGACTAAGAGGAGACATCTTTTCTTTGAAATTAGAACACGAACATGGAAAAGCTAAAATAACCGTCTCTAGGGATCATGTCCTCTGAATTTGTGCAGTCTTCGAACTACTGTTATCTCTGCTATCCATATATGAAATCGTGTCTCTTGTTTATCTGCCCAATTGAAGGACTTTTTTTCTTTTTTTCCTCTTCGTTCCAAACTAATAATAAAGATTCGCATTGTATCAACCTTGCCATCATTGTCCAAAAAGGAAAATCGATGCAACACATAGAAGATGGCCATCAACATGTATCTTATTGCACATCTCAAATTAGCTAATTAAAGTTCATTTCCCTGCATATCGAACCTTAAGATTGAAAAAATGAGTTAGGAAGGAGAGGCAAAGAAACAAAAAGAAAGAAACTATGGGAGAACGACATTTTACGTTGTTTGAAACAAAGCAAAACGTAAAAGGGACAACAAAAAATATTGGGTGGAAATTTTCTCTCGGCTATATACCTAAATTATTCCAAGCAAACTATATATGCAGGGGGAAAAAATTCTTCCTAAAATAAGTTAAATCCATTTTAAAAACCGAAAAAGAAAGTGATATCCATTTTATTTATTTCAGCCCAATCAGGTAAGGCTTTACAATATGGTTGAATTATTTATCTCACCTTCTATTTTTGAAGATCTTTTTTTTTTTTTCATGCTAATTAAGCGAGTATTTTTCAAGACAAGGTAGTTTGAAATCTTTATTCTTAAAATATGAATCTTATTTCTTATAATAAAATATTTTACGTCACATAAACTTCATCTCATTTAATATATCATTAAAACATATATATATATATATATATATATATTAAATTTTTGGCGTAGAAAACAAAATGATCAAGAAACTGAAGAGAGAAGACAAATGATTTTTATGATTTGTCAATTTCATATTCTTTAATCTTTCTGTATTTGTATCATCCTTCTCCAACTAAATTCTTTTTACAGCTTTCTTCAAAATAATTTTTATTTTACGTCATTAGAAATGTTATTCCAATTTAATGCCAATAAACACAGTATATATAACTTTGTACAACCGTGAAGGAAAGTTTCTAAATTATCTCATTGCCCTCAAATCATTTTTCAAAATTTTTTCTAATATCAAATACGTCAATTGATTTTCAAAAGCTGCTCAGTAAAAAAATAAAAATACGCGCAGATTATAAATGAGATTGATAAACATAGTAGTAAATTTAACAATTTTTTTTTCTCTTAACAGATTCTTTTATGCATGCATCAAATAGCTATTTCTCACAAAAAAAATATTAGTGCATTGATCACATGTATAAATATATTGATAGAAATAGAATAAAAATAAAAAGATAAATAGTATCTTGAGTAATTAAAGTTATTCTTAACCTATTCTAAATATTCCAAGATACCAGTCAATTATACAATACTAGAAAAGAAAATATGATATTAACGGTGGCTTGCTTAGTCATGCTAAATTTTTAATGATTGCAAAGCATTACAATCATGTTATTCTTTTTTTAACATATATTTTCAATTTGCTATAGTTGTCTTTTTTAGTACTTATTAATTAAGATCCACATATTCTAACTAGATGTCCATATTATTTATTTATTAGGTGTTAGTGGGTAACTTCAAATCTTGAGAAGTTGGTTATGCATTTCAAAAATATATGGTTATGAATTTCAAAAATATAAATGTTAAATAAGGAAGATTTTGGATTTTATATATAAAAAATTCATCATGTCTTATAGTTATTGTTTTGAAAAATTACGGAGACAAATTCATGATTAAAAAAATTCATATTTTGGGAAACATTTATGTATATGAAAACATAGCCTTCAAGTTAGAAGAATAAATGGAGAAAAAAAATACAAGTATTAAGTATGGAATATTTCTTTTCTTATTTAATATTTTTTATTTTATCCTTTTTTTAGGTTAATAATTAAATAATAATAATAACATGATGTCTTACAGGGTTTTGATGTTATTAACTATCTTATTAGAACAAATAAGATTAAAATTATCTTATCATAGAAAAAAAAAAAACTTCTAATTAATTAAGCAACTTCAATTATTTTATGCCTCAAAATCGTAATAGTGGCTTCTCTGCCGTTGTCACGTGGTGGAGTGGATCCCACAAAATCATGAGCACTGCATTTTTTCGGAAATAAAGCATGGACTGTATGGGCTGCATGTATAACTGGACATAGGCTACACGTCGGATTTCTACTTAAAGCCATGTCTCTGGGCCCATGGTTCTACGTCATGGGCTGAATCTTTTTTTTTTTTCTTTTTATCATGTTTTTGTTATTTTTTTATTTTTCAGACAAATCCATGGGGAATAATGGCATGGAAGTTGGGTTGTTGTGCCGGCCTTTAAGGCATCATGTTTGATACCTTGCTGTGAAACAAAATGAAATTTGCAATACCAATAATATTATTCAGTATCCTATTCAGAAAAAAAAGGATTTTTTTTATTAACAATTAATTTAACTTTCAACTCTTAGAGAATTGAAGAATCGACAAATTGAAAGAAATCCTTGCGTTTTATTTTATTTATCGATACCTCGTTGGCGCTAATATATATATATATATATATATCTTTGATGTGACGTCTCTGTAAGGGATAAAAGGATACGTCTCCTTGAGTTGTGAATCCAATAATAACGAGAAAAGCGCCTATTTCTGATCTACTAGTAGCTTTATGGCTGGCCACAATATAATGTGGTGTGAAATTGGAAGAAACCTTTTACCATTCACAATTGAGAATTGTGCATTTGTTCTCTGTATCAGCTCCCCCGTCCCTATTTCCAATCCCAAGCAGGAGGAGAAAGAAAAATAAAATATTTAACCGGATCAAGTATCGTAGTATGTCCTATATGCAATGTGAATTATGATCACCTTCACTTAAAAATTGCTTTAACCTTTTTTTCCCCCTCCCTTAAAAAAAAGAAAAAAGAAAAAAAAGTACTATTCAATAATATTAACGAGTTAATATGTTGAGAATCTAGATAGCGACATTGAAGTGGCATGAGAAACACATGGCATTCTATTTTGGGTTGGCAGGATACGAATATAAACACATGGCATTCATTCACTACTTGTTTTAGCTAATATCTCACCCGACTCTTTTATTACTATGATTTATAAACCAAAACTCAATTCAATATTTACTACAAATATTTGTGACACGTACGCATGCAGTACAGTTGAAATGAATCCCTTTTTTTTTTTTTTTTCCATGATTCAGGAGGGTAGTGCATAAGTCCAAAAGGGTATGCGAATATATATAGAACAGCGCACGAGACATCCATCACGGTAAATTAACCAAAGCACTAACAGTAAAAATTTCAAAAAACGCAATTAATTATAGCGTTACTCCTAGCTAGGGTCAGTCTCGTATTTTTGTCCTACCCTAAAAGATGGTTCCTAGGTCAAAAGTCATACGGAGTTCTTTCTCTCACTAATATACTTTTACTCTCTGTCCCTGATCTGTCTAAGATAGAGGGCTAAGGTTGGGCATGATTATGATTAGATTACCGAGAGCATTTATTTATTTTTTACAGTGCAAGGCAGGCTTTTAAATATAATAAAAGGATTTTGAGACCATGTGACGTTTTACCGCCTTTGATTCCTTTCTGGACGGTCAAACTTACAGTGTGGTTATTGCATCCTTCGAGATGATATCTCTCACACTTTCTGCAACACTTCCTCTTTAAATTATTCTTCCTTAGTCTTTAACACTCGTCTACGTGTATAAAATACAAAAATAATTGCATGTAAATTCATGCGTATATTGTATCTACATATATCATATTGAGACCATTTATTCGATCAAAACATTGCATGGTCAATACGCAATATTCTCATGACGATGATAGCTCTTTGTTTCTATAATATCTAATGTATAAAATTTAAATTTAGAAATCCAATTAGTAAAATCTATTTGGCATGTCTTTTATGTTTATCATTGATCTACAAAGTCTGTGTATAGAATTTAATTATGAAGTTCAGTTGACAAACGCATTGAAAACGGAGAAAAATAACTGGAATTCCATTTGGATCCTTGGAAATTAGTTTTTCTTCCAATCTGTCCCTCTCAATCTCAAAAGGAGAAATTAAAAAACTTGAGAATGAAATAACCTCACAGGACCCGGAAGACAGGGGTTAATGTCTTCTTATAGGGGTGCAAGAAGCACATCCATCTCCTTATTTTTATTTTCATTCTCACTTTACTACTATACATACTATACAATAATATTGTCTAGTGCAGTACTGTATATACATATATGATTCTCCCTTGCATTAAAAAAAAAATTAAAAATGTCAGTCTTGCATGAATTATAGTTATGTGCACAGTAGAGAGAGAGGGGGAGAAAGGGACTCCCGTTTGTAGCGGGGGAGCAGTTTGATGATTAGGACTTGGAGATAATAGTTAAAAAATGGCATGAATGGATGGAATGTGAGAAAGTTATGGGTATTCGTAGGCGGAGACTGAAGAGGTCTGATGATGTATATTTTGAGAGAGCGAGAGAGAGAGAGAGAGCAATGAAAAGGGGTTGGTTAGGGGAGTGGTAGGAGCAGATTACACTGACAATGAAATGACTTATGTCCAACTGGGCATGAATAAATGGGTGTGGAGAGGGGGTGCGTGTGGGTTTTTTTGTCACAACTTTGTCAGATATTGAATAATCATCTACTACAGGTGTTGTACAGCAAGCAAAGAGAAAGAGAGAGACGAAGAGAAATGGATCATCATCTTAAGTTTATTAGATGGACAAAAATCAAGATAGCTTCTATTATTGCTTGGTGAGTTTGTTTTATTATCGGTAGTAAAGTAGTAATTAAATTAGGGTGATAAAGAAAGTTAAAGGTGGTTTAATTAGCAATGAAACGAAGTGAATTGGGGTGGTGATATATGAAAAGAAATGGAGGATATCTTTGAAGTTCAAAGGGTTTGTTTTAAGTTTACGAAACCACATGCTTATAGGTTATGACCATGTGTAAGTGTCATGACCTATACTTCAAAATAAAATTTTTAACTGTCAATGGCATGATCAAGATAAGCTCAACTTGCCTACCCTTAAACTACTTGCAACAGGGTTTCATTCAAAATTAAACCACCCCTCGTGTACCTTTTGATTATTATAATGGAAGAGTAGATTTTATGCTACCAAGGAGTCTAAACATAAAGAATGGGAGAGGGAGGGATTATATCAAAATGCCCTCCTTGTTAAATCACTATTTGGGCGCCTTGCTGCATTTATTTATTTCTTTCACTGGACTTCTACGTGCCAAAGTACAGTACTGCCCATGATCTGCTGCATTCATTTCTCATTTGTAAAGTTCATACTGTGTTACAGATTCAATTGCCCTTGGCCAGGAAATGATGCCCCATTTATTGTTTGAGAGAGAGAGAGAGAGAGAGAGAGGCAAAGAGGGTTTATATGTATCTTCACTTGCTTTGGAAGAGATGATTTCACTTTCATCTTTTGACCTTTCCTCTTCTTTAATTCTTCTCTTCTATATCATGGTTTCTCTAACTTCCTTCTCAAATTCATGCATGAACTAATTCTTCATCCCCCTTCTGTTAGCAGTATTCCTACATAAAATACCCAAGTTTTGAAAGCCCTTTTACAGTCCATCAAATATATATATAGATGGCCTCCATGAATAACTGGTTAGGTTTCTCTTTATCTCCTCAAGAACTTCCATCATCACAGTCTGATCACCAAGATCACTCTCAAAACACAGACTCTCGCCTTGGTTTCCACTCTGATGAAATCCCTGGTACCGATGTCTCTGGCGAGTGCTTTGATCCCACTTCTGATTCCACCGCTCCTTCTCTCAACCTCCCTGCCTCTTTTGGTATACTTGAAGCCTTTAGAAACAATCAATCTCAAGGTTTGTTGCACAAAACTTGACATCTTTAATTTGTCATTTGTTCCGGAGCCAAACTTCTAAAACCCTAACCTTCTTAAAGAAGAAAAGAAAATGATTTAAAAATGAATAGGTTTTCTTAAGCATCTTCAAATGGTTTAAAATTCTCCTTTTTTCCCTTTTCTCTCGTACTTTCTCAGAACTTAAAAGAAGTACAGTAACAACAATATTGATCACTTTTTTCTTTTCTTTTCTAATATGTGTTTGTTTGCAGATTGGAATAATATGAAGAGTTTAGGCATGAATCCAGAAACCAACTACAAAACCACCTCAGGCCACCCTATTTTCATGGGTACTTTATGCAATAGCCAAAACATTGATCAAAACCAAGAACCTAAGCTTGAGAACTTCCTTGGTGGTCATTCCTTTGGCAATCATGAACACAAATATAATGGCTGCAACACCATTTATGATACCACTGGAGACTATGTGTTCCAGAACTGTTCTTTGCAACTCCCATCTGAGGCTACATCAAATGAAAGAACTAGCAATAGTGGAGGTTGTGATAATACCAATAGTTCCATTGGGTTATCCATGATCAAGACTTGGTTAAGAAACCAGCCAGCACCGACACAGCTAGACACCAGTAATAAGAGCAATGGTGGTGCACAAAGTTTGTCCCTTTCAATGAGTACTGGATCACAATCAGGTTCTGCTTTGCCACTTCTAGCAGCTGTAAATGGTGGAGGTAATAATACTGGGGGAGATCAGAGTTCTTCTTCTGATAATAACAAGCAACAAAAGACCACAACAAGTCTTGATAGCCAAACCGGTGCCATCGAAGCGGTGCCAAGGAAATCTATTGATACTTTTGGCCAAAGAACTTCTATATACCGTGGTGTAACAAGGTATCTTTGCAAAAACCATTAAATGCGTATTTAAATACGGTACTACTTTATTTGTCTTTTCTGTTACTGTTTTCATGGAAATGAATATCGATAATTACTTTAGGGTTTGTATTTTGCAGACATAGATGGACTGGTAGATATGAAGCCCATCTATGGGACAATAGTTGTAGAAGAGAAGGACAAACTCGCAAGGGTAGGCAAGGTATGGGGTACTTCATTTATTATAATCTACTTGAATATGTAGATTCTATGCAATTCAATATGATTTTTTTTTCCTTTGCTTTTTCTTTTGATTAATCATTGATATATGGGTTTATTTTGCACTAACTTATGTTGCCTTATTGGATTCTTACATATCTTGATGTGGGGCTTGCTGAATCTCATTTCAGTTTATTTGGGTAAGAGTGACTTTTTGTTTTGTTCGTTGCTTTTTGAATAACAGCATTGTTTTCTTTTTCTTGACGATTTTAATTCGTTCTCTCTTATTTTTAATAGGTGGTTATGACAAAGAAGAAAAGGCAGCTAGAGCTTATGATTTAGCAGCATTGAAATATTGGGGCACTACTACCACGACAAATTTTCCAGTGAGTTTCTACTTTCCCTTCATTTAAATTCTTAGGGAGGGAGACCCATTTAGTACTGGGTGCATTTTAATTGCACTTGTTTTTTGGAGTTATTTAGACATAAAATAAATAAGGATTGTGTATAATCTGTCAATGTTGTCGTTTCCATTGACATGCAGTTTCTTTTTTCTTTTTTGGTGAGACATTAGTGGAACTACTGCATGTTTGGAGTATTATATTACGCTCCACTTTCATTTATATGTTCTTATGCTCCCTAAAAGTTTCCTATTAACAAGGATATGTGTCCTTTATTTATAGAACAAATTATAAGATTTCAATGTATTTTGCCGATTCTTAAGGCTTATGTTGCTAATGTTAAAAACTTTTTATATGTGAATAAAATTACAGATTAGCAACTACGAAAAAGAGATAGAAGAAATGAAGCATATGACTAGGCAGGAGTATGTTGCGTCTCTTCGAAGGTATTTCACACATGCAGTTTTCTTTTTTAATGAACCAAATAATTACCGTTTACCTTCATGAAATTTACATTATGTTGGATCTATATGTATTGTTATTGCAGGAAAAGTAGTGGGTTTTCTCGGGGTGCTTCCATTTATCGAGGTGTAACTAGGTATGATATATATACCTATTTTTTCAGTGAATTTATTTTTCTTCAACTTTCTATTATATAGGAGCCGCTTATAAGGTGAAAGATAAGTTCTATCGTGGTTTTAATTGTTTAGAGATACTTCTAAAAGTAACCCAACTTATAATGGGATTTCATTTTCAAATATTTTAAGAAATTACTTATCACATAGATCTTTTCGTTAATAATAGCATGATTTTCAAAATTACAATTTAATTTAGAGAAAATCTGCAGTTCCCTATTTAACTAATAAAACATACAGTCGACTGCTAGTGTTAGATGCAAATATGTGTATTTGTATAGAGGATCAGGTCAAGGGCCAGACTGTAAAGAGGTTATGGTGTAATAGAAATTGCTAAGAAATGGGAAATCGACATGTTATTCTTATGATATTAATATTGGTTGAGAGTGGTGTTCAAATTCTTGAATCCCTATGTCATTAAAATTAATTCTCATGCAGACTTAATGGACCTGCAATTAGGGCTCACGTGCTAAGTCCAAATTCGAACTTGTTAAAATATTATTATTTTGTTGACATTTTTCGTAACAACTCCAAATTTTGTGGAGAAATACTAAGTTGCTTGAGGCATATTGATTAACTTGCTTTTTTGATAAACTTCGTGTCATAACAGACACCATCAACATGGAAGATGGCAGGCAAGGATTGGAAGAGTTGCAGGGAACAAAGACCTTTACTTGGGAACCTTCAGTAAGTTTATTTTCGTTTGATTTCACTTCATGCACTACTTTGAGCTTTATTTTATGTTTGTTTGATTTATTGCTATCCTAATAATTTACTCATGCTATAAATTCATGGGTCATAGACATTCTTCAATTCAGAATTGAATGTAACTATTAAATAGTTAATCTCATCTCCTAATTCCTACTATTAATTAATTGGTGTGATTTAATTTCGTAGGCACCCAGGAAGAAGCAGCAGAGGCCTATGACATTGCAGCCATAAAATTCCGTGGACTGAATGCAGTGACCAACTTTGACATGAGCAGATACGATGTTAACAGCATACTAGAGAGCAGCACATTGCCAATCGGAGGCGCGGCTAAGCGGTTGAAGGAGGCGGAGCATGCTGAAATAACAGTGGATGCGCAAAGAACAGGTGATCAAGAAAACATGAGTTCACAACTCACGGATGGGATTAGCAACTATGGTGGAGCACACCATGGGTGGCCTACTGTTGCTTTTCAACAAGCTCAGGCTTTTAGCATGCACTATCCATATGGCCAGAGGCTTTGGTGCAAGCAAGAACAGGACTCTGACAATCACAGCTTCCACGAGCTTCATCAGTTACAATTGGGAAACACCCACAATTTCTTTCAGCCTTCGGTTCTGCATAACCTCATGAGCATGGAATCTTCTTCAATGGAACATAGCTCTGGTTCCAATTCTGTTATGTATAGCAGTGGAGGTCATGATGGTACTAGTACTGGAACCAATGGAAGCTATCAGGGAATGAGTTATGGAAGCAATGCCGGGTATGCCGTTCCAATGGCTACAGTTATAGCTAATGATGGCAACAACCAAAATCAAGGAAATGGTTATGGAGATGGAGAGGTGAAGGCTCTTGGCTATGAAAATATGTTTTCCTCGTCTGATCCTTATCATGCTAGAAACTTGTATTATCTTTCTCAACAACCATCAGCCGGTGGGATCAAGGCTAGTGCATATGATCAGGGCTCCACATGTAACAATTGGGTGCCAACAGCAGTTCCAACCATTGCAGCAAGGTCTAATACTATGGCTGTTTGCCATGGAGCTCAACCTTTCACCGTATGGAATGATAGTACATAAAGGATTGTGGGACTGATCACTGGACGAAGGAATGTATACAGCAACATGATTTAGTAATTTTGATTTTTCATGGTCCTTTCTTCCTTCTTTATCCACTAATTGAACTAAGGAAGATTGGCACTGTTTTTTTTCCCTCTTTTTTCATCCTAACTTTGAAGCATGCAAATTTTATAATTAAAGGGTCCAACTGAAGTTCAGCAATAGCATGTAAGAGCTTGAATTCTCACTTGCTATTAATTTTGGGGAACTTCAGGTTTATATAGATCCTCGGATAGATTTTTATTTTCCTAACACCAGACTTTGTAATTTTGAATAACATAGTTATGATACAAGGAATGGCATTTTTCATCTGTTCTTTCTATTTTCAATTACAAATTTCTGCATGTTTGTGTTTATTTTATTCGTTTCGCAAGTGTATATGAATGAGAAATCTGAACGTAGTTCATTCACCCATCCCAAAATCTGAACATAAGGCAATATTGAGTGTTTTATTATTATTATTATTATTCAATAAAAATATTTATATTAAAAATTAGATAATAAAAAATTTAAAATTTATTCCAATTCTTTATTAATATTTCAAATAAGTATGAGAATATAAATGCCATTATAATTTTTTAATTTTTATGTAGATTTCTATATATTTTTTTATTTCAATATATAGTCATAAATGTAACTTAATATGTAAAATATCCCTTTTAAGTTTTTTTTTTTTTTTTCATTTTATCACCGAGACTAAAAATTTATCTAAAATGAACTCTATTTTTTCAATTTATCCAGGTAAAAATAAAACTATACTATTTTGCAAGTTTTGGAAGTCCATCAGATCACTAAACATCGATGAGACTAAAAAGTTTTAGAAATGCCTGGATATGTGAAATATTGGAACTTTTTAATTAGCTTTCAGTTTGTGCAGCCTCAAGGTTTTATATTGGTGCAAAATGTTAGCATTCCGTACTTTATTTTTTCAGCTTCACATATATTAATCAAATATACTGGCTTGCAAGTTCTAGAAGTCTCATGTGCGACTGAAAATAGGTAGCGTTAAGATCCCGAAAACTTCCATTGTCTGTTATATATTTGAATTTAATTTGGATTGCCTTTTGATTTATAAATGAGTAAGTGTAACATTGAGAAATGCTAGACAGAATTTCGGCCCATATCCTTGAACCTGTTTTGCCTTCAGGTTAATGCACTCTAGTGGCAAATCCTTTCGGAGCAGTTTTGCATCTTGGGCTGTTGTAGATTGTGGATCATTATTGGGCTACTCTAATTAGCCCATTTTTCTATGTGATTCGTCCAATCTGATGCCTTGGATCTGGTTAAGTAGTTTTCGTCCAAAAGGCCCAGAGAACTTTCTTCTTGAAAAAGAGAAAGAAGCAATTTGTTATATGGAAAGAGCAGCAGCTTATTGGTCATATCATATGGATATGTTAATACATGCCACGCCCTAGTAAGAGACAATAGAAATTTATGGCAAATTTCTTATTTTTGCTGCAATTAAATGTTAAGAAACATATCATTTGTACTTAATTAATGACCATTTAATTTACTTTCATACGACGAAAGCCGGTATGTGGTACAATGGTGTTGACATGACAAAAAGATTAAATAGATTCAATGGCAATGCTTTGTGATTATATGCTAGTATTCAAATATGTGAATATCTACTCTCTTTTTTTCTTTTTTTTCAGTCTCTTTGTATCCTCACGGAGTTAACATTTGTATCTTTTTCCTATTTGGTAATTTGTCTGAAACTTGGAAATATATTCCCAGCGTCATTCCTTTGATTGTCCCGTTTATCCGTTTATCAAAATTGTTTGAATTTTCATTTTGAATAACAAAAAACGGGTTCTTTTTTTTTTTTTCAAAAAAATGCCTGAAAATCTTTGAGGTTTAGTAATATTGTAAGTAGATTTGTTCATCACCAAGAAATTTTTAATGAATGCACTAATCTGAATGTGAATAGCTTATCTAAAACCCAATAAAAAACGAACTTGATTTTAATGTACAAAATTTAGGAAGATATCTTGGAATCAATCAATAATTGAATGCAAAGAATTCATTGACATTGTTTGGAATTGTCTTCTTGAATAATCATTGTTACTACCCAACGTTCGTGGGACTTTCAAAAACAATAAGTAAATTGAAATTTGTTTGTTTGAGGATGTAAGTTAAACTAAGTTTTTTGAGTTGCCACCTGGTATTAAAAATACCAAGAACCTAAAATCGACACTAGTTTAGAAATTCTACGAAAAGGAGTCGATTGTGCTTTGGAAAGCATTTTTGAAAAAAAGTACTATGTTTGGTTTAATCCTAAAAGTTTATTTCTTAAAAATTTTTATTTTTTCCAAATTATTTCTCAAGTCAAAATTCTAAGTTTATTACTTAAGTCAAAATTTTTTTTTTTGTGACATCGCTTTGAACCGATCATCAAACCCCGTCATCGAGAATTTCGTTAATTCAACATTGGATCTAGTTTAAGTCTCGATATAACTAGCATATCGTAGAATGACTTCATTACTAAAATGTGATTGATTTGAATTAATATTGATCATTATTGGATAGAAGACTCGTTAAAATTGCTTAAAGTGCTTTTTTTCTTTTTTTCTTTTTTTGTTCTTTTCATGTTTTATTTTGAGCGATGCAAGGAAAAAATTATAAAATTATTATTTTTTTTTGTTTTTTTCTTTTACGGCATCATATTAAATTAGCATCGGATCTCAAAATTTAGGAGTCATTGAATTCAAATTAAAGTCCTGACATGATCGACATGTCGAGGAACGACCTAATTAACTAAAAGTGTTTATGCGAAATGTTAAATGAAATTGACTCGAATTGATTCCTTATTATTTTTTAGCATTTTCATTATTGGATAAAATATATCGGAATCATCATTCGTCCCTAATAAATAAGAGACTCGTTGGTCCAATATCACAATCGAATCAACTCCATACATTAAAATAAATTTCAAAACCTAAATATTTCTAGGTTTTCTAATACAAATAAAATTAATATTATTACAAAATAATGACATAAAATAATTGGAAAAAAAAAGAGATAAGAAAACAAACCAAATAGTAACTAAAAAGTGACCAAAATGCCCCTTGGAATGCTATTAGAAATCACCAAAAAGCCCTATAGGGGAAAATTATCAAAATGCCTTTGCAAGTCAAAATCACATAACTACCCCTCGGAGTTCCCAATGCTACTCGTTAAGACATCCGACCATCGTTCGATCATCTTTCGGGCATGTTGATCGATCCGCAAGCTAGAAAAGGTCATCTCCAGCTTGGGTTTGTGGTGGTCTCGTTGGTCACCATCGATGGAGGAGAGAGATCAAACTTCTTGAAGATTCGAACATGACCCATCTCTTCCCGATGAAGATTTTGACCACAATGAGGTAAGGGGAAACCACCAAGGTGCTCAAAGGATCATAGGAAGCATTTCTATGGTGGTTAGGAGGCTCGATTTGATCGGATTGAGGAGATTTGGTCGGGTTGAGAAGAAAAGGATAAACGAGTTGGTCAATTACTCCTCTTTTATCTTTTTTTTCAAGAAACGAGGCGATATCCTAACAAGTATATGGATAAACGTGAAAAATTATAAGGGGAAATAATCTAACCTATCCCAACATGTTGAGATGGTAAAGAAACGTAAACCCACGAAGTAAACTTCTCTTCGATTCAACCAATTTTAGGGAGATTTAGCCATGATTTCAAGGGAGAACGACTTATAGGAGGATGAGGGATGCTTCGTGGTGGTGGAAGTTGTTGGTTTGGTCAAAAAATGACTATACTAGCAAGTACACGGTTAGGTCGGATCGTCAACCTTCTCTCTTTGATTTCTCCCTCTTCCGATATCTTCTTCTTTCTTAACCGAGTGGAGAATGGTAGGTCCAGTGGTGGGATATTGATTTATTGTAGTGGTTCGAATCAATTTCGGCTAAAGGATGATTGATTTGAGAGAGGAATAATGATGAGTCCGCAAGTTGACCCGTAAATGACCGGGGTCGGTAACCCCTTCTAGGGATTGTTTGGCAAAACCTTTTTTTCTTTTTCTTTTTTTGGTTTTTTGTTCTCTTGGGATTCGTGCCTTGTAAAAGTTTTTAGAGAGATGATGACAAATGAACTTTCTAAATTTTGGTTCTTTTTGTGGGTATGAATAAAGGGTATTTTAGCTAGATTGTTTTGTGTAGGAAAATAATTATGGAGGCTAGGTTATTTTTTTGATAGATACATGAGTGATGGAGGCTAAGTTTTTTTTTTTTTTTTGGTAGAAAGATGAGTGAAGGCTAGGGTTTTTTTTAGGTAAAAGAATAATTATGGAGGCTCTCTTTGAAAAATGAAGTGAAGGGTGTTTATATAAGGACTTTTTTGGGTTTGGGATAAAACCATTATAGGTCCTTATTTGGATTATTTTTCTCAATTTCAATGTATGTTTTGTTATTTTTCTTCAATTACCTTCTTAATTGGAATTTTTTTAATCCATATTCTCTTGAATTTTTATTTTTATTTTCATGCTCGTTAATTCTCAATCAAGTTTCTTGATTTTTATCTCTTTCCAATTACATCTTCATTTGAACATCACTTGGTCCTCGCTTTTCACGTTATCTTCTCAATTTTTTAATTATGTTTTCTCTTTTTTTTCTTTGTTCATTTTAGTTTTAATTAAAGATGGGGGGTAATTTTAAAAAATTAAAATCGTAAAAATTTATGAAAAAAAAGCCTAAAATTCATGAAAAAGACAACTATGCAAACACTCCAATTTTGTTTTATTGAATTTCTCTTCTTTCTTTTTTTTTTTTTTTTGAATTTTTTAATTTTGTATAAAAACAAATAGAGGATAAAAAATAAGTTGTTACAATCATAAACACATTTTTGTTAAATAACACCATGAGCTATTGAAGAGTTGGCTCAGATAGTAAGTAGGTTTCTTCACAATATTGTCGTTTTAAATAATTATATTAAATAGTGTTACAGTTATAGTAAATAAGTGATTTAAATGGTTATAATAGGCTAGATTTGCTCACTATATATTTATCATTCTGGATTTGAATTTATGAAAAAATCAGATTCTTTTTCCTTCATAAATAAACTAATTTGGATGAGAATGGCTTGTCAAAAATCCATCTAGAAAGGGATTTGGATTCAATGTACAAAACTTGGAAAGATATCTTATATAGCATCATTCTTTCAAATGTTGCATTTATCGAAATTATTTGAATTGTCATTTTTCAAAGCGAAAGCACTGTTTTGTGAATATAACATGGTTGGGAGTTTTGAAAACTTAAACTTAGATTTCTTCAACACAATGTTTTTTTGAGTTTGAATTTAAAGAGAGAGAGAGCGAAAGTAATTTTTTATAAATATTCTAATTCAGGTATAGATAATTTGTCTAAAACCTAACTAGGAAGGTGTTTAATTTCAATATACAAAAATTGATACTAGAATATCTTTAGCATTAAAAGAAAAAAGAAAATTAAATAACATTTCGTTAGGAATTAGTGTTTTTTTTTTTTTCGCAAGCCAACTTTTGCTTGCCAAAAGTACAAGAAAATATCTCTTACTAGTTTGCTCCACATGCCAAAGTTGGTGAGCAACATCGAGAGAAAAAATGCGGCTATCATCTTATCAATGCAAATGGAGATAAAATGAAAAATGCACGAAAAAGTTAAATAATCCAATTGAGCCTGTGGTATATCAAGGTCTGTGGCAGGATCCTTTTATACTCTTTGGCCCTTAGAAGCAGCCTTTTGCCCTCCCAAGTCCCAACTATAAAGACAATCAATTGATGCGAATTTTGACATATCGATCCTTGAAAACTACCACAACGAAACAAGGTTAAGAAGGTAAAGAATCTCTCTTTTTTGTGTAAAGCACAGCGTTAATTAACATTTGTAGTGCATGCACAGGAGGGGTGGACCACACATCCCTTGACCCAATTGAAAAAAAGAAAAAGAAAAATGAAATCACATATACTTAACATAGAAGAGAAAGCATAGATTCCTATTAGCCCTTTCTTCTCTGTTGTCCAGCTCTTTGTTTTCACCTATCTTTTTACCAAATATTATGATGTTGCGTCGACGTATTCCTTTACGAAATAATCACCTAAGTTTATCAGATTCTGAAACAGAATCCGATGATCTTAACGAGCATCTCAAGGTATATGATAGGAAAAAAAACAATACAGGAATTTACATTGGAAAGGAAAACTATAAATACAAGAAAAAAAGAAGAGAGACCATGTCAATGGAGAAAAGAAAGCGCTCAATGGTGAATCAGGTATAAACACTCTAAACTCAATTAATTAACCTTTAATGTTTCTTCTTTGTTCATAAAAACAATCTTAATTAACATCATTTCTTTTATTCAATAAGTATAAGATTCAAAGTAATTTTATCTGTGTATGTTATTATGGTAGATTCTTGCAATAAAAAGTATCGTTTGTTTGATTCAATCGATTGTAGTAAACTACTATTAGTCTAACGACAAACCATTGCAATATCCAAAAAAAAAAAACATCGCATTATCAAACATATTAATGCAAAATCTCTCTTATTTTCTTCGATTTTTTTTCTTCTTCTTTTAGATCATAAATCAAGATTATTAATTATAGAAATGAAAGTGATGATGAAACATCAAGTACAAAGTTTAGCAAAACATTACTTTTGTAATAGTTAGGAGTTTATCCATCCATGTGTATATGTCTACTGTGGTACTTTTCAGTTCCATGACATTTGTTTGGCACTGCATAGAATAAGAAAATTTTGAAGTTTTAATTAAAATTCTTTAATTGATCTGTAGAGTTTGTTTTAAAAAAATATATTAAGAAAAATATAAATATATTTGTTTTTCTTAACTTAATAAACAAAGAAAAGTTTATCGTTTTATAAATGGGAGTAATGGTATGGGATGGAGAGAGCAATTATGGTTTGATAAAAAATTCTTACTTTTTGTTTGTTTGTTTTTTTTTTGGGTGTTGTTTCAGTGTTCATGCCTAACTAAAAAGGCTCAGTGTTAATTACCCAATTGGATCAATTTTACTCTTAACATTATCTGATGATTTCTATGTTGTTCTTGTGTGTGTATAAGAATAATTAACATATTATGTCAAAAACCAAGTGGAAAACACAAAAAGAATTTTGATCAGAAATAATTATTTCTAAGATCACTTTATAAATTATTTGCAATGATTTGAAATTTGTTTAAATAATTCTTTTTCCTTCTTAAGAAATTTCTGCTCCCGATTTTGCTTTTTCTAATAAGCAATTTCTAATTATATATATGAAGGGTGACATAACAAAAGGTGTTGGTTTATAATGCAGATACAATGATGAGAAAGGCAGAGAAATACCAGGAATGCATGAAACAGATTCCTATTCCATCATCAACTTGTGGGTTACCAATTTGCTGCATGACCTGGCAAGGATTAGCCAAATCTATTAAGCAAGTTTATGATCAGCCATTGCATTACCTCACAAACAAGCTTTTAAAACAGTGGGATCAATTAAGAATTGGAACAAAGGATGAAAGTAAGCCATTGGACAGCATTATTGACCCTAATAAAGCTGAAGCTACCATTTGGGGTATGGAAGAATTCCATAGGCAGTGCTCCTCCCATGAGCATTTGGCTAAACTGTGGTTTTCAGACCCACTGCATCATGATTTTGTTGACAGAAGTGTTCCATATTGAATTAAAATTCAGCTACATTGATAAATTGTCTTCTACAGAGCATGAACTATACTGTTTTATTTCTTGCTTTAATAAAACTGGAGGTGTTGATTAATTCAGTTGCGTTCAGATGGCATTTGGAAATCATGTTCTGTTAGCATTTGAATTTGCAATCACCACAGTACTGTTGATCTATATCTGTGCTTAGTTTTGTTAGAAAATTAAAAACTCAAGATTCAGCCCATCACTACAAATAATATAACTCGATAAAAAAAAAAAAAAAGAAGAATAAAGAGTTGGCACACAACATTTAACATAATTCATAAAATCATGCTGCTTTATAAACTTGAGAGTAATTCTTTACTATATAAAAAAAAATAGTATAAGAATATGATTGTAATTTTTATGCTCAAAGTCCATTGTACACCAAAAAAAAAAAAAAAAAAAACCCTCTCAACTCACTCTAAAACACACATCTACTCCTGTAATTATAATAGCCATAATCTTTGGTCAACAAAGAATATTTGGTGAACAAAGAAGAAACAAGCTTTAAGACTACTCTTTTCATTCTTAGTTACTACTTCACTTTATTTGCTAGGCCATTACTCTAAAGAATATAAGTCATAAGCCCAAATAGAAAAGTATAAATATCCTTGACGAATATTCTTGTTATCCCGAAGTTTATTGGCTACACCTACTCGTAAATATTACAAACAAAAAAATATAAATAATCATTGGTCTTAAAACTTACTAGCTACATATGAATTGGATTAGCAAGCAATGTTGAACTTCATTTGATTAAAAAAAAAAAAACACAACCAATGCCCATGTGTACTTGTCATGAGTCAACTTTACTTGTTAACTTTAGAGAAAATCCTCGATCCATCCTCTCTCTCAACAGGATTTTTCCTATACACTTGTCTAAAACCTAAAAATGCATCATTTTTGTCTCTTTTTCAATCATTAAAAAGACTGTTTTCAAGTAGCTATCAGCATGTGTACTCTATTTCTAGCCGCTTGTTAAGATCATTTTCTTTCTAATAAGACAATATAAGCCATTACACTTTCTTCCTTCCATCAAAATTGTGTCATTATGTGTGACTTTCAAAACTTTACCTATAGTGATATAGTTGTATCATTTAGATTTTTGAAACATAAGCCACAACATCCAAAGTACATACCATCCCATCAAATATTTTGATTTTCACTATTCTAGAATCTAAAACATGACAAGATGACTCACCACCCAAAGACATGATGTCAATATTTTCTTTTTAGAACTCATCAAAATATTTCTTTTTAGGAACACACATATAACACATACGTAATCTAATATTTAACTATCATGAGAAAAAAAATGTCAATACCTAAGAAAACTGTGAGGATATCTCCATAGTTTTCTACTACCATCAAAAAACAATCATCATATTTATTCATACTCTTTTTTCGAGAACAAGTCTCACTTGATGTGATTGAATTTTTTGCATAGGTAACATTAAATGCTCTTTTCGCTAGACTTAGACTTAGACCTATTACTTTGGAATCCTTTTTCAACTAATCTTCCTTTTCGATACTCCTCTTTAGTCACTAATACAAAGTTTTATTTATTTATTTATTTGACCTTTTTTGTATCTCATGAGATAAAAGTGCAGTATATACATGAACTAAATTTATTATATTCTTATCATACAAAAACATCATCACCAATTTTTCAAAGGAATCAAAATGAGATATAAGAAGCCAAAAGGCTTTGTCTTCTTCCTCAATATTGACATCAACTTTTTTCAGTTGATCTAATATACCAATAAACACATTCAAGTAAGTGATCAATGAGATTCCCACCTTCTTTAATATTTAGCTTGTAAAGTTGCCACTTTAAATGTAACTTGTTAGTTAAACTTTTCGAAAGTTTTCTAACTTTTCTCATGTTGTAGGCTTCGAATCTTCATCAATAATATTATTGACAATATTATCAACACTACAAAGTCAAACCATGCTCACACAACTTGATTCCACCTTCTTCCACTCGTTCTCTTCCGACTTCACATCATATTCCTTCAACGCTTTATCTAAGCCTTATTGAACAAATATGTCTTTTACCTTTTTGTTTTCAAATAGTAAAATCTCTATTCCCTTAAATTGTTTAATCAGTAAATTAAAGTTTGTTGTGAGCCAACAATATTCACGATTCCAAAACCAAAGCTCTAATACAAACCCCCATGAACAACCCAATTCAATGAAAGAAAAATAACAAAGAATATAGAGTGGACATATAAGATTTAACATGGTTTGATAAAGTCATGTCTACTCTTCAAACCCAAGATTAAATCTCTACCATGAGAGAAAATTAATATAAAAATATGATTATAATTAATTTTTATATTCAAAAACAAATTTCAAAACTCCTTGTATATATGCTCGCTCTCACACTAAATTAAAAAAAAAAAAAACCTTCTTAACTCTTTTGTTTTATACACTCTAAAATCACACATCTACTCACATATTTACCTATTTATAATGGTTAAAATTCTTGATGAAAAAAAAATTAATAATTAAATTTACGTATTCCGAAGCATGTATCTTTTTTAAATTCACCAATTTATAATGGTCAAAATTCTTGGATTATCGTACTCTGGCCAATTTTGAAAAAAAAGAAAAAAAGAACAAACTTAGTGATCCTAGCTAGCTACAAAATTGATAACTCTTGAAACTTTAGCATTGTATCTTTCTGGAGCCAAGCCCAAAAGTTTCAACCCTGGCCCTAGTTTATTCTACCTGCAGACGGTATGGTTTACAGTAACATGGGAACAACTCCATCCTCCAGGGATTTAGCAATGTGCTGATAGGCTGCTAGACTGGGATGAATAGCGTCCCAAAATACGTATTCCGAAGCCTTTTTACATGTTTTAGTTAGTCGATTGCACAGGGGTCCCATCTCGACAACTCCAGTCCCACAGCATCCTTTCTTTGTTTCCACAAATCCTGTTATTCAACAAAACAGCCTAGCTTAATTTATTTTTTTATCAGAGCTTATTGCATAGCAAAAATTTAGGTAATCATGCTTTCACAAGAGGATCTCAAGATCAGTCTTCCTTATATCCCATGTTGGATACAGTCTCTTGCTTTGGCTTACTTGATTCAGTTCAGTTGACAACGAAGTCTAAATATTAGCATGTATACTTGCTAGCTTACCATATTTTTCTGGGTGATTGATCATCTCAATCAGTATCGTATACGTATCTGCATAGACCATTCTGGTTCCTGAAAGCGTTTGCTGTATTTGTGTCAACATCTTGACAAGCTTTTGGTTAAAAGATCGAGCATATGAATTTTGATCTTCCAAACACTTTCGCTCGGAGGAATTTCGTCCAGCAATGGCCATTTGGATGGGTAGACAACCAACTGGAGGAAGGCCAGTTACAATCATAGTGCGGCAACCAAGATCATAAAGTTCCTGTAAGTTGACAGGGAGATTAGAAATTTAAAGACCGCTGCATTACTAAATCTATTGTGCAATCAAAGAAGGGAAGAAAACAAGTGGAGAGAAAGACAGCTGCATACTTTAACAAAAGTTTGCAATCTGTCCAGCAAAAAATCTTGGTATTTAGAATCTTCCTTCTTTTTACCAGATACGTCATTAGTTCCTGCACTAATAAGCACCAAAGAAGCGCTAATTGTTTGCTTAGCCTTTCCTGCTCCAACAATGCCTTCTAGCCTTGCAATATAATTCCTGAAGTGGTCAATTTGCTTAAAAACTGGGATGATCTTATTTGCTGCATTTGTTAGATTATCAAACCCAGATCCAGCTGATGCAAAGCAAACACCAGTGACGATTTCTTGATCGGACAAATGTGGATCCAGGAATGGAGGGACAGCCTCTTTGATCTTGAGTACAGAGGCCATCATATCAGGAATAAGTTTTCCATTAGAGAATCTCCCTGTCGGACCACCTGGGTAATCCTGACCATATGGAAGAAAATTGGCCTTAAACAATGTATGAATATAATTGTTATTACCGGTATCAACTGATGAGTCGCCAAAGACTAGAATGGCAGGAAATTTCGCAGAAGCTGGTCCGAGCCTTGCAGCATTGCAGGTGTTGAACAAGACTGTACAAATATGTACTAATGCTATGGAGTAGAGCATCAATGTTCCCATTGTTAATCAGGAAGTATAGAGAATGCGTTTGATTAGCTGTTTCCTCTCTGCACTCACTTTTCACTACATCTCTTTCTGTTCTCCTTAGTTATTTATACGAAATGACAAGCAGATATATTTAGTATCCATATTTACTTGGCTAGAAAAACAGCTAGAACTGCAAGAGCAATAATAGGGTCTGTGATTTTGGACTATGGAAAAAAAAAAAAAAAAAAAAAAGGGTCCTTGCAGATATCTAATTTTGAGGGAACCCAGAGGCTGAGCTTAAAGTAATGCTCCTATCTATGTGTAAATATTTCTTCATGCAGAAATCTGAAGATGGTTATGCATATGTGGCCACAGATTTTCCCATCACATCTGGATTGCATGAGATTTGGAGGGAAGACTGTAAGAAAGATTTTTTATTTTATTCAACAGAAGACGAGGACCTCTCTGAAGTAGAATGGCAATAAATCAAGGCATTAAAAATTTTATAATGCTAGAGATATATTTTTTAAAAATTGTTTTATTAAAGCACATGTTGGTTTTTTTTATTAGTTAATATATTATCATTGTATCATTCTATGTGATAAAAAATCATATTCCAAGACATGGAATATCTCTCCCATTCTCTTTATATTTTTCATAGTCTAGGGCGATACCACCACCTCTGTGGTCCAAATGCGGGGACCTGACGTCATTTCCTGTAATAAGGAAAAAAAAAATCGCATAGTCTAGATTCCTGAAAAAACGTGGCAAATAATAATATTCTTATGCTATCATAATTTTAATTGCTGGCTGCTTCCTTTTAAAAGAATTTAATATTTGTAGAACGATAATTAAGGAGGAGATTTTAATTTCATAGCATATGTAAAATAATGATTTAACTATTATTCAATATTAAAAAAAAGTTTTGTTTAAATAGAAAAAGCTCTATTCGTTTAAATAAATAATTTTAAATTTGAATTTTTGTATATATAAAAAATTCTTTGGATAGCTACCTCATCGACTTGTATATCTCCACAAAGTAGTTAAAGATTAGTCTAACTTATATCTCCTGCTCTGTACATTTTTGTTCTATTCTTGTGAGTTTTAGTTTGTACTATCAGACCTCCTTTTTCTCTTAAAGGTTTATTGTATTAATTTGTGCAATGTTTTTTATACCGTATGTGGCTGCCTTGAGTCCTGAGATAACTACATAGGAGATTTTGTAATAATAGTAAGAAAATATAACCAGAGTTGAAAAAATGGTCACTCAATGGAATTTCAATTTCTTATATCTGGCACAGATAATAAAATAATCTGTTGAATTGTTGAAATTTTGTATTAAATTATAATACTGATAGATCAAATTGTAATAATGAAAAGTATTGGCCCGGCCCGAAAGGTATTGGATGGGCTTGAGAAAAATTTTAAGCCCACAGTCTTTTTCCTAATAATACTCGTCATTTATTATTATTAATAATATACAGTACACTATAACTTAATCAACGGAATTAAACCCGTGATCACTTGGTGATTATTAGGAAGCCGCTACCACATAAGCTATAAACCTTTTTTTTTTTTTTGAATGATTAAACATGTTTATATATATATATTAAATCTTTTGAACATACAAGAAGAATTGGTAGTTATGGCTACTTAAAACTATAAATTAAATATGATGTTGTTTGAAAATCCAAATATTTTTTGACCGATTTCTATAAAAAAAAAAGTGAATTATTATATGTTTAATGTGTAAATTTATTTTTTTCTCAATATGTTATTTCGTCTAATGTTATTTCACATTATAAAGTAAAAAAAATCAAGAATTAATAAATATTATTAATAATATATGATACCCTATAACCAGTGTAGACAAGTTTAAACTTCTTTTATTTAAGAATTTGCCTTGAATACATAAGAAAAAGGCTTTCATGGATTACTATAAATTTGTAGAAAAAACAAATAAAAAGATAACTTAATTAATTTGTTATTATATAATATAAGTAAAAATGTGTAAATTTAATCTTTCACAGACCGTATGTGATTCCATCTAATGTCATTTCAGATTATAAAGTGAAACAATTCCCAAATTTCCGCACCCACATTGAGCTATAAGAACTTGGACAGAGCTGTCTTCTTCAAGTATTTAGAGAGGTACCAGTAGGTCGATTGGCTGGGATGAACAGCATCCCAAAACAAGAAGCGAGAAGGCTTTCGACATGTCGGAGTCGTTGGATTGCAGAGGGGTCCCGTCTCTACAAATCCAGTACCGCAACATCCTTTATTTGTTTCCACAAATCCTGCCATGCAACAAAGATACTTACTTCTGTTAATAAAAATTTACAAATAATGGTGTTCTAAGATCTCCAGAAATCAATTTTTGGAGTGCATTAGCTTACCGTATTTTCGTGGATGATGGATCATGTGTATCAGTGGCCTATATATGTCTGCATAGACTATTTTGCTTCCTGAAAGCTTTGTTTGTACTTGGAGCAACGTGTTCACAAGCTTTTGGTTATAAGCCTTAGAATATAAATTTTGATTATGCAAACATCTTCGGCGAGAAGGAGGCTGCTGTTTATTGGTCATTTGAATGGGAAGGCAACCAATTGGAGGAAGGCCAGCTACAATCATGGATCGGCAACCAAGATCATACAGTTGCTGTAAGTTCATAGATGATTGAAAACTTGAGGTCAATGATAACATTAATAACCAAAATTTTCAATCAGAGAAGAGGGGGAGAGAGAGAGGTGTGCTTACTTTGGTAAAACTTTGCACCTTGTTCAGCAAAAAATCTTGGTACCTAGTATCGTTCGTGTCCATCTTAAATGTGGATATATCATTAGTTCCAGTACTAATAATAACCAAAGCACCACCAATAATCCTCTTGGCCTTTCGTTCTCCAACAAGACTCTTGAGCCTAGCAGTATAATTCCTGAACATGTCAATTTGCTTTGGAAATGAGATAACCTGAAACACAGCATTTGTTTCATCATCATATCCCGATCCTGATGATGCAAAGCTAACACCCGTAACAAGTTCATGATCTGAAAAATTTGGTTTCAAGAACGGAGGAACAGCCTTCTTGATATTTAGAGCAGAGGCTAGAAAATCAGGAATCAGTCTTCCATTTGAGAATCTCCCTGTTGGAGTGTGACCCGGATAGGATTTACCATATGGACGAAAATTGGCCTTAAACAATGTATCAATGTCATTGTTGTTACCGCTATCTACTGTTGAGTCGCCGAAGACGAGAATGGCAGGAAATTTCGGCGGTGGTCTGGACCTTGTGGCATTACTTGTGTTGAAAAGGATTGTCCAGATGCAAACTGGTACAAGGAAGAGCTTGATGTTTGCCATTGCTAAGCGAATGGAATGAGCCCGGATGGGTGCTTCGTTTCTGTAATGGTTTTTATGCGACCCCGTTCCACATTCAGAGCAAATCAGTTGGAATAAAATATGCAGCATTTATATGCAATGATAAATATCCTGTAAGCTAGAGAATTCAGGGCAAAGGCCCCCGTAATTAGTAATGACTAAGAAGTGATTTTATAGTGACGATGATAACTTGGGTTTTGACTTGTGAATCAATTGCAGAACCTACTTTTAAGCCGGTATAAATGAGTCTATCAGAAAAATAGTCAGTCTAAATGATCCAAAGTTATTTTCCTACAGAGTGATGTGATTGATTATGATATTTTGGCCATCAATTTCTCTGATTAGGTTTTTTTTGGCATTTAATTCATAAATTTGCCCAAGGAACACTGGAGATTAAGTGGTACCTTTCTCAAGATATTGCTTTCCTTTCACGTATAGTGGATGGTGCAGGTGTGGCGGTGCATCGACAATAAATATACAGACAGATCCATTAATTAAGTGCCTCTTTTTTTCTTTTTTGAATTGTGCTGATTTTTTGCCAGAAAATACCAAAATCATTTTCCGAAATATCTCATCCAACTGGGATGCGAAAGAAAATATTTTGGTATGTCTATACTGTAAAATCTACTTGATAGGAATAGCTTTCCTCTGTAAGCTTGTCTGTTATTTTACTCCCAATTTAATAATTTATCGTCCTCTACATAATTTATAAATATGGTTGGACAAAAAATCTTTTAAAACTGAAAAAGGTTTCAAATGGAAATTGAGAAGCAATAATCACGTAGTTTTAATTCATAGGGTGCTTGGAATTTGAGAATCATTTATGAAATTAAGCAATCCCTGCTTTAAAAAAAAAAAAAAATTCTCATTACCATATATCCAAAAAATAAAATGGTTTGAAAACCCAAAACAAGTATTTGCTTTTTAACGGCAAACAATCTCTTAATATTGACCGGGCCACGATGAGCGCAGCCTCTGCTAATAAAGAAAAGAAAACAGGCTCGATTCACATGTTTCAATACCAGATTTACCACAGAGTCCACGACAGAGTTCAATTACTAACCGAGAAGTGGAAAAGAAAAGGACCTGAGATCGTCAGAACCAAGACCTGTGATGACCTAAGATTAAGAAGTGGTTTTTTGCTTCTTCTTTTTTTCGAAACCTAATTTGTCATCAATGTAAAACGAAGCGAGTCTCAGTTGTTTTTATATGAGGAAACTATTTTTTTTTCCTGTTTAGAGTCAATCTCTAATAAATATAGATTTTGAATTGTATTAAAATATGACTAATAAGAAGTAGAAGTTTAATCCATGTTCATTTACAATTACAATTAGGCACTACTTGCGAACCATTTATTCGCTATCTAGTTTTTTATCTTGTTTATTTATTATATTATAGTTAATAAGATATTTTCATAATTAAGTTTTTTTATTAATTAAGACTAAATTTATTATTTTTGAGTTATAACAGCGTTTTAATTACTTTTTGTCTTAAATTAATTTTAAGAATCAAGCTATTTGAACTCGCCAACAATCCATATCTATATCCAATGACACATATATAAAAAATAGTTTTTTTTTTTAAAAAAAAAGAATAGAACTTGACAAAAATACATTCTCTTACCGTCTGATCACTATCTAATTATCTACTTGACATAATAAAGTAACTTTATTTCTTTTCAATTGGAATTCATGATTAATTTAATATTTATTTCTTCTTTGTTTGACGGTTGTCAAAAGTTAGAAAAATAATACTAAACATATATGATATTTAAGTTTATCGTTGATAAAAATTAGGAGTGAATTAAACCTTATTTTTTAACGTTCAATTATACCCGATTTCTACCAACACATCTACTATTTTTAAGATGTAAGTAACTAAGTTGGAATAAATAATATAATAATAAAGTGGGCGTTGGAGAAAAATAAAAAATAAAAATCAACATGAGATATTCAAAAGATATAAAATCAAATTATATATAGTGATTACTTGTTAGAATATGCTCTAGTCTTGATCAATGCCATGCATTCACGAAACTTTAATAATAGTGAGTCACATTTCATTCTTCAGGATACTCGCTCGTTTAGTTTATAACTAGATGGATATCCATGCTACGTCGCGGTAAGCCCTCGACAAATGAGTTACGCAAAAAAAAACTTTCAACCAATGTCATCTCAAAGTACGGAAAGACAATTAGAATTTCTTTTGATAGTTTAGTTTTGCGCACATAATTTCATTACGGAACATATTATTATACGATAAATGTCTTTTAATAGGATATATATATAGTAGTGTTTTTTAGAGTGTGTTTGCAATTGTTTTTTTCAAAAACCAAAATAGTTGGTTGTAAGAGATTCAGATTATAAAAAATAAAAATAAAAAAACTACAACACAAAATCATGTCATTCGGGGATCAAAGGTTTATGCAAGCAATACAACGGATATTCAATAGTTATATATCTCTAAAGGCAAAAGTCTCAATACAAAGTAGAGAGCTTTTGATTATAAATTGTCTTCTCCAAGAGTTCTCGACATTCTTGCGGTTTCAATTACACTCGCAATAGCAATTTAAAAAGTTTGAAAAAACATGTGTAATGAATGAACTCTAATGGTTTGATGATGTTCGACCTTTTGTTTTTTTGAAGTAGATTGTTGGCTCTCGAGCCGTAGATGTGTTGCAGAGTCAATGCTCGGTTTGAACTATGTCAAGACTTGCATGAGTTGTTTTTTTTTTATTTTGATCCCGCTCTTGAAATATCTATATCTTGGGCTGCACAACATATATCAAAAAAAGTTGTTAGTTTTAGCAAAGCGAAAGAATATCAATAATTTTTTATTATTTGCAAAATGGCCAAATTGGCTCGCAATGATAATATGAAAAATAATCATAGAATTTTAAGAGCAGACTTGAAAAAATTGTAGAAGAGATGTAAAAAGCTAAAGAATAGGTGAGAATAGTTAGTGCTTACCATGTCATTTAGGATAATTGAGGTAGTCATGCCATGCATATGAAGACATGGTTTGTTTATAAAATAATATATGGGGACATGCTAATGATTATGTTAAAAATTAAGTAGAATATAAAAACATAAGGCACACACCAAAATAACGAACCTACAGATAAGCTAATACACGAAGTGAAAACTCCACAACAACACAAAGAGAGAAGGTAAGAGGAACAACTAAGAATGGCTATTAAAATTATTAATTTTTCGAACAAAAAAAAAATGGCAACATTGAGAACGACTAACTCGGAATTTGTAGAAAAAGAAGGGCAACGATTTGTAATAATTGAAAAAAAGTGCAATTACGGAATGCGTACAAAGTAAAAAAACAACTCATAAGAGATGCAAGGAAGACATAAAAATCTCAAAATTTAACAGAAAAATAAGAATAAAAAGTAAATCAATCGCATCTATAAATTGGATGAGGCAAATATAAAACAAATTTGTAGAGAAAATCCAAATCATAACGCACGTAAACGTCCAACAGATTGCATAGAAGCATATACATGCATTTAGGGGAGAAATCTAATAAGAAAGAAAAGAGTGGTATAACATAGCATTAGGTAAATGTCATAAAACAAAAGTATGCAAAAAGAAAGAAAAAAACAAAATGAATAATCAAAATACCGACCAACACAACATATTTCATGAACCAAAATAAAATAAATGGTCTAACAAAATGAACCTATTTGCTATAGTATTGTGAATATCAATTAAAAAGCACAAAGATTGACCACCCATGCATATGCATATGGTAAAAGTCATTAAAATAGCAACACAACTAATATACAACTTTAAATAGCTATGGAAATTGAGAACAAAGAAAGGCAACTACAAATCTAAGAAATAAAGAAAGCTTAAAGACACAATTGATCATAGCCATTAAACAAAGAAATATTCTTGTAAAAAGAAGTTTCAAACAGACTTAAAATAGCCAAAAGATACGATTGTTGTAGAAGCACACAACAAACAACAAAAGTATCAAGTAATCGTAAAAACGTCCATTAAAGAAATAAAAGAAAAAACACCTAGAGTTATAAAAGTGAATATAAGCAGGAAAAGCCAATTCCAAAAGGCCAAACAAATCATCTAAAAGTAGACTACAAATTAAAGGGCGGCACATAACAACAAGTATGAACAAATCGATAGTCATATGCAAAGAAAGACATTAAAAACCCATAAAAGGCATATCAATCAAGAAGAAAAACATTTAAATTAGAAGATAAACACAATGAGAATGACAAGGTATGAGTAAGGAAAAAAGGCAAGCAACAGAGCATGAGAAAGCATAATTAGAGAAGATACATGAGCGAGAAGAAAAACAATAGGAGGAAAGTGAGCCTAAAAAAAAGAGGCATGATTCGAACAACATACATATAAGGATCAAGAAACAAAGATTAGCATAAAAACTTGCAACAACAATAAAAAATAGATGAGTGCAAAAGCGAAGCCCGCATAAAAATAGATAAGCAACGAGCACGACACAATGGCCCTAAAAAAAATCATCAAAGAAAAATTAAGAGCAATTAACTTGATAGTTACAAGACAAAAAAAGACATTATTCTATAATAATCTAAAAGAATGTGTAAGCATAAAAGTTAGATGAACAATCAAAACACAACTCACAAGAGATGCAAGAAAAGGACATTAAATTGTAAGGATTCAATAAAACAATATGTGCATAAAGAGAAGATTAGAAGGAAAATTAAAAGAAAAAAATATCCAAAAAACATAAAAAGAAAGCATTTCTAAAACATGAAAAAGACAAGAAAAAAATACCCAAAAGGCCAATCCATTCAAAATGAATGATATGAATATTTAAAAAGCCAAACAAAGGATAAACAAAAGCAATACAACAAAGAACTAATCCATCCGACAATGGACACACTCCATTAAGCAACCGAAAGACCAAGAAAGAGAATGCATCAAAACATAAGAGCAAAATAAACAACCAACCTTTTACAAAGAAGAATGAAC